CCCCCCCCAAAATCTCCCTGTTGTCGACTATGAAACTGTAAACTCTCCGTAGCCATCCCTAGCATATCTTTAAACGGGACTGTTTAAACTAGGGATTTACATGTAGAATGTGCACATTGTGAGAGACGCCCTTTGGCTCTCAAACAGGCGGTGATGCAGCCCAAACTAGGCTCATAGACGTCTTCGCGGTATCAGAGTTATCAAGAGCGAAGAGGCCCCGTCTTTTTTTCAGTGGCCAGTGTTAGAATGCAATTATGCGGCCCCACGTACTAATTTCCCGACGGCGCATATCAAATGGACGATATCATTCTGTAGCGCACTCGGAACCTCTTGCAATTCTGAAGCGACTTTAGGTACCCAAGATGTGAGATAATTTGCCCGGGTATGGGAAGTTTATTCCTTCAACGGTGGTGTCTAGACTTAATCCAAGCTATGAGGCCAGTCATCATGCGCATCACAGTAGAAATCCTCAATTTCATAAGATAATATGACACTATATTAGACCATGGAAGTTGATGAGATTAAGCGTAAGAAACAACAAAAATTGACTAGGGGTGATACTAAAGACAAAGCAAAGAACTCCTGTTCGGAGGCGTCCAGGTGAATAAATCTTTCGAATAAAGAAACATGGAACGCCAAAACCGAAGAAGCACGGGCCGACAAGATATACGCATCTGTCAAACCACATCCCGTTCTCCTTTCTCTTCAATATAATTTTCTTTCGTGGCCTGCGTCAGCGCTACCCTGCCCACCTACTATTTCGTAGGGAGGGCGCAGAAACTCCTTCGCATTCCACTGATCAAAGCTGGACAAAAAAAACGCAGCAGCGATCTATAAATAGTCTGGGGCCGTGAATGTCATGGATCGCTTCGCTATCAATTGACCCCTTCCGGTCCTTCCCCACTACACACAACATTAGATGCCATAGCTGGCTTAATAACCGTTCATGGTCATTCTGTGGGAGTTGCGGCTCAGTTCGCGATCAGCAGAAGGGCTAATGGGTCGGCTGCTGGCTCCACCGGTATGTGTGTTGCTTTCCTTGAGAGCCAGAAGCTGCTTGGCACGGAAAGTCTCATAATGAGTCTGCGAGGTCGTCTCGATGAGGTCCTGGAGATGTGTGCGGAGGAGGAAGTTGCGGAGGTAGACGAATTCGCAGTGGTTCTCGTCCTCGACGTTGATCACACCCCATCGGTTCTGGCGACCACGAACTTGCTTGCCATCGACAATGATGCTCTTCTCAGATCCGACAACGGCGAAGGGAACGTGGCTCTGCTTCACTATTAGTATTCACCTCTCTGAATTAGGTGCGATCCCTGTGACCTACCTTGATCTTCTCGTTTGTGGCGCGCTCCTCGTCGTCAAATTCATCGCTGTCGTAAGGGAACATCTTGAGGTTGTGGAAAGCGAACTCCTCCTTGATGCGCTCCTTGAACTCCAGACGCTCCTGAACAGTCAGGGTATCGGCCTTGGCGATGACGGGAACGACATTGACGACGTCGGAAAGCTTCTTCAATACGACAATATCGATAGGCTTGAGCGAGTGGCCGGAAGCCTGAATGAAGAAGAGGCAGCAGTGGATACGGGTGTCCTGAATGTACTTCTCTCGTTGCGCCGTGAGTTCCTTTCGCAAGTACGCGGAGTGCTGATCCTTGATATACTTGACGATAGGGTCCCAGCAACGATCGTTGTTGACGAGGTCTCCGTAGCCAGGGGTGTCGACAATGTTGAGCCTCAGGCGAACTCCGTTCTCCTCAATGATGTGGGAAACAGCCTGGATTTCGGTGGTCTGACGAATGGGCTCCTCGGGCTGCATGCGACCCTTGGAGTCGATAAGGTGAGAGGCGAAGATGGTGTTGATCAAGGTCGATTTACCGAGACCGGTTTGGCCTGGATACAGGAAACGAGATCAGCAGATTACTCAAAGGTGGGTGGTAGAAGTTCCAACGGGGATTTCAATGGGAGCTCAGAGGACGCGTCAAACATACCAACGCAGATGACATTGAATTGGAAACCGCGCTTCAAGAGCTTGCGCTCAATCTGGGAGGTAATGCTGTCGAAACCGACATGGCCATTGGGGTAAATAGTGGTAGGGGGAACAGTTGCCATCTTTGCAGGTAGTGGTGCGGAAGCTCGTGGCGGTGATGAGACGAGTAACGGGACTGGATTTTTTCTTATTCCAAGAAAAAATATATGCGGAGAGAGTATCTCAAATCAAGGATACACGCTCGTATTCCTGCTTCTGCGGTGCCGTGGTGAGGGCAAGCTGTGGTCGAGGACTGAAGGATTGAATGGGGAGCGAGGTGACAGATTCCTTGGGCGCACCAAAGGAGAGGACGGGAACTTTCCTGGCTGCCCAGCTGTCGCTCGCTATTGGTCTTCCACCTCGCTCCAGCAATAATTTCAATGCTGGGTGGCAGGTGCAGGGACCAAGAAAGGGGGAAAGGGAGGCCCAGGGGTTAGCTCGACCGTTGGGACGTAGCTATTGGTCAGAACGGGTCCATCCGCCGCCGCCGCATGATTGGCTCGTTCGGGGGCTGCAGCTCAGAACATTTTTTGAGGCAGCGTCACACAAGAGGTCTGTCGATGCTTTGGAGCTCCAGGAAGAAGCCCTTGATTGACGCCAATTAATTCTACGACCACCACTTGGGAGCACAGCCCCTAGGCCGAATTCACCGCATTCAGATCAGGACGATCCAGAATCTGTACCAGATCCCGGTACCTGTGACGACGGAGAGCCGAGAACGAACCCGAATCGCAAACCTCGATATCATCTCTTCTCCCACCTCTCCGACTCGTCCGAATGGCAGCCGCTCTACTTCCTCGACATGCACTTCCCACCATGTCCTCGGTGATTGGCTGGTCATTCTTTTCTGGCAGCCAGGCTGCTCCACGCTTCCTGAACTCGCTCGCGATCGCAATTCCAGGTCTCAGCATCAGCATTCCCGGACTGCTGCAAGATATCTGGGGAGGAATTTTGAAAGCCGTACCCAAAAACAAGACGTCCCACTCGCGAAAGAGGCACAGGCAGATGGCTGGAAAGGCATTGAAGGATGTGAATCACTTGTGCAAGTGCCCAGGATGTGGCGCCGTCAAGAGGACGCACCGCCTCTGTGAAAACTGCTTGCAAGGTAAGCAGCGCCTGGGAATGCACATCTGGATGCATAACCACTAACTACTTCACAGAGATGAGAAGGATATGGCGCGAGGATTACCCCAACGACAAATCAATCTAAGGAATTGGACATGAGATGATGTTGTACTATATCATGGTTACCCCTCTGTACTGAAACCTTGTACAAGTCTTGGGAGTATGCATGCAGCTGGCGTTAGGGGCTCAAAATCAATTTAATTGTAACAATATTGTCAAATATAAATACGCATACAATGCATCGTGTTCTTCTCAGTTGAGGCCTGTGCTCTATTTTCTCTACGGATGGAACAAAAGAGTTATATGGCTACAGACAAACGCTTGTTGCTGTTCGCCTTTTCGTACCTAATAAAGTAAAAAACTATGCAGGTTCGCAGTGGTTTAAGAACGAACGGCTTTCATATCCATCTAGAAAAAGCAGCGGTTTCGAGAGAGTTGTGTAGTGTTAGGACACCAGAGTCGGTGCCGCTAAGTAGCAAGCATGAATACCTTAGGACATATGAACAATGAGGCTCCCACGCGCCCCGCTTCATCTCACAGTTTCCTCTCACAAACAACCAAAAGATCAACCAACACCGAGAGATGGGGGAATAAACCATGGTAAAATAAACCACATCTGCAAATTCAGACGTCCATCTTATTGATTCTACCATTAGTCTAAACAATACCTAACCACGCATTCCGTGGATAATGGTGAGTCAATACTACCCCGCGGCATCATTCTGTGGCATCGCAACCACCACTAAGCTGACGATTTCAGCACATATAACCGACATTTTCTCTATCGCGTCAACACCGCGTGCTGTGCTTTCTGCTAGCGGGTCGTCAACTATTCATATTCATGATACCACTGACCCCGCATTCCCTCTCAAGCAATCCATTTCAGATGCCCACAAGCTAGGCTGCCACCACATCTGCACCTCTCGAAATGGCCTCGTTGCAGCCAGCGCTGGCTTTGGTGGAGAAGTGAAGATATGGAATCTCACTCAAGAAACTGGCGAATGGTCTTCGGGAGGCGAAATTCAAGGATCGTCAAATAAGCCTGGTGAAGTCTGGGCTCTGGCCCTTAGTGATGACGGCACCTATCTTGCCACTACTACCTACGATGGGCGAGTCAACGTTTGGAACCTATCTGGCGAGTCAAAGGCCAAGATACAGGAGTACGAAACTGGGAGCCCGGGCTCTGGCAGCTTTGGACTGAGCGTTGATCTCAGCCGAGATGGGAAGTTTACTGCCAGTGGGCATCAAAATGGATCCGTCTATATTTTCAACAATGAGACAGGCCGGATTCTTTTCTCCCTTTCTGGTGAGTTCGTCAAGCAAATGCTCCCCGGATCAGCCGTCCTTACTGACTAACCCATCTCTAGGTCTTGCCAAGCCCGTGCGCTCAGTTGCCTTCTCGCCCGGCAATAGCAGACTTGCCGCGGCAGGTGATTCGGGAATCATCGCCCTTTACGATATGAAGCACGGAGAGCATGTGGCAAACCTGACAGGCCATACCTCATGGATCACCTCTGTAGACTGGAGTGACTCTGGCGAGTTCTTACTCAGTGGGTCGATGGACGGCAAGGTCAAGGTGTGGTCTATCGAACGAAGTGCATGTGTCGCTACTCACAGCGAAACTGACAAGGCACTCTGGACGGCGAAGTGGCTCCCGAAAACGGGCAAGAGTGAGATGTTCTGCACCGCAGGAGCCAACAGAAGCCTCTCGTTTTATCGCGAAGCTACAGGAGGCTAGATTTTCCCATTACCTACGCAGAGACGATAGACCACAAAACTAGCACAGGCGACTAGAAAATATAATGAATGCATGTATTATCGAACAGTTCGGCAGTCTTTGAACCCATGATCGGATTTGCACCAGGCTATTAGTTTTGTGGTCACGTGATGCCGCTCCAGGCTCGCGTTGCCCAGCCAAACCTCCCTGTCGTCATGCCCCAAATGTCATCCACAACCAGGGAACCCCGTGAGTTACATCAACTTTGACAACAGCGCTCTAGGTGTCCACCATCTTGAATTGTTAGCCAATCCAAGCACTTCATATCCTAATCACTCAATTACCCATAGCAGCAACTCCTTCAAATCAATCATCATGCCAACCACAAAGAGGTCAACTGCCAGCAATAGAGGCCGCACGGTGCCAATCAAAGGGCAATCCACCATCAGCTTCGCCAACAGGATCACCAAGAATGTAGTCAACGACACAAAGAAGGCCATCATCTCACCACCCGTGGCTAAGATTGAGTCGCCGGAGAAGAGCGATGTAACTGAAAAGCCCTTGGCGGTCGAACCTGAACCTGAGGCCGAGGCCGAGGTTGAGGAGCCAGAAATTCAAGTCCCAGAAAAGTCCGAGGTCGAACTCAAGGCTGAGAAGATCACTAAGAAGCAGATTGAAGCTTACTGGAAGGGAATCGAGGCAAAGCGCATTGCTCCCAGAGTACATCAGAAAGATTTGAGCACCAATGAGAAGGTACTCCGGTATTTTGATGTGAGCTCACAGTATGGGGTAAGAAACGACAACATATCATCAGTGGGAATTCTAAAGCTAACGTATAGTCTAGCCTTGCATCGGCATTGCTCGCCGTAAGCGATGGGACCGTGCTGAGAGGCTGGGTCTGAAGCCTCCCATTGAGGTCTTGGCTGTCCTCGTCGGAGAGAGCCAAGATGGCGGGGATATTATGACTGCCCAACTGGATGTGATCTTAAATCAAACTGCGGAATCCTGAGCTCGTTTGTTTTATCTGGGAATGGTCGGGATGGAGTCATTGTTTGAATTTCTTTCTATTTATTTTGGGAGGTATTTGAAGTCCTATTTAGTCGTTGGTCGATACCTACAAGGCGCAATTTCTCTAGAATAGACGCTATGGGATGACGCTCTATTTTTCTAGGTGTCTAGTTAATCTATTGCTGTTGAAAGCATGAAGGTCGCCCTTCTCAATGCTCTTATCTAGTACCAAATGCTTCTAGTCCGATGATGCGGAATCGGCTCTTCCCCGGCTTCCTCCAACTCTTTCATCTTGTCGTACAAAAAGAAGTCAATCAATATAGCATTAATGTGTGCTTTCGGGTGGTTTCTCTTGATCTCTCTCCGGATGAGCTCAACACACCAGATGCTGCAGGCTATGAAAGTGTGAGAATTGATGAGCTCGTGAATGTAGGGGATGGAACCAAACTTACCTCGCAACTGCATCTCCCACGAACTCCCATTTGTTAGCATCTGCTTGTCTCGGATGGCTGCTGCGACAACTGGGCTGCAGTAGAGGGCGTTCATTGAGATGAGAACTTGAGGGATCCGATAGTCCGCGAACATGGTAATTTTATCAATGTCGTCAAATTCTCCGTAGGACTTGCCATCAAAACAAGCCCACAGATCTGCTACAAGGATCTGCGCGCGTTTGAGGAAGCGAATGGGCTTCTCCCGGTCCTTGAAGGGATGCTCGTCACGGAAACAGTCGAAATCCTTGGCAAGGATGTTGACGAGACTTGCAGCAGAACCATCTGCTTCATCAATAAGGTTGACAACTGATGAATCGTAATACTAGGAGTAGTTCAGGTGAGTACAAAATCCATTGAACAACTCAGAGTGCGATTTGGGCCTCTTCATACCTCTTCAAGAACTTGGCCAGCCTCTCTGAGGCAGTCCAGTCGCTCTTTGAGCAGCGGCATTTCCTCCTCGGTACACGAGCGGAATACATGGCGTAATGAATCCAAGTTGCATTTCTCCTCATCCTGCCAGTACTGGGGGCTGGTGATTGGAATCCCTAGAAGCAAATGTTAGGCAAATCCTGTAATGCGAGAGTGATGTGTTCATCTCAACGAACCCTCATCTAAGGCTCTTTGAAGAGCGGCCACAAGGCTCCAGTAACCTGTCCAGCGCTTTCCCTTGTATTCAATGGCAAATCTCTCCTTATCGGGCAATTCGGACCAAAAGGAGAAGTTCAGCAGGTCCATGGTGAAGATGAAGTTCACCGTTGCTTCATCCTTGGCTTTGGGGTGAAGCTCATGCTCCGACCAGGTGCTTGTCGAGTAGTCCCTTTTCTGCATCTGGGTGTAAATCTCTTCAGCGGCCTTCTTGCAATGTCGCATGTCAATGGCAATATCAATGCTGCTGTCGAAAACATACTCGCAATCTTCGAGAACGCCGGTCTCGGATTCTTGCTTTATGTCTAGTTTCCCCTGAAAATGCTGGCGCAGAAGCTCTACGAGCTCGGGGTCTGCCTCATCATCGGACATTTTGTCGAATCTTGTTTCCCCTATCTGTTCCTCTCCCCTGCCTGTGTTGGAGGCTTTGGATTATTTTTCACACCCCTTATGGGACTGTACCTTCTGCCAAATACTAATTTTTAAGTGAGAAAAGTAAGCTTTTCCGTTGTCTTGGTCAGTCCGGCCGCGAATGAGCTAAAGGGGCGGTTTTGGGAATAAGAGGTGTTCGGCTTGGTAGTTGAAACTTGGAAGAGTCACACAGCGGGAAGAGATTTCCCATAATAATTTGATTAGGATACGCTTGTTTGCGAGTCAGCACGTCCCTGCTCATAATTCATATCTTCAACAAAGAAAATTGACTTAATTGGGCACCACCATAATTTCCCAAGTCTTCTTTCCTTCTTTGCTTTTTTTAACATGTTCCAATTCAAGCAAACTGATTGCTACCGGTGCTTTCAGGGGAGCGTCCCAGAATCCACATACATAGGATACATCTGTAGGGTAGCATTATCAATTAAATGGGGGAATTTTGGCTTGAGGGTTGCATCCATCCACTATTCCCAAGGTAAGCCAAGAAACCGAACATTGAGGAAAGAGAGAACGCAGGCATTGCCATTTGATTGGCCCTTTGATTCTCGTTTTCCTTTTCTCATCCATATGAGACTGCCCGCTAAACAAACTCATTTGTTTGTCAGGCATGGTGCCTAAGTTAGTGCCCATAGTACCCAAAATTGGCGCGCATCATAGAAGGCTACAGGACTGAACAGCAACAGAGAGGCGCCCCCCATCAGTGCATCTTGACGCCCCGGACCGAGTGCGGCGGCCAATCACCACAGGGGCACCTGGACGCTAGTGCCCCCTGCTAGAGCCCCTGCTAGAGCCCGCCTTCCGTCATTGGCCAAAGCGACGAAAGGTGGTTCCTGGGCTCGTCCAACTCGTCGCAACTTCACCCAAGCAACAAAGCATCCTCGCAAGAGCAGGCATAAATCAGCTGCTTCTCACCCGGCATTCCATCTCGTCATCACATGGTCGACCCACGAAAATATACTCCTAAACCCAAAGATAAAACCCCCGACTCGCCCGAAAGTTTCTTTTGAGCGGCTATGACCGCGATGGAGGAGCCACCAAGCTCAGCTGCGCAAACCGCGCCTGCCACTGAGAATGGACCTTCTGATCCTTCTAAGCAACAACAGTCGGAGCAACAAGAGAATCACGAAAATCCGCAGAAATCGAATCCCAATGCCACACCCGGCGCCCGATCACAGATTCCCCGGCGCGATAGATTCAACCATCAGTCTTTGGGACCCTCGTTGAACTCTACCGTGAAGCAGGTACGTCACCGAGAGCTGCACTCCCCCTACCGACCAACAACCACCGACGTAAATGCGCGCAATACCCCCCGAAAAGATTCGGCCCGCCGAGAAAACAACACCTCGAGAATGAAGGCAGAATGGTCGGAGCTGTTACTGACGTTTGGAAAATTATAGGCGCGCGTGCTCATGGTTGGTGCTGGCGGAATTGGATGCGAACTTCTCAAAAACCTCGTACTTAGCGGCTTTGGCGAAGTCCACATCGTCGACCTGGATACGATCGATCTTTCGAACCTGAACCGACAGTTCTTGTTTAGGCAAGAGCACATCAAAAAGTCCAAGGCCTTGGTAAATCGAAACCTGCGCTTTTCCACCTGCGAGACTACGTTCTAATAATTTCTAGGTTGCCAAGGACGCAGCGCAAAGGTTCAACCCCAACGTTCAGATTGTCGCGCACCATGCGAATATCAAGGATGCGCAATTCACGGTCTCGTGGTTTCGGGATTTCAAACTAGTCTTCAACGCCCTGGACAATCTTGAAGCGAGAAGACATGTCAATAAAATGTGTCTGGCGGCGGACATTCCTCTGATTGAGAGTGGCACCACAGGATTCAATGGTCAGGTCCAAGTGATCAAGAAGGGCGTTACTGCCTGTTATGATTGCACGCCAAAAGAAACGCCCAAGTCATTCCCCGTTTGCACGATTCGGAGTACCCCTAGCCAGCCCATCCATTGCATCGTATGGGGCAAAAGCTACCTGCTGAAGTACGTATTGGTACAGGAACTTGTTGTGCGCCCCGGCTAATAGATTCCCAGTGAAATGTTTGGTACGAGTGAGGACCAATCGGTTCTTGACCACTCACAGGATCAGGAGAATGGCAAGTCTACGTTGATCTCTGGGAGCGAGACAATTCACAAGAACTAACCAGTTTATAGCTCATGAAATCGAGGAGCTGAAGAAAGAATCAGATGCTCTAAAGAAAATCCGCAATGCTGTTGGTGCGCCCAACTTCCCGAAATTGCTTTTCGAAAAGGTCTTTGATGCCGACATTGAGCGATTGCGCTCAGTCGAAGACATGTGGAAGTCAAAGCGCGCCCCTGAGCCTCTTAAATACGAGAAGCTTCTGGCCAAAACGAATGAGTTGGAGGGGTCGAAGGATTCCATTCTTGCTGATGGCCAAAAAGTCTGGTCTTTAGAGGAGAACTTAGTCGTGTTCAAAGATAGCCTTGAGAGGCTAAGCAAACGTATCATTGAACTGAAGAAGACTAAAGATGATGCCGCGCTAGAACCCGTCATTGTTTTCGACAAGGACGATGACGATACGCTTGACTTTGTAGCCTCAAGCGCTAATATACGGTCTTCTATCTTTGGTATCGAACGCAAGTCTAGATTCGATATTAAACAGATGGCTGGAAACATCATTCCGGCAATTGCTACCACCAACGCCATCGTGGCTGGTCTCTGCGTCTTGCAGGCTTACAAAGTTCTCAAGGGAGATTATTCACAGGCAAAAGAGGTAACAGCCCCAAAGCCATCCTAGATGAGGTGTCTCACTAACATTGACTCAAGGTATTCCTCACTCCTTTTGGCTCTGCCAGACTGATGGCACCTGATCGGGCTCGTGAGCCAAACGCCGACTGTCCTGTGTGTGGGGTGTTCAATGCTACCATTACGGTTGATCCTGCAAAGACAACGTTGAACGACATCGTGGAGGGCTTGCTAAGAACCCACCTGGGTTTCGGCGAAAAGGAGTTTGTTTTGAATAACGAGGTCGGAGTTTTATATGATCCAGATGAGACAGAAAACCTACCGAAGAAATTGGTAGATCTTGGTAAGAAATTCTTTGGATTCGGTGTATCATTTCAATCGAAACTAACCAGATATAGGCATCAAGGACGGTAGCTTCCTTACTGTGGTCGACGAGGATGATGAGCAACCCTGGGTCAACGTTGTCCTGAATATAGAAGAAGGGTTTGTTCAATTCCCCAATCTCGCGTTTTGGCCTACGGAACTAATTGATCACAGCGCTCTACCTGACGATGAGAAATTCAAATCATCAGCTTCTGCGCAACCTACGATTCCCCAGAAACCGAAGAAAGCACCACCGGTAGAGGCGAATGGCCATTCCGCTGGCGAGTCTAATGGAGTTCTTGAGATCGATTCCCAATCAAAGGGTGTTAAACGGCAGCACACAGATGATGGGGGTCAACCCTTAAAGAAGGCTAAGACGGGAGGCGATTCTTTAGACGATGTTGTTATCATCGAGGATGCCGGTGGAGCTATCATTATTGGCGATGACTAAACAATGTTGCTAATTGCTCTTCACGGCAGAATGCAACTTTTGCATCAGCTATGAGGCGCTCAAGCCGCCGTCGAGATTCAGCACACAGTTATTTGCAAACTGATTAGTTGCTAGAAACACTGCAGCATCAGCCACCTCCTCAGGGCTTGCTACCCGCTTCAGAGGAGTTGCCTGGAGGTATTCTTTCTTTATATCTGGCTTCAATTCTACAAGGGTTTTTGTACATTAGCACGTTTTTACGCAAAGGGTATGGCATTTCATGGAATATAGGGATCAAAATATGGGGGTAAGGGGGCGTTTGTGGAACTATACTCACTGTTCCACATTGGGCTGTCGACCCATCCGGGGAGAAGGGCATTGACGCGGATAGAGCGCGCAGACATTTCGAGACATAAGGCTCTTGTAAAGCCTTTAGCCAAATAGTTAGCATTTGCTGTATCTTGCTTGGCTGGTTCATAGGAACCTCTGATAAGGAAAAGACGAATACACGTCAATGATGAAGAAACACACTTACCTACTACACCTGCTTTAGAAGCGGCATATACTGTGGCTCCGACAGCTCCCTTCATAGCCATGAGGCTTGATACATTGATTATACAGCCTGCATACAAACTTGTCAGATTCCATCTGGCAGCCAAGGTGTTGCCAAAGAGTGTTACCATTCGGCTGGACTTTGGCATGCTTGCATGCTAGCATCGTAGCTAGCAAGTTTGTGTCTAGAACACTACGAATCTCTTCATCTGGTGTTCTCTTGAATAGGGTGGTTTGTGATATGCCAGCGCAATTAATCAGGATATCGACTGGCCCAACTGCCTGGTCCTATTAGAAACGAGACACACCGTCAACTCGAACCCGTCATATTAAGTCGATTGTTCGACCTACCTTGTTCTCCTGACCGCGAAAAGCTGCTGCGACATTGTCAGGCTGGCATACATCAAGCTTGATATACCTGTGGCCGGAAGGTAGTTTGTCCGCCGTGCTGGTTGGTGGTTTGCGCAGCTCCTTCTCAAACGACGGCTTGGCCTCTAGGACGGAGCGGCTGAGCAAGGTGAGGACCGCGCCGTGGCCAGCAAAAGCCTTTGCGAGGCTGGTGCCAATGATGCCGGTGGCACCAACAATGGCACAATGCTTGCCTGCCAAAGGCAGCGCCATGACGCCGATCTGATGGTCTGTTACTGGCGCAACGCACTGATACAAAGTTTGTGTTTTTTATCGGTATCCTGGGTCAACAGCCCCGGCGAAAACAAATTGGGTCTACCGGATGCTTTGCAAAGGAGGTTGAAGGCTGAGAGTCCGGGATTCGGAGCCGGTGTTGCGTCGCCACACACACTTTGCAGATGCTTCCGATCCCCAGAATACCTTCTTTAGGAGTCTCTGGGTATTTTAATTTTAGCCAAATGACCCCTGAATTGCCATTGACAGAGGTCAATCCCATAAGGTACCTACCTACCAAGCAATAATTGATTAGTAGTGGCTATCAAGGTGTTTGAGTTTGAGCAAAGCATTTTAGGTAAGTTGGTTTAGAAAGTGATCGGAAGATCGAACTCTACCCTATAGATCCCAGGGAACACCATGTTCAAAAAAGTGACATGGCCAGCCTATTATACAATCGTACCTGATACATATTATCGCAGGTTTCTCGTATGGAAAGATCAGTTGATGCACAATTTCACAATGTATGAACAAAAAAAACAGAGTGACTGAACGGCGCTTCGACCTGACCTCAGTCGGAAAAAAAAAATCATCAATGTGCAATGCAAGACATATCCACTAGATCACGTTGCTTGTGGATTCATTTCAGATTTGATTAATTCTGTATATATACCTATTTCCAAACCGTAGTGCAACAAACTATGGCATGGTACACTCAGGTTCAGTGCCAAATTAGAGGTCGCAATCATCGCATTGATGCTTTCAAATCCATAAGAGTCCTTCTTCATCAGTAGGCGAAGTGTGAAATTAATTGCCAAAAGTGTCATATACCGACTGATTGCAATTACAGAACTGTGTTCGTTACCTTAGTAGTAAATGCCACTATGATCTTTCGATAACATAGTCGTCTTCATCTACGTAGGTGTAGTTAACATCTGAGGTTATTAAATTTGCAGGTATTCTTGGGAAAGTCAGCAGAATATAGCCCTATCTTTCACAATCTTCGTCGGCGATTCGGTTTATACTTCTCAACAAGCTGCAAAAGGCCTCTTTTGACGGGCAGTACCATGAGACATAGCAGGACCTGAGTACCAAGGTTTACCTGGGTAGCGAAGTGAGTTAATGTTATCGCCGAGGCTCACTACATGATCTAGGGGTCAGAGTAACGAGAAAAGAAGTTAAGGATGACAGCAATCAGTTTGCCGTTGACGTGAGATTGCGCATCATGGACCTTTTGTTGAGATGCCAGTGGGGTGACCACACATGCTTGGGATCCTTCCTACCTTGGAGGTAGTTCCTCCACCAAAAGCGCCCTCCCCTCCACCATTGCACAAGCTAAAACACCACCACTCACCCACCCACCTGTCTGTGGTAGACGCTGCCGCCTGCATACACAGCTTTGGCTTTGGATGGGCTTTTATTGTCCCAGAGAACTCAGAAATCCCCTCCGATACCCATTTTCGCATCTCGACCGCAGCGGCGCCAACACCCCACGCATTCCCGACCTCTCACGTCCGGCAAGGTGGCCCAATGCCGGCTTTCTGTCGCCGATTGAATCCCGCGTCCTAGGTACACACACCAAAGACGGCTGCTTCTCCTATCGGTTACACACAACCACGCCGTCGCCATGGCCGATACTGCGAAGACCCAGCCCAATGCTTCGCCGTCGAACGATGTCCCAGATGCAGGACTGAGGAGCCATGACCACTGTATGCGACTGAATACGTATTCTGCTACACAGTTCCATCTGATCTGATGTGATGTTACAGACAAGAGGGCGCTTCCCAAATGGCGGTACTCCTTGCGACAGCAGATGCTCCCTTTGATACGCTGGGAGACACCGTACCTTGCTTGGATGCAGGACAAGCTGCGCACGCCCGCACTCGACAGCTATTTCGCCATCACTGCGAACCTGGGTACACACACCTTCTTCATGATTGGACTGCCGATTCTGTTCTGGTGTGGTTACCCAGCTTTTGGCAAAGGGTAAGTTGCATCCTCGACTGCCAGCTCGTGTGGCTACCACCGAAAGTTGCACCCCGTCGGCGGGAGAAATAACGGGATCCTGATTCACGGTGAGGAGACCAAGGCTAATCGCAAACGATGATACGTAGACTGGTGCATATCCTTGCGCTCGGCGTCTTTTGGACGGGCTTTCTCAAAGACTTCCTCTCGTTGCCTCGGCCTCTGTCACCCCCTCTCAATCGCATCACAATGTCTGGTTCTGCGGCTCTGGAATACGGTTTCCCTTCGACGCATAGTACTAATGCTGTATCCGTTGTGGTATATGGCGTGTTACTCCTACGAAGTCCCGAAAATACACTTCATCCCACCACGAAGATTGTTCTGGAGCTCCTGTCCTACTTCTACGCTGTTTCGATTGTATTCGGCCGCTTGTACTGTGGCATGCATGGATTCCTGGATGTGATTGTCGGGTCAATCATGGGTGTGGTGATCTCCTTGGTTGAATTCTACTATGGCCCTGGATTGGATGAATACATGTACACAAGCTCATGGGCTGCCCCCGTCGTTGCTGCAATCATTATTCTCGTCATGGTACGGATCCACCCAGAGCCTGCCGATGACTGTCCTTGCTTCGACGACAGTGTTGCCTTTGCTGGCGTTCTAATCGGGCTCGAATTCGGCACTTGGACGTATGGCCGCATCCCTGGAGACCCATGGGAGACACATGCCCATGCTGACACCACTGTTAATGTTGCTCCTCTTGGCTTGGTCATTAATGTTGCTCGGATCGTGCTCGGTGTGCTGATTGTATTTGCCTGGCGAGAGACGATGAAGCCGACATTGCTTAAGACGCTCCCTCATTTCTACCGGGCTATTGAGAGCACGGGCTGGACGCTGCCTCGACGATTCTTCACCCCTGCGAGCAAGTACAAGTCAGTCCCCGCAGGCTCGAAGATTGACACATTGTTTCCTTCCCCATACGACATTCCTCGGATGGTCGAGAGTATCCGCCACCCGACGACAAGGGGACGGTCGGTGTCGATCGGGCCCCAGAGTGCGGCTGATGCGTATGAGACGCTGGCATATAGAGAGCGTCGACGTCGGGAGAGCATAAGCAGCAATTCCAGTTTGCGCAACAAGTCGAGCATTACAGATCTGGCGTCTAAGAACGAGGACGGAAAAGCCGCACACGCGTCTGGCACACACCACTCTTCTATTCGCGATTATGAGAGAATGATGGGTGAATTAGACTCGCCCTTTTCTCCCATCTCACCCACCTCACCAAGGTCCCCTGCGTTGCCTACCTCACCTACATCTCCAACTGTGCCTGAGGAGAGTGAAAATGAACTTGACGAGAACTTGGTATTTTCTCGTATTGAAAGGCCCCGAGTGAGGTACGATGTAGAAGTCGTTACCAAGTTGGTTGTTTATGCTGGTATGTTTGTTCTCAGTTTTCTCCTCCCCTTTGATCTTCGGACCTCCTTGTTCTGCTCCTACATCTCCATGAGTGGTAGATTTGCAACACATGAGGTGATTTGAAAGATTGCCTTTCAGCTAACCCGGCGAAATAGGTATTGCATGGTTCGCTGTTGCTTTGAACCCAATCATTTTTGAGCTTGTTGGCCTGGGCACGAACCACCTATCGCAGGTAAATTGAGGTGGGATAATCGTCACAAGCTCTGGTAAATACGCACGTCCTCATTAGAATTTCATGCTGTACATATTTGTAGGGTTGGCGAGGCGTTTTTAAGGTGAGATGATGGCATAAGTACATGATCATGGATAGATTTGATGGCGATAGTGCTTTTTCATTTGATCAAGCATTTGCTGATATTATCAGTTGATTGGATAATGATGATCTGGGATCACAATTACATTATTTTTATTCGATTGTGGTTACGAAGTAATGAAGTGGCTGTCTATTCGCGTCTCTTGAAATCGGTGACTTAAAGGTAGCATTTGTGCCAAAGCTACGGACAAAATGATTCGATACATAAATCAGCAAAAAATAGAGATCATACGAAATATGTCTACTATGAGTTCCTTATTAAAGCATGCTATACCTACCATCTAAATATTATGAATGTGTGGTTTGAGTGTTTCGCTTCTTTTTTTGTCACCGGATTAGCTCCATCTAAGCCAGGGCGGTGACAGGGGTTTAAATGGGCAAGACACGGTGAAACGCGGTTGGGCGCGTCTTCTGCTAGCACCGAAATCGAGCTTAGTGACCTCAGCAGAATTGAAGCATCAAGCATTGCATAACGTGTAGCAAAGTAAAGCTCCGGATTCACCTTGGTCTTACCTACTGCAACGCCTGCCAAACTGAACAGAGAGTGGCCTGAAGATCTTCATTGGCTATTGCCCAACGCCTGCCATGTCTGACATCGAGAATGAGATGGATGTGGACGCTCCCGCACCATCCAAGGACATCACATTTTCCTCAGAGGTCACAAAGGGCAAGCGAACGACGGCCAACCTGCCGGTCGAGGCAGAGGACAGTCTCCCATGGTATGCATATGTGCTACATCGTGCGCTTTACGCATGCGAAGCAACGCCCTAAGCTGACATTGCACTGCACAGGGTTGAAAAGTACCGACCTACGACGCTCGACGACGTCTCCGGCCACCAGGACATCCTGGCAACGATAAACAAATTCGTCGACACGAACCGGCTGCCTCACCTACTCCTCTACGGACCCCCGGGAACGGGAAAGACGTCCACGATCCTGGCGCTCGCCCGCCGCATCTACGGCGCCGCCAACATGAGGCAGATGGTGCTGGAGCTCAACGCCTCGGACGACCGAGGCATCGACGTGGTGCGGGAGCAGATCAAGACGTTTGCGAGCACGAAGCAGATCTTCTCGCTGGGGGGCCCGGCTAAGGGGGGCTCCTCCACGGCGGGATACAAGCTCATCATTCTGGACGAGGCGGACGCCATGACCAACACGGCGCAGATGGCGCTCCGGCGGATCATGGAGAAGTACACGGTCAACACGCGGTTCTGCATCATCGCCAACTACGCGCACAAGCTGAGCCCGGCGCTGCTGAGTCGGTGCACGCGGTTCAGGTTCAGCCCCCTCAAGGAGGGTGATATCCGGGTGCTAGTGGACAAGGTCGTGGAGGAGGAGTCGGTCAAGATCGGGTCGGAGGCGGTGGATGCGCTGGTGAAGCTGAGCAAAGGAGACATGCGCCGGGCGCTGAATGTGTTACAGGCATGCCATGCTTCCAGTGAGTTTGTGCCGGCGCCGAAACAAGTTGCGGTTCCGTGATGAAGCTGACTGTTGAATGTCTAGGTACGCCGTTGAGGGCCAAGGGTGCCCCCAAAATACCGGACAGCGAGATAAAGCGGGAGAACATCACCACGGAGACTATTTACAATTGTATTGCGGCGCCTCCGCCCGATGCCATCAAGGAGATTATGTCAACGCTGCTGAAGACGTCAGATGTCACGAGCTGTCTCAACACGATCAACTCTCTCAAGGTGTCACGAGGATTGGCTTTGGCAGATATCATCACAGCACTTTCCGAGGAATTGGTGAAACTCGAGGTGAAGCCAGAGGTCATGATCACGTGGCTAGACGGATTGGCAGAGATCGAGCACCGGGTCTCTGGAGGTGGCAGTGAAGCTATCCAGACCGGGGCAGTGGTTGGTGTTGTAAGGGGTGGTGTTGAGTTGATGAATTAATGAACGACGATACAGTCCAATGGTAGAGAAGATTACAAAGGCATTTAAATTATTTGATTTTGTTTGTAGAAAACAAACACAAGGTATCTTCATCTACAAGTTCATCACATGTCGTGGATATTGCCTATCTTATCGTGGTTCGTGTGAGAGCACATACGGATTGTTGCCGTATTCAAAGCTGACGGGAGAAAAAAACTACAACTCACGAGCGGAAATACAGGGGTGAACATTCCACCTGGAATAGCTTGGTAAGGATATACGGCGAGCACTACAACGGAGGAAAGTTGTCCGTATATGTTGCAACCACCCACGGAGCTGCCTTAGTTATCAATTATCAATCAGCGTCATTGCTTATCATAAATGAGCTAAATGGACGGCCAAGCCACCAGCCAGAGTCACCAAGCGGTAACAGTCAGGGAGCTAGAAGCTCTAGCGGGCCCTGTAGTATGTTCCAGGAGGTGCTCTGATACGGGCGGTAATTGGAATAATTAAGGGACATTAATCCATTGGTAAGGTATTTCACGATTGCCTCTCACTCTTTGAAGCTAGGCGCAGGCCCGATATTTGATAGAATGACTGGGGTCCCTTCAAGCCTCCCCATCACTCGCGCCAACATTATTTTCAATTGAGCTTTGGTTTCGCTGTCCGGACCGACGCGCTATGGCATTCTATGAACTGTAGTAGCCCGACAAAGTAGTTGAACCGTGCCAGCTACCATCGACTCCCAGGTTGAGCCAAGCCTTGACAGGCGTCGCAAAAACGAACACGAGTGGCAATGGCATCCAGAGGCTCGAGCCTGGCCGCCAGCAATGGCCCCGGATCCAGCGAGGCTCCTCAAGAGCAGAATGTCACCAAGATCCCGCACATTCTCCCCCACGAGCGCGTCTTCCCCGTGCAGATCGGCGGGGAGCTCTTCAAGCTCTCGGGCGCATCGCTCTCCTCTGACGGTAGCTTCCCCAAAAAGCAGTGCCAATTCAATTCGAGAATGACAGGCTAACCAATCGCTGGGACCAGCGCCCTCGTACTTCTCCCAGTATTTCCTCTGCCAGATCAAGGCTGCCGAAGAGAGCGGCGACGACGTGGGTTCCGCCATCAGGACCCTCTACATAGATCGAGACCCGACCACTTTCCACGACATCGCACTGCATCTTCAGGGCTATCACGTTACGCCGCGCGACGGTACACACTTTGTTCGTCTGTTCGCAGACGCCCAATTCTATAGCTGTACTGTATACCCCTCCGCGCTCCCTGGACGGCGCAAGTTGTACCATATATGCTAACATTGCCTCGTCATCTTACAGTACCAAGGTTAATTTCCCAGCTCTACGACGAGAGCATATTTATTTCCATCGGACATCGCGAGTTCCAGATACCCCGCGACATCTTCACAGACCCAGGCAACACGCCCAATTACTTCTCCCTGGGCTTTGCCGCCTTCTTCTCCCGACCAGACGACCTCTTCCCAGGCCTCGACCGGGAGGGCCTCATCCGACCCCCATCCATCCTGCCTCCCTCAGTCCCCAATCGAAGCGCCGATACCTTCGCCGAGCTCCTTCGTCTGCTGCGCGGCTACCCCGTGTCCATTCGGGACGAGAACCATCGGGCAGAGCTCCTACGCGATGCGAGGTACTTCCACTTCCGCGGCCTCGAACAGCGCCTGATCCCCTGCTCCCTCAGCTTCAACCAGGCCAGGGGGAAAGACGAGATCACGCTGCGACTCGAGAACGTCCAGAAGAGCGGCGTGAGCGTCGCGCGAGCCGACGACGACACCGCAGGCGCATACGTAAACTACGCCCGCCCCTTCGTCGACAGCCAGCCCGCCGAGCTCGTCCTCGAGATCGGCGGCGAGGCCACCAAGATCCACTTCCCCAGCAGCGACCCCGATGCCCCGGCGCGCGCCGAGTTCTTCAGGGACACCAAGGCCCGCGTCGCGAGGCTCTTCGAGGTCCTCGCCGTCAAGCTCAACCTCCCCGCCGCCACCGGCAACAGCCAGAGCCCTCACTTCCGCACGGCGTCCGCCTCCCCCAGCACCGGCGCGCACCAGCTCTCCGCCCCCGGCAACACGCCCCTGAGCCAGGATCTCGTCCTCGTGTCTCTCGACGACGACGCATCCATCACGCTGGACGGGAAGGAGTACACCGGCGGCGCGCTTCTGAACAATGCCGATGAGAGAGTCGACGGCGACATCGCCCAGTCCCGGAAACGTAGACGGACAGAGGACGGCGGCCCAAGGGAGTGGGTTGTCCGGACCGGCCAGTGGCGGCTCCGGGTCCGGCCAACAAAGACAGCCAAGGCACCGTACGAGTGTGTCCTTGAGGCCGTCAAGATTGATGCGTTCAGCTCAGAACTGGAGCGCAACTCTTCGAGGAGTTTCTTGCTATAGTTCTCTACCGGAGTAGAAATGGATTGGTTGCTCAGGTGTCTTTATTATCTTTCCCCTTTTATATGCACACTTGAAAATGAGTACTTGGTTATGTCCAATAAGTCCTCGAGAGGAGACGTATGAGACGGCGTCTGGGAAATCGTCAATAGTCGAAACTGGTTTTTAGAATTTTTGTCGGAGAACTTGGTTGGAGAATCAGCGAACTGAATGATCAAAGTTTTTTTATATTCATAGCTTTTGCGACAGTCTGCAGTAGATATATAAATATACAAACCAGACTATATCATCAATTCGTGAACGAGCAGAGAATCCTTCATGTTCCTCATGCTGAACTCAGAGGCCAACGCCGTGCATTCTGCAAAGCCCAGTCCATTCGGAACGCGGTAATTAATACATCAAACACGTATCGCGTGAACGGATGAAAATGGGAGATGGAAAGAAAGTAAAGGCTAGGAAAAAGAAAGAAGAGAAGACAAGGTGAAACCAACGCCAACACCACCCATTGTTCATAGGGAAAAAAATGCATGCAATCTGAGGCCATGAGAATAATCCGTCCTTCGTCCGAAGAAAATGCTTTAAGCGCCAAGTGGAAAAAAAAAAGGTTGGAAAGAAAAAAACAAAACTAGAACATCATATTCTAGTATGCCGCGGGGGAGAGACATGCTCTAGCAGAAGGCATCCTATACCCTCGACTTGCTGCCAACTCTGCCTGTAGGGGCGCTCATATCCCTGCGGTCTTTGCCTTGGAGCATCTTCTTGTGTGGTGTAGCAGCTCCTTGTGCTGCACTTCTTGCCCTGCCTCGTCGCTCGCGAATTTTGGCCAGTGCCTGCTCCCTCGTCATGGTAGGTGTAAGAGCAGGGTTGGTCGAATCGAAGCTGGCATGGCTTCCACTAGACGGCGTTCGAAGTTTTTCATTGAATGAAGAGGAAGACTCACGTTGAGCTGTCTCATCGCGGACAGGGACAGTAGTCGTTGTGGTCAAAGTATACAAGGTTGCTGAAGTATGAGGTCGGGGTTCGGGAGACTCCAGAGGCTCTACAACATTATCACTCTCCTCGATGACCCTCGTCTCGTCTTGATTGCTGCTATGACGGGCCTCCTCGATATCGGCCAAGTCTGTGACAGTAGGGATACTTGGAACAGCATGGTGAGCGTCGCTGTGAGGAGCATTGAGGAGTGACATGAGCGAGGCCCGTTCTCGTTCCTGGGTCAACAGGGCGAAAGAAGGGGGCTCGACAGAGGGAGTTCGTGCGTACATGCGAGGATCTGACTCAGGCTCCTCTTCTTCCACCATGTGTGGCTCCTCATCATGATCTGAAGCAGTGGCGGATACTGGCTCGGTCTCCATCTCAGCGTCTTGTTGAGCTTCCTGTGCCTGCATCGCTTCAGCCTCCTGCTCAGAGACTGTTCGAAAGATGCCCTCCCTTGGGCAAAAAATTGTGCTCAATCTAGGACCCTTCTTAGCTTTGGGCGTGGCTAACTCGAGCTGAGACTCGGGCGCCGTGTCTACAGCTTCAGCCTCGACCTGCTCTGGTTCAGGCTCCTGGTCTTGTGGCTCCTCTGAAGGTTTCTCAACTTGCACAGCTGCTGGTTCTTCAGGGATCGGCTGGATCGAGGCGATTTCAGGTGTGCCATGCACAGATGCCTGTCTAGGCTTGATGCTGCTCCTTGATTTTGATTTGGAGCATTGGCAGCAATGCATCTTACACTCAGCTTTCAAGAACTCCACCATCTCTTCGGCACGATCAGCCCGCTGCCGTTCCCATTGAACCTGCATTGTGAGATCCTCTATCTCGAGCTCTGATGCAGCAGATGATTCAATCTCCATAGTCGACAGTGAATACCGGGGCTCGACTCGGCTAATTTTGCGCTTCTTTTGGGTCTTCTTTGGTGGTGAGGCAAACTCGTCGTTCGGGTCGTTGCATGGCGGGAGAGGAATGCGACCCTCAGCTGCAATCCGGGCAATCTCCTCGTTCTTGGCCGCTGTTCGGAAGGCATCGCGTTCTTGTTCGACTACCTTCATTTGCGCCAGAACCTGCTCGAGCTGTTCTTGGATCCCTACCAGCTCATATCTGGCAGAGAAAGCTTCTTGCTCGCGAACCCGACTTCGTTCCTTCTCGCGTTCTACGCTCTCCTCTAGAGTTTTGACGGATCCTCGTGCTGCTTTGAGCTCCTCTTGAATTTTCACAAAGGAGGATTGCGTCTTGAACGTTTCTTTCCTTGCTCGCCTGATCTCCTTCTCCCAGAGGGCTTGTGTGTGGGCATGTGTTTCCTTCGCGCGGCCATAGTTTTCCTATTATCCTGCTGGTTAGTTACTCTGGCCCGAGGGACGATGTAGGTAGGGAGAGGGACAAACCATGACCGTTTCCAATCGCTCTCCGACCCGGCGTTCGCGTTCCTTTCCTTCGTCCACGGCTCTCCTCAAAGCGCTGACTTCTTCTTTGCACCGTTTGACTTCAACCTCAGCCTCCTCTCGCCCGATCATAGCTCGTTTGAGGGCGGCGTCGGCAGTCTTGCGTTCTAGTTGTTTAGACTGCATCGCAATGCTCATGCTATTAAACTGGCTGATCTTATCGTGTACAGAACTAATAGAGTCCCTCTGATTGACGCGATCTGGCGTCAATGCCCTTAGAGGGCCGCCCACCGGTGAGCCCGGCAAGCTCGTGTCGGCATCCATCGAGTTGTTGGTGAAGGGAGATCAGGTGAGTTCGAGGATCCAGGAAGGCATGTATGGCCTATGAAATGTAATCCGCTTCGCGGGTAGCTTTTGCTTGATGTCTGGCAACGATGCCGACCAACTATGGGGGAGGCAATAATAGTTTGAGTGTGTATGGTATACAGTTGGGTGGTGGGTTGTGGATAAGAAAGTGGTGGAGAGCAGCCGTTGGATATTGTACAAGCTAATCAGTGTTTACAGTGGTGTGCGCCGCCGTTGCCGCAGCGACGCCACCCAGGTACAGCACTTTCCTGCTACGTCAACGGTCAGGCCACTGATACGACAGTAAAAAGCCATTTGTGACATTTCTTGCATCATATCTGGCAATTAAATTGATTTCGTATTAGCTAATCACTTGGAGCCTTGCTCAGAGCCGTCTTAATTGATCTTGGCGGACCCGGACGCTCCGCCAACTCGCATCTGGTTGCCACGTTTCGTCTTCAAGTCCTCAACTTCAATACAACACATTCGTTCACCCTCAGCTGCATCATGGCAGACTCCGAAGTGCGCAAGCGCAAGACTAAGACCGACGAATCCGAGAAGAAATCCAAGGTCTACAAGAACACCGATGTCGACGATGAAACCTCGTCGAACAAGTGGCTTGATGCCCTCCGAGGCCTGACCTTCCTGCTACTCGCCTCATGCGCTCTCAGTTATATGATTTCAAGCGGTAACAGCTTCATGTGGGGGAAGAGACCGCACTATCTGACGGTCGATTATTGGAAGGCACAGCTGGTAACGCCCACCTCCATGTTCTTGCATGCTGCACTCCGGCTTGGCTAACGCAGTATGCGGCTTTGAACAGAAAGGACCCATCTACCTCACCCCCGAGGAGCTGGCCGCATTCGATGGCCAAGACCCCGAGAAGCCCCTATACATCGCCCTCAACGGCACCATCTTTGACGTGTCCAACGGTCGCCGCATCTACGGGCCCGGAGGCTCCTACAACTGGTTCGCTGGTGTCGATGCTGCGCGAGCATTCGTTACTGGCTGTTTCGCTGAGGACCGCACGCCCGACATGCGCGGTGTTGAGCTGATGTACCTACCTCTTGACGACCCAGAGGTCGACTCACACTGGACGGCGGCGGAGCTGGAGGAACTGAAGGCCAAGGAGCTGGAGGATGCCCACCAAAAGGTACACGCCGCGTTGGACCATTGGGTGCAGTTCTTTGGTAAGAGCACCAAGTACACCAAGGTTGGCTACGTCAAGAGACCCGAGGGATGGCTGGAAGCATTGGAGCCCCGAGAGCTGTGCAAACAAGCTGCAAAGGGAAGATCGAAGAGAAAGGTTCCCAAGAAGTAAAAGTAAATATGCGGTTTGTATACAATGGACATGGTTATCATCGGTCTCCCGCCATCTCCTCTCCTTCCGGACTGTAAAGAACTGTATACGAGTGTGACACTGCATGGTTTGACTAGCTTGTTGAAGTGGCGGACGACTACAACGTGGGAAATGGCAATACAGGTTGTCATATAACTCTACTTATCCACTTATCTGTTTATCTGTGGTTTATGGATATCTTCGAAGGCAATGGTAAATACGACTGAATCTCATCTAATTACATTCTTCAAGACCGCAAGCACCAGCAAGACTAGTCTTCTAGCGGATGTTGGACCAAGGCTCCTCGAGTGCATAAACTCACTCTGTTAAGGTAAGTTGGTTTCTCGTAAGCTGGCCTCGATCTTGGGACATGATATTTCTTATCCTTCTCAGACGCCGAGTGGCGTAGCCGTCATTTGGTGTGAGGTTCCGGGTAGTGGAGGTATGCTTGTATATGGTGGCGTTGGACTCTCAGTTCCGTACAGGAACACTCGTTACATGGCCTTTTTTTGGTCGCAAGAAAGCAGCGAAATGCTCATAGTGCGTAGGTGACACATGCCAGCAGCTTTCGAAGTGATCATATCGCCATGCTGCGTTGAACATCGGGGCTATGTGGAAAGGGAACCGTCCTTCACAGATCCAAAAGCAGCTGAGGAGTCGCCTTCTCCAAATCCTCGACCTGTGCTTTATGGTCAGTAAATAGATTTCACACTCTATACGAAAATAGCAGATAAAGATGACGAGAGCAGTGACTTGCCTCCAGGAACCCGCTTTGCTTCTCCACAGCTGTTCTGGCAATTGCCTCTCTCACAAAGACATCCACATACTTCCCCACGGCAGCGTTCGCGTCTCGCGATATCCTCGTCGCGTCTTTCGTGAAGAACTCATGCAGGAGGCGCGTCAGGAGCTCTTTGGGGATTGTCTTTTCAGCCGCGGGCTCATCTTCCTCTTTGTCATCAATTTGTCTTGCGGGCGCTTCCTCAACCTCATCGTCAGAAGCAAATGGGTCACTTGACTGGGGCTTCTTAGAAGGCTTGGAGGTTCTCGAAGTATTATCCTTGGACGCTTTCTTTGGAGGCATGCTGGAAGGAGAAGAAAGAGAAGTATATTAGGTATTGGGAGACAAGAATTGATATCGAATCAGGATATTGCTTCACGGTAACATGTCTGGTCAAGAACCCGAGTGCTGTTGTGTACAATGGTGGGGCATAACACTATCACATGATTGGCACTGGCGACGTGGTGATTACCTTACCCCGGAGTTCAAAGAACATCACCAGTCGAATCACCACTCTACAGTCGGTGTATGTATTCACGAAGGGCACAAGAGATGTAAGGGAAATTGCAAATTGTATAAATTACAGCGACGTAGAAAGCACGGCAGAGCCAAAAAAGACAAACGCCATGCCGATGCCTATCTATTTCGCATAGAGCAGCTGACAGAAAACCGCGCTCTGGTATCTGTGACAACTTCCCCAGGGTCTTCCAGCTCTCCCATTTTTAAAAAACCAGTTGATATCGAGCCATACCTTCCAGTTATTCACGCCATTCCAATTCCACTTCATCACACGAAGCAGTAAAATCTACACAGGAGCAATGATTAGGGTATTTAACCAGAGCCACCAGAGAAGGCCTTTCCGAAGAGGAGGAGCTGGAGCTGATCGTAGATGGACAGGACACCAGCACCGGCAACACCACGGAGAATGTTGGCACCAGCACCGTTGAACAGGGACTTGACACCGTTCTTGGCAATGATCTGGCGGGCAGCATCGAAAGAGTTCTTGTACTTGACGGCCTCACCGGAGGTCATCATCATACGACGACGGATAGTGTCGAGAGGGTAGGCAGCAATACCGGCACCGGTGGTGACGGCCCAACCCAGAGCGAAGTTGGCAAGGAAGTTACCCTCAAGGTGCTTGGGGAGGAGGGGCTTGATGGAGTCGTACATTCCGAAGTAGAGACCACGGTAGACGATGATACCGGCAACGGAAGGCATGAAACCACGGTAGAGACCGGCGAGACCGTCGGAGGCGAGGGTCTTGCGGTAGACGTCAATAAGACCGTTGAACTGGCGGGCACCACCAGACTTGGCGTTCTTGGCATCGTTGGCAAGACGAGTACGGGCGTAGTCCAGAGAGTAGACGAAAAGCATGGAAGTGGCACCAGCGGCACCACCGGAGGCCAGGTTACCGACCATCCACCAAGCGTAACCGTCACGCTCCTTCTTGAAACCGAAGAGCTTCTTGAACTTGTCCTTGAAGGCAAAGTTAAGAGCCTGGGTAGGGAAGTAACGGATGACGTTGGCGGTGTTACCACGCCACAGGGAGAGGGCACCCTCATCGGCAATGGTGCGCTTGAAGCAGTCACCAATACCGGAGTAGCGGTGGGAGAGACGGCCAGACTTGATCATCTCATCCTATAGAACAAATTTTGTCAGAATATGGGGAGCAAGAAGGGCACTGATGGCTTTGAAGACCTACCTGGTTCTGGATGAGAAGCTTGACACGCTCAATAGGAGCAGCAGCGGTCTTCGAGACGGCGGCGGAGACACCACCCACTGTTGATAACCAGTTAGAACACGTATTCCTTAACGCCGGGACGGCCAGATTTGATCGCCATAATGCTATTGAGTGTTGACGTCGTTATAAGAATCGATCAATACGTACTCAGGAAGTCGGCCACGAAGGGCTATCAATGGAGTTAGCAAATGGTTATCATGAAGTGAGACTGGACTGTGAGCGTCTTTTTCGCGCAGCGGACACCCAGGTTCAGAAATCACATCAAACTGTCCTGTCTGTTCCAATTGCAGTCTGCATCGACATGAACCCATTGTGATTCAATTGATGCATGTGCATTGTCATCAGGGCGGGATCGGTTTGATAGCGAGATCTGGCACTCCAGGGCGCGGTATTTGCAATTGACAGCGACAGCAGCGAGTGAAAAAACTTACCGGCATGCCCAGAACCTTGTTATCGGCAGACATCTTGACGACTACTGCTGTAAGGTGACAAAAGGGATGAGAGGAGATGTGGGAGGATGATGAAAGGAAGAGAAAAGAAACTAGGTCGGGAGTAGTCGAGCGAAATAAATTCTGCACCGACAGGCCTACTGGGGGGAGGGAAAAAAAATTGCGGCCTGGTAAGGAAGGGGACAGTTTTTGATAGCGAATCTTCCCGGAAGCGCGCTAAAATGGAAAGGGAGCTGGGGCCGCTGCAGCTGGTCGAAGCCTCAGGACTCAAACACGGATTTTTTCTGGGTCCGCCAGGCCCTTTACCACGGCAACCCAGATGGCAGCCTCAGTCCTCAGGCACAAAGACCTGCATGTCGCAATGTGAGCGACTAATTTTCTTACCAGTGGCAACCAAAGCCAGGCCGCCACATGCGTTGTATCAGTTCGATGCCGGTTCACCCCGAGATTTGCTAGGAAGCCGAGACCCCCTTTCCCCCTTTGCAGCACCAGATCTCACCGAGCGAGATTGTCCCATCTTTTCCTAGCCCCTACAGCAGATCTGGCCTTTCAGGTGCCGTCCTGATATGCGGAGAAGGGAAAATAAACCTGGCCAGATTTCCTCGCTTGTGTATCGGCCGCTTCTGGAATCTTGGACGATGGGCAGTCTGCCTCGGGCCCATTGGCCTCTGGCCAGCACGGTGTATACGACCACAACAATAGCCGACTCTCCCTGTCAGAGTAAACTTGGTGCTCACCTTAATCCTATGCCCCGGCCCCGCCGTCTGCTAGGGTCAAAGGCGAGCCTATCTAGCAGCCCATTAGTAATATCCTAAAACTCTCACTGTACTTTGTACGACTCGAGCCTTTGTGTGCTCGCTCCCTTTAAGCCGAGCTCTCGAAAAGTACTTGATCAACCAAGCTTCCGCCTGGCCCTCCCTAATCTGTCCGTATGAGTATTTGCCAAGTCGGATTAATCACCGTATAACATTTCCGATCTTGATAACACGCCCGATAACGAACGGGTCTAGCTTATCCATTTCGCCGTCGGTAGTTCCGAGTCATGCGACACAAAGAAAGGCACAGTTTTCCCGGTCAATAATAGCCTTGCTTGCACTGCCTATACCACTCTGATGTTACATTGCTGTTTGTTATCTTGGTCTTGACAGTGCTGTACTTTGTACCTACTTGAAATGCTGACTCTTGATCGCCACAACCCCCATTGCGTGATATCTGCTAGGTCCGCTCACATTCCAGCAATTCGCTCAGATTAATGAGGCTTCTATCTGACCTTAGAAGTAGCGAAAGATGTTGCCATCCACCCCAATCCCTATCCTCAAGCAATATCATTTTCGCCGCTCAGTTCAACTAAGTATATCGGCAGAAATCAATCACATACAGGGCTGAATTTCTACGTTGCTCATAGCAAGATACCCATGCATGTAGGCACTAAAGCTATGTAGGCAAGCTAGGTAGGGAATCTCTTGTGTCACAATTACTAGAACTATCTCCTCGTTAAGATTAAGTGTAATTGCCATTGCCATTTTAGTCTTCTGAAAACTAGGTTTGCACATACACAATAATACATACTGCGTTAACTTCATGTTGGGACGCAATGCCCTAGACATGAGTGTCAGACCTGGGTGACTTTGATTGGTGCCACCAGCCCAAATCCAAGACAGTATCTCTTTTACTACTGGTAACTAAAAACGAAAGGAGGAGAGAAGAAAAGAAATCGTTATTTCTCGTTTATTAAATAGGATATTTAATGACTTCTTCAAGTTCTCACCACGTTCTTAGCGCCAAGAATTAATCCTACCGCTTAACAGCCAGCTATAAACTTTGCACATACTGCTACCTACCTCGATACAAAGGGACAAGATGAATCAGGACACTTAGAAGCACGCACAAAGGATTTCGACATATTACCGCCGACGAATAACCAAACAATAAACGAATCATCGAGAAAGTTATCATGAAAAATCGTTGATGGTCCACTTATTATTGTGATATGTATGATGGTCAACTACAATACCCTAGCCCCTCTAATTGGCTTATATGGCATGCCAGAACAGCGGTTTCGTGTGCCGTCCTCTCCCCAACCATTTCTCATGGTTCTAGTCCGGTCTATTGACACCTTCATTTCATCATTTTTAAAATGAAGCCAATGCCATTTTGTGTGTCAATTGGTGATGTGCATAAGTCTTGATTCACGCTTCGCTAGCAACATTACGACATTGAAGTAACCTTCTGCGATTGGAAGGTTAGCACCAAAGACACTGCTCTGAGACTAAGGGCTTCTAACACGTCATGAGGACATATGATGAGCATGCTGAGTGATAGTTGCTTGTTCTACGCAAACTGGACAACCGATCTTTAGGAGAATTGGATTTGACAAGTCACGTCAGATGTGGGCTGATTTTAACTGTAACGAAGTTCTTTCATTGCCGTCGTCTTTTACGGAGATAGTTCCGGTCCAAATGCTACACCGAACATGAAAAAGTGTTCCAAGCAGGCGATTTCCGCCTTGCGCCGCCCATCATCCCTGAGGCGGTTCTTTATGCAGACCATACCGACGCCATATCCCAAAGTTTTAACTCGTTTTTACCCATTTGCTTTCATTTAAGAGGAGCCAACGGCGCGAGCTGCGAGACTTGTTAGTATCGAGAAATTTTCGTAGGACCCTCCAATCTGTGCGTGCACGTACTGTAAACCTTCATCTTGCTGTGGGTGACAACGGGCTTGATGATGCCCTTCTCCTCGAGGTCGGCAAGGGCCTGGCGGGCCAGGGAGCCGTTGATCTTCATGCGGTCGACGAGTGTGGCAATGGTGACGAGGCGGTAGGACTGGACATCCTTGTAGAGCTTCTCAGCGGTGGTCTTGTCGAGGATGACGGCGTGCTGGGCCTTGTCCTTGACCTTGCCCTTGGACCACTTCTTCTTTTGCTTCTTTCCTCCAGCTGCGGGCGCCTGCGATGCGGAAAAATTAGCATGCCGTATTGGTTTAAATCATCGTGCCTCTTCGTGAGGGCAGGAGCGCGGGTGTTGGGCGGTCACGAACCATTTTGTCTGTATGTGGATGTCGTCGACGGGAGTGTGGAAGACAAGAATTTTTGGTGTTGTATGTAGTCAATCAGCCCTCCCACTTGACCCCCATCAGAAGCCCGCAGTTCACCCAGGGCAGCCGAGCCCTAAGATTTTGGGTTGTGGTGGTACGTACCAAAATGTTCCCGCGCTGTGATTCGTCGAGGGCTCACACCACCAAAATTTCGAACCACCTCAACCAAGCCCACCTCAACGCCGACGACCAAAAAAATTACATCCCGCGATCCCTTCCAGGAACACTAACCCGCAGCCCAATCAATTCGGATACCTTCGACTGCAACAGCCAAAATGTCTGACGGCGGTGATATTGAGGTCGAGAACACTGTTCTCTCCGACGTCCTCCCCAAGGATGTCGTCAAGGAGGTCGGCAACGTCAAGCTCTTCAACAAGTGGGACTACGATGTCGAGGTCCGCGACATCTCCCTCACGTACGTTCGATTGCTCTGGGATCCGGAGAGCCGTCTCTCGATGAGGCTTCTCCTGGAGATGATGGGAATTGTCTTGCTAACCGAACCATTGCAACAGTGACTACATCTCCCTCCGCAACCCCGTCTACGTCACGCACTCTGCTGGCCGATACGCTGTCAAGCGATTCCGCAAGGCTAACTGCCCCATCATTGAGCGTCTGACCAACTCTCTGATGATGCACGGCCGCAACAACGGAAAGAAGCTCATGGCCGTCCGCATTGTCGCCCACGCTTTCGAGATCGTACGTACCAACCAGCTCCGGGGCCCTCAATGTGATACGCACGTGAATAAACATCCAACTAACCAATTCTTTCTTGCCCTAATAGATCCACCTGATGACCGACCAGAACCCCATCCAGGTCGCCGTTGACGCCATTGTCAACTGCGGTCCCCGCGAAGACTCTACCCGTATCGGCTCAGCTGGTACTGTCCGCCGTCAAGCCGTCGATGTGTCTCCTCTCCGCAGGGTCAACCAGGCCATCGCCCTCCTCACCACCGGTGCTCGCGAGGCCTCTTTCCGCAACGTCAAGTCTATCGCCGAGTGCCTGGCTGAGGAGCTGATCAACGCTGCCAAGGGTAGCAGCAACTCATACGCTATCAAGAAGAAGGACGAGCTGGAGCGTGTGGCAAAGAGCAACCGATAAATGTCTTGGTTGTCATGGGTTACCTTGGGTTGCGGCTATGGCGTGGTTATGGCATCATTCAGATATGCATTTTGCGTTCGGGACTAGGGACGCGGCTACGGATTGTCACAGTTGGCTCTAGTGCCTAAATAAAAAATTCGGGCTTCCTTTGGAGTAACAATTGAATGATGCCTCTTCTATGGTATACATGTGTGTGTTTGGTCTTGGGATCACAAAAGAGAGAGACTGGTATATTAGTCTAATCTGAAAAAAAATCGTATCATCAGCTTGAGGGTTGCCCCTACTACTGCCGTTATGCTTTTCTCCATCTCATGCTGGCCCAAAAAATGACAATATGGCAAAGATACTAATGTCAACGTGCTCTTCAGATGCGAATTTGATCCGTGTCCACGCTCAAGCGTTGGAACATACCGACATGTGATATGCCCTCCTCCTCCCACTTCCCCATTTCCTCATCGACTTGGAATCCCCATTTTGCCCAAACGTCGATCACCTGCTCCTGAGCATGGACGCAAACAAGCCCTTTCCATTTCGGAACGTCGCGCTCACTCACGGCCCCTACACTTTCGAGCCCCAGCTCTTTGATACTGGGGTTGAAAAATGCTGGGTTTGCCTTCAGCCACGCAAGCACTGTCTGTACCAGCAGACCCGCGATGCGATGACCGCGAAACTCCTTGATGACTGCCAGTCTTCCTAGCTTCACGTACGGCTCCTTTCCGTCATGAAAAGAGGTAGGACGGTCGGTGATGTAGCGCTTGCCCCCGGTCTGGATTGGGCCAACAGGAAAATCGTCCTCGCCCTCCAGAACGCCGTTCCAATACTTTCCTCCATTCTTAGGGTGCGGATCATGCGGGAAGGGGACAAGTCGTATGGTGCCAATGGGCGTTGATCGAGTCGAGCTCTTGCGTGGCTGGATAACATTGCCCCTCTCATCTCGAATCTCGAGCTCCTCAGTTTTGTTGATGCTGGCATAGACGATCCAGTGGCATGACCTCGAGTCATCTGCGTCAAATTCATTTTCCGCGGGGACCTTCTGCTCCTTTACGAATACCTCCTCGCGCACCTCCATGGCATCGAGGAAGGCAGCAGCGATGGTTGAGGGCTGGTCTTCGCGGGAGGCACCTGGCTTATAGCCCTCAAGCTTGCTTGGCTCGAGAAAGGTTATGAAAGGTGTGCCCATGGTTGCGAATTCAGGCGGTAGTATTCGATTGTTGAATTTCTATAGATATAGGATGCCCCTTAGCTTTACTAGCCGTGTGCACAACTGCTAGCTAACAGAATGTGAGGTTGAAGCGGATGAGTTGGCGAGGCAAGCTGTGAGCCTCACCACCTGACAAAGTAGGTATATGCACAGACAGAGAGGAGCAAAGTAACAAAGTCCGGTGGGTGCTGCAGGGGCACGTTGTGTTACTTGGGAAGGATGGTGCGGGATGATGGCCTCAGCTGAAACTGAAGTCACGTATGAAGATGGCGAAAACTGCCAGGACAATAATGCAATGGCTTCCAAATACCAATTTCCATCCAATGGATGCACTATGAGCAATGGGCATTGTGGTGAGCCTGACTCCCCGCACCGCAGAGCGGGCATGTACACTGTACACCGAGGGTCACATTTTGGGCAGCCACTACCTACCTAAGGTAGCAGCGCTCTATAACAGATGTCAACTTTACACTGGAAAGTGGTAGAGACTAGGTACCTAGCCTGCCGCCATTGAATCAGTGGCGGAAGGTCGGGCATTGATCCAAAGTTCTCATCACTTTCGCGTAAATTGCTTGCATACCGGGCGGCGGGTAAGTCGGTGGCAGCCACTCGCGTGCCTTGCCGTGGGCAACTCTCCCCGTGCGCTCGTTGAGGTGCAGATTGCTGGGATCCTGCCGTTGGCACAGACCATCACACAAATACGGCCGAATAACCGACCCCTCGAATACCCTTCCACAGCTACCTCAAAACTAAACGCCATCGCCCCATTGTGCTGGTTGGCAGAGGAAATTGGAAAGCTACCTGGCTGCCTCCCCTAATCATCTTCAGACCAAGGGGAGGACGGGCATCGAGTCAGAAAACCAGGGCAGGCGCGCCGAAATAGAGGGGCGGATTGGGGTCGAGGTAGGTACTTGAGGTGGGTACCTCAGGTACCTGAGGGTACATGACCTTAGCCAACCGTGCGACTTGGCTGCCCCTCACTCCACCCGCCCCATCTGATCATGCGAGGGTGTCGACGCTCAGGGCACAAATAAATGCGGCTGATAGCCTGCGGAGAGAATTTTTGAATGCTAATCTAATACTTCCTGACGGAGATGACTGAATGCGTAGGATGGCTTCATTCTGAAATCATCCGTGCGATACTTCCACGAGGCTTATTTCACCAGCCAACGGCTCAACGGCCAGAGGCGACCTGCCTAAAAGCATCCATTTGGTTCCGGAATCCAGCGCAAACAGTCAAACGGTTCCCCTGTAAAACGGCTGGCCGGCCACACAGAACGTGGAATAAGCATGCACTAATGGTGCTACCCGCCCACCATTACTTTAGTACTTAAGTCACCTAGACCAACCTCCTAATTCAACAAGATGAATGCGACCTGATCACCCATAGCGACTATTGCTTCGCTCTTGCTATTCACTGGGTTTGATTGACTGTGCGCGATAATGCCATAGGTCAGGTTACAGTCGCCTGCGCCAGTGGCGGGGGGAGCGCAGAACGGCAATGGTGAACATCCATAGCTAAACACCTTCTGTCCATCTTGCAGTTCAAGATGAAAGCTTCTGATCGGGGCATCGCTCTCGTCAAGGGTCATTAACTTGAGATCCGCCATCTATTTGAGCTTGGCCGTACTGCAGAGGACGTATCAGTGATTGTAATCTAGAATAGGTGGCCAGGACTTACCATTGCTTGACCTGGCTATCAGTCATCTTCAGACCAAGATTGCTGGACATTGCCTCTGTCATCGTATGGGATGATACACGATACAGCTGAATTTATCCCACCAGTGTGGATACCAAGGATAACCCCGCCAACAATAACTCCCCGGTCTGGAAGCAAGGGTTCTCCGGAGACACAGTAATGCAATGAACCATCTGAATGCGAATGCCATCATCCATCAACATGTAAGTGGATTCCACCATATTACCTAAATGAACAGTCGACTGTATGCTTAGAAAATTGACTGTGGACCGATTACCTGCTATAGCTCCTGCAGTAGCAAGGAATAACGAAGTTTATATCTGAAGTTACCTACTTAACAAGGAGCGTCCTTAAAACAAGTTATACATAGTCTTTCACTCTCAGCCAACCTAAGCAACGCTAGGCTAGCATTTACTGCCTATTTCAAGGCATTTTATGAAGAAACAGGCTTATCACAACACCGAAAGGTGACAATGATCTCTTTACCACTTCCCAGCTATCTAATATAGTACTGACATTGAAAGGCAACTTCAAGCAACACTCGCACAACATGTGTTCGACAGTCGGTCAGAACGGGTTCTTCATCAGTCGAACACGTTTGCCAAAAACGCCTTGGCCAATCTGATTAACGATTTGGCACAAAGGACAAGCCGCTTTAGAGCGGGTGGCCATCCGACTCGTCATTTTCTGCTCAGAGGCCAGTGGCGGTTGGCCTCAGTATGGCACCATGGCAAGAAGACTTTATGCCACCAAGCTCATCTAGAGCTTATTTCTATATAGGTTTAAGGCTAGATGAAGGACTCAAGTCTCCGTTTGGGCCTCACAACACTGGGGGTAACCCCCAGCGAGCCCAGTGACACAGTGGACTCTAATTCCATCAGCCATTCAGGGTTCAAAGGTCAGGCTTGAACGGCCAGAAGGCTACGTGTGGGGTGAGATTAACATCCACGCAAAGAAATCTACAAAAGTAGGGTGAAAGGATCTCGCCGCTTGACCTGAGGTAGGTTTGGTACATAAGAGGTTGGGGAATTCTATCAAGGTGATGCTCACTGAGCAAGGGTCATGAACGCCTAGGTAAGCAAGAGAGGCGTGGCTGACTAAGGCACCAGGCCAGGATGTAGGTCACCCAAACTTTGTGGTACCTCCAGGTACCTCGGTACGTCACTACTAAATTAATTATTTACAGAAGCGTCCCTGATGGTTCAGGGGCCCTCAGCAAGCCATTGAGACATGGAGTTCTAGAGCATTTGAGCGAACGCATGCAGCACCCATTCCAAAGATATGAATCTGTAACGGCTTCCATGCCAAATCCCGTCCATGCCATCTAACTGGCTCGCTGTCGCTCTTTCGACGATTCGTCCCTCATCTCGTGCCTAAGAAAACGTGCATGCCTTCGCCAAAGAATTGTTCGATCGAATGTACCACCGAGGAAACCCGCGCGCGCTGTTCGAACCATTGAATATCACAACGCTTCCCGCTGCTTTGTGAGACAGCTCCCACGCGACATTTCGGAATTGCATGCTCGATTGCTCCAGAAAGCGTCGAATTTTCAATGCCCTGGCAGCCTCTTCCTCGCATTGCCTTCGCTGTTGCGACCTACCCATTTCCTGCCTCGGAACCTGCCGACCTCCCCCTCGAGATTGGCGATGAACTCTACGTGATCGAGGAGACGCCCAACGGCGAATGGCTGCGTGGCTACCTTGTGGCCCCTCCCAGCCTGCTGGCTGGCTTGACTTCTGTCAAGGGCCAGACGCTAGAGGCACGCGTCTTCAGCGGCATCTTCCCAAGAAGCTGCGTGGAGGTGAGGGAGATGCTGGGCGATGCCGACGACATTGATGACGAGAATATCGACGGCGAGGAGGGCGATGGGGCCAGTACGAATGGCCGAAACTCGGCAAACACCCACGGAAAAGATGGCGAGGTCAGGGTCGCGAGCCGCAATGGATCTGGGGACGGGCGCAAATCAGCCAAGTCGATCAAGTCCCCCAGGCTACTACGAACGTTCCCGGATGGATTGAAGGGCAATCTTTCTATACCTGTCCAAAGGGACCCAACCCAGCCTCGACCTCCCGCGCCAGTCCCAATGCTTAAAGTTGGAGACGAAACACCCACATCCGCATCTGAGCCCTTGGTGGACGAGATCGCATCTTGCCTGAGAGAGTGGCATTCGACCAACCTCCACGAATTATTGCTTTCTCGAGAGTACAAACGGCTCGACCAATTAGCGCAACTCATCTCCGGGCTCAATCTACACCGTCAACAGCTTTTATACAATGTTCTCACTCTCCACGAATTCGAGCAAGTACGAGAAAAGGCCGTATGGGATCTTGTCGCAATCAATAAGTTATGTGGTGGGGAGGTGATTGTCAGAGACCCCAAGGCTCAGGGCAGAGTTTCGACGGGCGATGACTCGGCTGTGGAAGTGACCAGGCTTCAGTCAGTTATGAGTCTGCTTAATGAACCTCCCGAAGCGGCTATGGACTCGGCAACCTTATATCACCTCCTTTTAGATGTCAAGGGCTTTGCCGGATCATCCACCGAGGACACCCAGCTTATGTGCTACCTCGTATGCAAAACGCCACATAAGAAGTTGCAAAGGGTATCCGAGTGCTTCAGCGTTGACATTGCATCAGGAGGGGCGATTGGGAACATTACTCAGCATGGCCAGACCAAGACTCTGTTCACAGACCTCACTCCCCAGGACATTAACGACGGGGGATCCGGCGAGTCTGAGTTATATCTCGTTGTTAAGGTGATTGCCTCCCAACGAGTTCAGGTTGTTAAGCAGCTGTCGAGGACAGGTACAGTCCACCAAACGGGCTACATCAAAGATACGAACAAGCCCCTCTCCTCAAGCGGTCCGAAACATTCTTCTAGGCGAAGTTTCATGTGGGGCAACAAACCGGCTCGATCTGCTTTCTCGAGGGGGGCATCCAGCAGCGCTAAGATGGAGGCTGTTTCGGAGCAGTCTGAAGGTCGACCTTCTACCGATGGGACAGACCCGAAAGAGAGTTTCGGCCCACCAAGCACAGCTGGCTCATTACGGGGAGCCTCGATAAACGATACCGAAAATGTTCAGCGTCTGATTGGAATTGGTGTGATGAAACTGAACTCGATCGTGAAACAACAAGAAGAGATGGAACAGTTGATGGGGATATGGGGCCCTTCATCAAGACTGGGCAATGAGAAATTGTCCCTTGATGAGTGGGATCCAATAATTAAGGAGATCATGGACAACCCAGCCGGTCACTATGAGAAATCTAACAGGGGCGAACGCCTACAAGTCTACCTCAAAGGCATGACACATCCCGATGCCAACGCCCTCATTAAATCCACGCCCACTATACTGTCCGGAGTGTCTAAGACAAACCGGCTAGGCTTCTCGGGGGCACCTTCAAAGCCTCGGTCAGACATATACATCACCCTGGATTACGGTACGCTGGCAAAGCACAACCTGCTCTCAAGATATGGAGGCAGCGCAACCTCACTTCCGTCGGCAACTTCAGGCACAAACTTTCAGCTTACAATCGAAATTCGGAAGTCCTCTGGTCAGCGCATAGAAAACTGCATATACACATCATCAAACACCGAGCCTTTAACGACATTCAAATCGATTGCTATAGAGAGGAATGAGATATGGGGTCAAACACTACGGTTATCGCTTGCTCCTGAGGATGTACCTGTCTCTCATGTGGCCATGTACCTATCCGACCTACCAAGTCCTCCATTTGCTGTTGCATACATGCCACTTTGGGAACGGGAGGCCTTTATTAGAGACGGTCCACATGATCTCTTGCTATACAAGATCGACGAATACACCGCATCAGCATTGGCTGGACCAGTGGGCAAGGGTGGATATCTCTCGCTTCCCTGGAGCTCCAAGGGTAAAGATGAACGCTCTGCAGAGGTCACTGGTCCCTTGGCCTCAATTCTTGTGGAAACCTATCTCTGTAGTACGAAATTTTCGCAAGACAGAGTCATCCTAGGACTCACAAAGTGGAAAGAAATTCCTCGCGATGACATCCCGGCGATATTGAACCAGCTCATCTTTGTGCCTGAAATTGAAGTTGTCAAGCTTCTCAACAACGTACTTGACGGGTTGTTCGGGATCCTAGTCGAACACTCTGGAAATGATGAGTACGAGGACCTGGTATTTACTGCACTGGTCAGGGTGCTCGGCATCATTCACGACAGGAGATTCAACCTGGAACCACTTGTTGACAGTTATGCGGAACAGCAGTTCAACTATCCCTTTGCAACATCGTGTCTCATTCGCTCATTCACGCGACTGCTAGAACATCCCACTGAGCCGGAAACTGCTCGAAAGCTTCGGTCGACGTTTAAGGTTGTTAACCACATCTTGAAGTTCATTACCCGGTCGCGAGGTCAGCAGAAAGAGAAGGAGGCGGGAATTGGCATCAAATCGTCCACCCAAGGGTTCAGCCGCGACTTGCGATCAATTTTCAAGGCTCTCGATGCCATGATGCGCAATTCAGCACCTGCATTAGTCGGCAGCCAGACCTTGGCTGTCCAGCACTTCCACACATGGTTGCCCGAACTCTCTGGTCTCCTGACGACGGAAGAGATACTCCATATTGCTATTGACTTTATGGATTCTTGCACCAACGTCAAGGGCAAACTTATTCTGTACAAACTAGTGCTCATCATCAACTACTCCAAACTAGACTTGTTTGCTCATCCGGAGCAAAAGTCTGCTTTGAGTACCAATACTGCCCGATGGATCGCCCCTCACTGGGGGCACACAGAAGAGATCAACGATCAGTGGCGAGAACAGATTCGCCTATGTTGCTCAGTCCTTGCTAGTCAAATGGACCATTTGACGATCGAAATACCTGAACATGTTCCGAAGATTATCGACTCATATCTGGCTTTATCGTCTCTCCCGCGGAAGACCAGAAGTCGACTCTCGCTCCTATTCCCTACATCGTATCCATTTCCGACGAAGCCTGTGGCTACGGAGTTCTCCCATGATGAGGCCCTTGCAGAGCTGTCAGCGGTCTTGGCTGCAATCTCGAATGCTCCAGCAGGAATGCAGCTCGAGATGACCGACGATGATATCTCAACAGTCCTTGAGAACCTTCTTCAGGTCAACCTGAGTATCCTCAATGGCGAGGCCTTCCCAGAGGACTGGCTAAGTGTGCGGGTGTACCACCACAAGTCAACTATGCGTGTCTTGCAGAACGTAGCTGCTATCATGCTAGAGTCATTTGTTCCCGATCCTGAAGAAGCCGAAGATTTTAACACAGACCTGTGGAAGCTATTCTTCACCACGCTGCTGAAACTAGTTGGAAGCACTTCCCTAGCTCTCGAAACCTTCCCAGAGCAAAAGCGAAGGGCGGTGTGGAAGATCGCTGGTGATGTGAGGGAACACGGTGCCGAGCTTCTCGCTTCGTCATGGGAGGCGATTGGCTGGGAGGCAAGCTCTGAGGAGCATGCAAGGTATAACTTGCTTCGTATGGGTGGTTACCAGGTTCAATACGTCCCAACACTTGTCGGTCCTATTGCCGAGCTATGCCTGAGTGTGCATGAGGGGCTTCGGAGGGTGGCAGTCGAAGTTTTATACACCATGATTGTCAGTGAATGGACACTAGGTGAAGACTTGTCAGCCATCCAGACGGAAATGATTGACTGCCTGGATTACTTTTTCAAGTCCAAGTCCTTGACCGAGAGCACCATTCAAAAACTCTTTGTGAATGAGCTCCTCGGCCGCTTCGAGCATCTTGCCGACCAGCCGGATGATCCTTTCCACGCTGCAGTACGTGACTTGGTTACTACCGTTGACGAATTCCTTGATCTCTTGACAGCCGTGCATAGCGGCGATGCTAGGAATGAAGCCTCCCATCTCATCAGCCAGCTGCGCCTAATGGAGTTTCTCCGCGATATGCAAAAGGAAGAGATCTTTGTTCGCTACGTTCATCAGCTGGCGAATTTCCAGGCTGAATCGAGAAACTATGCGGAAGCCGGTCTAGCCTTGCGCCTTCATGCAGACTTGTATGAATGGGATCCTGTAGCTCAACTACCTGCGCTCACAGAACCTCCGATGCCCGCGCAGACGGCCTTTGAGCGCAAGGAGAGAATCTACTTTGACATGATCAGGCATTTCGAAGAAGGAAAGTCCTGGAGCAACGCCATCACGGCGTACAAGGAGCTACAGGCCCAGTACGAAAGCAACACCTTCGATTTCGCAAAGCTAGGGCGAACACAGCGCGCCATAGCAACCGTGTACGACAGTATCTCGAAGGGGGAGAGAATAACAGCGAAATACTTCAGGGTTGTCTTCAAGGGCTCAGGCTTTCCTCCCAGCGTGCGCGACAAGGAGTTTGTCTACGAAGGGATACCAAATGAACGGGGCTCAGCATTCGCAGATCGTATGCAGGAGCAGTATCCAAATGCCCAGATCGTCACAAGCGGGGATGTGGATGAAGTCGAGGGCCAATATCTCCTCATCTCAAACGTTTCGGCGAACAGAGATCTAACACATCCTGTCTTCCAGCGGACAAGAGTCTCTCAAGCGATACGCGAGTTCTTACTCGTATCTCACCCTCAGTCATTCTCGATATCGACAAAGCGTTCCATAAGTGGGCCTGTCCAAGAGCACAGTTCTGAGAAGGTTGTCTTCACTACAGCAGAGCCTTTCCCCACGATTCTACGCCGCAGCGAAGTCATCGAGGTGGCTAAAGTGCAACTTGATGCTCACGATACCGCTCTAGAACGCATTGTGCGCAAGACGCAAGAGATGGCAGTCCTCGAGCGGCGAGTAGCAGACGAAGATACCGACGCCGTGAAACCTCTTGCAGATGCGATCGATGTTTCGGTCGACCCGGTATCCACCACCAGCATCGTTTGGTACAGGCAACTGCTGCCAACCCCACGTGATGAGCTCGAGCTTGAGGATGACGATAGCGACGCTGATAATGAGTCGGAAGAGAGAGAGGAACAAGAAGAAGCCCTAACTCCCCGTGAGATAGCGATCAAGATGTCCCTCATCGATCATGCCATCATGATCAAGAAGTCACTTGCAGTACTATCACGTTACTCTGGCGGCATCCTCGCTCTGCGGCATGGGGAGCTCAAGAGCAGTAAGAACTATAACCCCCTAGATCATGGACATACGAATAAAGACTAACAGTTGACTACCTAGACTTCGAAAGTACCTACCATACTGAGATTGCAATCTTTTCGCCTATACAGCCTCAATTGGAGATCGCGACGCCTTCCTCTCCCTCATGCAGGAAATCGTCTCCATCTCCAGATCCCAGCACACCGACGGCCACGATTGCCGCAGTGATCAACGGGGTCCACACAGAAGAAATGTCATTTGGAAAGCCAGTGAACTCGCAGCAGCGGAGCAACCGACTCAGCTTCCTCCACAAGAAGAGGCCGTCCGAGGCACACACCGAGGTGACCGCGATAAGTCCCGTCACCAACGGCGGCGACCTCGACTCCCCGACCAGCCCACATTCCCAGACTGTGAGCAGGGACGCCATGCGCCGGAACAGCTTCTTCCGCGTCCAGTCCGCCGGGCACGGGTCCAACCACAGCGGCGGTGGCGGCGCCGGGCTTGGAATACAGGACAGCCGCAGGGCCGCCGCCGGGAAGGGGGAGAACGGCGCTCCCGCAGGGGGGCCCAACCCCGAGGTCCCGACGCTCAAGAAAGGGCCAGGCAGCGTGCGGAAGAGGCTGAGCATGCTCAGGCTGGGCGGCAGCAAGAAGAGCGCCGGCCAGAGTAACGGCAGGGGCAACGTCATGGGAAGCTTGAATGAGGGGTAGGACGACTATTTTCGAGCCTACTTTGGGAGATACAATGTTCGATTCGATAGGCCCGAGGAAGGGGACGACGGGTGATTCACACACATAGCGATCATGTCGCGAATTGTACAGAGATGGGCGGCTGGCACGGCTTTTGGAAGAAAATGTTTTTTGTAATTGTAGCAGGACTGGATATGGAAAGGGGATAATAATTTCAATACCATTGCGCTCTTTCGCCATGCTTCTCTTTCCTAATCAAACATGTGTACGCATTTTTTGGAGTTAACAGATGTATTGAGTGCCTATTTCCCTCATCGAAGATAGGCTTACCGATCGTCTATGAACCCGCAACCTCTATCCAAAAACATGCAGGACCAACCAGACTGCTGCCACATGTGTGATCAATAGTTGTAGAATAAACGACATCCTACTCATCTACCAAATGACGAACAAATGATCCCCAAATCATGATAAATATATCGCTCCTGTCAAGGTATCCTACAACATATTCTCTTACTCAAAACTCCCCGTTTAAGCAGCAGTCAACTCAGCAATCCTCTTCTCCAACTCAGGCACTTGCCTCAGCTTGACGTCAAGCTCCTCCTTCTCGTTCTCAAGCTTCAGCCTCTTGTCGGCATCCAACTTGGTGAAGACGTAGTTGCCCTGGCCGTCAAACTGGAGAATATGCGTGTGGTACTTCCACAGACTACGTCGGTGGCTCACAGTCATAAGAGTGATGCCCAGAGCCTTGGCGTTGTCATACATGGTCTTCTCTATCTCCAGAGTCACACTGCTGGTGCACTCATCCAATATGGCATACTTTGGTCGGTGGTAGAAAAGTCGAGCCATGGCGACCCTCTGCTGAAGTCCACCAGAGAGGACGTCTCGCCACTCAGCCTCGGCATCCCAACCCTCGTCGTAAAGATCAACGAGATGCTCAAGACCGAGAATCTTAAGAACAGAGAGAAGGTCAGCATCGGTCACGCCACGAGAGCGCATCTGGCGTAAAGAGTCGGGGTAAATGATTTGCTGCCGCAGGGATCCGCGAGATAGATATGGTCGCTGAGGAATGTAGAAGATAGCGCTGAACTGAGGCTTATATACTGTGCCGCCATACACTGGCCAGAGTCCACCAAGGATACGGAATAAAGATGATTTACCGCAACCGTTGGGGCCAACGATGAGTAAATGTTCCCCATGCTTCAGCTCGAAAGACAGAGCCTTGATCAGGACATCTCCATTGGGTGAGATGATCGGCCTGCGAGAATGGTCAGTCTTGCAAATAGAAATGCAGCGGAAAGGTAATAAAACTTACACGTCAATGAAAGTTATGTCTTTGCTCTCATGGATCGTTCCTCGGCCTTTCAAAACAGCCTCGTTGTCCTCAATGCTAGAGGATGAAACAAGCTTCTTCTCAAAATGACCAGCTTGGATATCATCCATCACATCCAACAAGGAAGCCACACGCGAGGTGTAGCCTGCCAATTCCATGATTTCACGGTATGAGAACATGATACGTCCAAACGCATCAGATGCTGACAGAAGCATGCGCCTGTTGGTGACGAAAGATTCCGTCCTGTCGCCCATGGTCATAGCAACTTGTCCAGGGATCTTGACGAAGACGGGGATGCTGCACAGGATAAGACCGAGGGCGCCCCAAAAGTACTTAATGGTGAAGTCCTCCATGAATCCGTGGTAGAAACGGCGCCGGAGGATGTAGTTCACGTGCTTGATGAGTGTAAAGTACCCCTTGTCCAGTGTATCCTTCTCGGCATTGTGGCCAGCATACAAGGCCACTTCTTCGCTGTAGTCGATGAGTCTGGAGTGTTGGTATCTAAACTCACCCTCCAGTCTCGCCTCATCAGCAACATATTTTCCGAACGGAGGCGTCAGCGCCCTCATCACGTTAGCTGATAATTGAACAAGGCTTGCCATGAATACAACGCCTTCGCCGCCAACGCTCTTGGAAAGGGAGTAGGTGTAAATGCTCTACTTGGTGTCAGCGTATACATTGTGGTTGGGTATTCTGAGGTAAATACAAACCATGTCGAGCATTGGCTTGGCCAGGTTGCTGTATAACTCGGCTAAACTGTTTGAGAATTTTGACACGTCGACTGCAATGAGCTGGTCGGCGTTCTTTATACGATCATCCAAGGCAGATATGCCGTAGAATGTTAGCTTGGATAAGTATTTATCGTGGATGTGGTGTGTAAGTCTCGCTCGGTAGGCTAATGATAGCTCTGCTTGGTGGTATGATAACTAGGCGCGATGTCAGAGGCCGCCGAGAAGTAATAGATGGAGGAGGAAGGGACATACCATGGAATTGGTGAATGTGGCAGGGATGGCGATGAGCATCCACCATACAATGCGCTGGAGGAACTCCTTTCCTCGTCCCTTGACCAGCGCCTTGACGATCGCACCATCCATTTCGGCTACACGAACGCTGATGAGGGTTCGTAGCACGAGGAAGAAGCTGTGGCTAATCAACAGGCGGGCTTCCTTGCTTCGCCATTCTGGTACAACAATCTTGAGCAGCCGCAGCAGCGATCGAAAGAACTCGCGGTTCAACTCGACTCGCTTCTTTGGCTTGTCGGGGCCATCGCTGGTCGAGGTGGTGCCTCTCCTGGCGGCCCTCTGCTCGGCGCCACGTTGCGACGCGGCTTTTTGCTCTGAGATGGCATGGCGAATTCGGTTGGCGAGGGCGACGAAGAGGGTGATCCAGACGGCTCGGGAAATGCGCGTTCGGTGAGACAGGTACCAATGGGTCAGGTCGGTAAGTATACTGCGGATGGTGCGGTCCCTGAGGAAAGGAAGCTTCGATTGCGCTGCCATGGCTCCTCTTGGTGCGCCTGCTTTGCAGCGCGGGAGGAGGGAGGACGGGATGGAGAGGAAGAGATGGAGGCAGAGGTAAGATCGAGACAGCGCGGTCGGGTACCTCGAGTCGCGTGCTGGCGTCGAGTGCTACAGGGTCATCCAAAATCAGATAAGACGGCGCACACCCTGCGGCGACATTGCATCTAGAGAGTGATGACTTTGAGATGCAGTCAATCAGGGCCTGTGTGCCTGTTCGGCCATGGATGCCACCCCAGACGGACACGGCAGGCACGAGCTAGAGCCTCTAATTGCTGCTCCTCGGCCAAATCGTCATCTGTCACGGGCTTCCCCACGGGCATTTGGCTTGGCACAGCATGTGAAAGAGCCACCCGCAAAGTGACGAGGTACGTACCGCCTTTGAGGGATGACTAAGCAGAGTCTTCTTTTATCTTGGCAGGCCAATCGTCAATGCCAGATGCTTCAGCAAGCCATCGGGGACTATATGATAGAAAGCATCCAGTCGATTGATCTTATGATCTTGACTACATACCACACCGTCTTAGAAATAGTAATTGACTTTCGGTAGGGCTACCGTCGGTTTGGGGATATGGCACCAGATCCAAGAGGGTGGTAGATAAACTGTTGGGCTGTCATCGCATAATAGCTCTTTTAACCTCTATGCCCAGTAGCTAGAATAAGGACCGTGTTATTTCAGGAGTTGGAATAGAATATATCTAAGGCCATCAGCAGATAGTTTTTATGTCTACAATATAGCAAAGGGGTCTTATGAAAAGAGCACCTACCCGCATCTGGACCTAGATGAGTAAGTGGGGTTCGCCAATAGATTTATTTTCTCCAAGTTCGCGGGGTCCAAGAAATTTCCATCCCAGCCAGAGTCACACTATTTGCGAGCCCAACGCCGACTTCAAAACGCCCTACATCAACAGCTTGACAAACAACAAGCCCAAACTCCCACAAAGATGTCGGACGACGAGAACATCTCCATCTACGATGAGATCGAGATCGAGGACATGACCTTCGACGAAGCCCAGCAGTCCTACTTCTACCCTTGCCCATGCGGCGATCAGTTCCAGATCGCCCTAGACGACCTTCGCGACGAGCAGGACATTGCCGTCTGTCCCAGCTGCAGCCTCATGATCCGAGTCATATTTGACATGGTAAAAACTTACTCATATTCTCCCATCATTCGATGTGAACCCTGTGTGGCTAATTTTGTTTCGAAGGATGACCTGCCGAAACCACCCCCACCCGCAAACGATCCCACCACCCAGATCGCTATCGCCGCATGAGCTACTCAGTTTCGCGCTGCAACGCACCGGGAGCCGATCGTGCTCTTCGATACATGCCGCTGCATGCCAAGTGGGAAGTTGTAGTCTCAGAGCCCGCGGCCCGTCCGGAGCAACCTTACACATCGAATTGGTCATTTGCGATATGGTGGGCTTAGATCGCTTGCTGCCTCGAGCAGCATCTCCCCGCAACTATCATGCGGAGACCGCATAGTATAAGTCGCCAAGCCAAGAGCTGTGGTGCTATATGCTATGCGCATGCCAACTCGAAGTCTCGAATGGGCCCTGGACCCCATCTATTAAGAAGGATGCGAATGCGAACAACCTGGTTCCTACCAGGCCGTGTCGAAGCACACGCCAGTGTCTCCAGCAAAAAAGCGTGGATACGGTCTACCTCTTATCCGACAGGCCTTCGCCGACATCCTCAGACTCCTCGTCAGCTACTTGTAGCACCCAAATTCTCAGTTAATGGATGCACCAAGCACCTTGGTTTCAAGGCACTAGTGCCTGAATAAGAACAATCTGCACAAAATTTACCATTAGAGTCTAGCACCTACTCTCATAAGTCTTCTCTGCTTAAGTATATTGAGATTTGTCTTCAAACTCCTAGATACTCTTTGAAACACCTGCCCAGACTGCTATCATACCCTGAATGATAATTGGAACTAGTCCAGTAGTATCAGTATCTAGCCTTAGCAATCAGTGCGGATGCGCATACCGATATCAGTATTCGGCGTAGCTGAGATGAGCCGAAGCAGAGGAGTTGTCAGCAATAAGTACCCAAGTCGAGGCATCTTGCGATCTAGATGAGCTCGCTTGAAAGAAAGAATAACAAAAACAGCAATGAAAGGTAGGTGGAAGGGAGCAGCCAGTTGCTTAGTAGACTTTGTGGTTTTTATTTTCTACCTAGACAGCAATTAATCAAGACAGCAGACGACGTTATTTTAAATCTGAAGCTCAATGCCTTCTCAAGGTGATCGTTGCATATCAAAATAACACACGAAGTCGACCAAAGTTCCTCTCACTAAAGCCGCAAGGCCTAAGCATGCGGCTAAATCTACTATAATCTGGGGACTAGAAATATGAAGTTTTTACTGCCGCCAGTGAGCGTGTGTGTGGATCAATTTAAGGCTTCCAGATGAAGGAGTTCGTGATGCCCGTTAACCCTACAGGCTTATGGGACATCAATGGTGTTCAGAAAGCGATTATTAAGTATTAACTTAACCGTGAGGGTGCCTCGTAGGTAAATTGTGGCTGCTGGCCGAGTGAGCAATTACCCTCCTTGTGGAAGCCCTTGAAGTCAATTCACAGGATGCCAATGACATGTTATTTCCATTTGGTAAATATGTTGAAAGCACATGGTCTTGTACGCCGCCTTACCGGGCGACTCGACTTGGACATATTTGTGAGCCATCTAGATCACTATCACATAGCCGACACCTACCGTGTTGCCATTGCATGCATTAGCACTTGGTATCTTGGCTGAGAAAAGTGGTGAGTTGCCAGAAGAAAGATCTGGCGCCAGCAGCGAACTGATGAAAGAACAGCGCTATTAATAGACCATTTCTTATGCTGCATGCTCTGTGTCTTGCACCTAAGCACGTTTGGGCCTGTGTGCACCTAATATATATCGAGGTTTCACTTCATTTGCTTACCCAAATTCAGCATCGACTTCAGACCAACGCTTACCTTGATTGATTTGTATCAAGAACAGGTAGGCAAGATGGATTTACACCGTCTACCACGTGAGACCTTGTTGCAGATCGTGGGTTATCTTGCGGATTCACATCGACCAAGTCTTTACGCATTCGCACTGGCCAGTAAATCTTGCTATATCTCTGCAACTGTATTCATTTTCCGCCATATCCACCTCGCCCTTCGCAATCCGGGGGAGCTGCAGCACGATGTTGATGCGCTTCTTGAGGCTCTCTCGCGAACAGACTCCTACCGCCACGTCTCTGCTCTCAGTCTCAAGGGATGCCTTGATGTCAAGAAACCAATCAGCACACATCCAGGGTTCGATAGCATTGATCCTCTAGGCTGGTGGAAGAGTACGCTTGTGGAGGAACCTCGCATCAACACTCTGTTGCCGAACACTGAGCCCATTCATCGAGGAGAGTTCATTCATGATGACGAACGATATAATGACCGATCCTCTAAGGATTATACAGCATGGGCCCCAATCATCAGCTTGATCAAAACCCTACCGTCTTTAGCCAAGCTAGTTTACGATTGCCCAGATCAATTTCCGCCTAGCCTGCTGGATGCCCTTCACAGCCATCATCCCCGATGCAGGCTTCACCACTTGAAACTCCGGCTACAGACCCCATCATGGGACCATCCCGACCCTCACGAAATGGCTCTAGCCACATCGCCGTGCCTTCATGGCGCCAGACTCTACTGCGCCTGGCGAGACTCGGAAGGGGTGGAGGATTTCAGTCAAGAGGCCATGATGGAGCTTGTTGCCGGCCTGGCCCCCAACCTCAAGGAGGTTGCTGTAACAAAATTCAGGCCGCCAGGAGCAGACAGATATACCCACCAGCGAGGGAAGTGGAAAGGCCTTGCCGGTTTCCCCTCCGGCAGTGGAAATCTGGGGTCTCTGGCCTCCCTGTCCCTCCTGGGAACGGTGTACCTTCTCTCACCCACCCTTCTTCAGACTTGGTCCGGATTCACAGACTTCAGCTGCCTCCGCTATCTTGCGCTCGGGGGTGAAGGCGCGGGCTGGAGTCGGGATCACGTCAACGGGGTGAATGGCGAGGTGATGGCGTGGATGGCCCATGATTGCTCCTTCACTCAGTTGAAAGTCCTTCGCCTCGTACTAGAGCGCGATACTGATGACACCCAAAGGGCCAATTACGGCGACAATGCAGTTCTCTTCTTCACATCCCTGGGGCCTCTGGAAGAGCTTTCGGTAACAGGGCCGCTCGAGCCCAAGATTCTAAAAGCCATCATACACCAGCATGGGCCGACTTTGGAAAAGCTGGGCCTTCATTCGTTAGAGGACGCATCTGGAGATGACCCTGCCCAAGTCTCTCGACACGAAATACCCATGATATTCACCAAGGAACATATCCAAGAAATACATACCCAGTGTCCAATATTAGAGGAGCTGGCTATCCCAGTCAAACGCACACAATCTAACGCGGCCGAAGTCAGCATCTACAAGAGTCTTGCCAGGCTGGACCGACTAAAGTCACTATTTCTCATCCTCGACTGCTCCGACTGGCGGGTCTCTCGGGACAGCACCTACGGTCCCGATCCTTCATTTGACGAAGATGATCGCGAGTCTTGGTCGTTTAATGTGAAACGAGGCGATATCCGGGTGGGCTTGATAAACAGTGCCGTCGACGAGACGCTGGCGCGGGCGATATGGGGCACGATTTGCCAGCACAAGGTCGGCAGACGGCTGGAGTCACTCAGGCTGTGGACCACCGGCGGCGGCGTGTTTGGCAACGACCGGCAGGAAGCCCCGAGCTTATTCACGAGCCTGAGCCGTTCGTGGTCGATCACCCGGCTTCCCAGGGATGACATGGAGGTTATCAGTGTCGAGGAGCTGGGTAGATTCGGGAGGGAGGCCAGCGAGAAGGAGCATCTGGAAAAGGAGAGACGATGGAAGAGGGTTCAGATGTCCGCCCCCAATAACACGACTGGGCCGGCGACAATAGAAGAGAATCAGGGGGGTGCGAAGAAGCCATCAGCGCAGCTAACAGATTCGGAGCTGGATGCTGTCGAATTAGACACAGAGGCCATGCGGCTCTTCCGTCGCATCTGGCCCCGTACTGAGAATGGCAAGGGCTGGTGCGAGGAATGGACAAGTTTCCCTCTCCAAATTTAGTACCTGGGTGTTTATTAGGTTTGGAACATGTAGCAGATTGTTGAATCAAATCCAAAGCTACACTGGGGAGAAAACAAACCGAGACTGGCATGGGGTCTACATGCCAGTGACTAATGAGGCTTTGTGCTCCTCTGTCGTAGCACTGTCTAGACACTGGCGTAAGGCTAGACAACATTGCAGCTCACGGTTGCTATGCCTTCAACTCGTCTCGAAGTCAACGGCGGCGTAGTGAACTTGTTTCGAATTCCAGCTCTCAACATCAACCCACTCTAAACCTTTCAGTCTAGTAGTATAAGCCCCCATATTATGTTTCACGATTGTTATTTTTGTTGTCACACAACCACGCAGCCCGCATAATCCATATCCCCAAGTCTGAAACCAAAGTCAACAACTCTGTTTTGCATTATGGCTTTGTAGCTAGCATTAGACACGATTAGGCAGATTCTCCTCACAGAGGATAGTTTCGAGGAACAGTGAATCTGGCACTGTATTCCTCGCATGCGCACCAATATCCATCCCCCCAATACATCTCGAATGTCGACCACATCTCCCCCGTGGTTTATGTGGGATCCAAAAGAAGAATGAATATGTAATAAAAAATGATAATATGCAGCCATCGGGCAATGCAAAAAAAGATAATAAATGTTCCCAACGCCATGACAATCTTGGTCCGTGGCGGACTATTGCCTGTGATTGATAACTGAACGCCAATTCAAAAACCGCTCCGAGGTATCTATTGTTTGGTCGATGAAAAGACAATTGGCCCGAAATAAAAAACCCTCCCCCCGAAATGTGATGATGGAAAATCCTCATGGTAAACATTAACGCCGACTCTTTTTTGGGTATTACGATTGCGCCAGCTGAGCAACCCGCGGTGGGATACACGATTCCCCAATCACATCATCGCGCGCGCCCGTTTGGCCTGGGGCTATAAGACTAACAGTCCGACGATGAAGAAGCCGAGGAGGCCAACCATGGAGCTCTCGGCATGCTGGGGAATGGTGGCCCCCGCCGTCGTGTCTGGGGATTGCGAGGTCGATTGGCTGGCCTGTGTTGCGCTGGTCTTGGTGACTGTGGCAGATCCTAGACATTGAGATTGATTAGCCCGAGTGAACCAAGGATGGGAAAAAAAGAAACTCCTCAATTGCGACGAGCATGACCACACACACAATGCCAAAGCGGTGGGTAGGGTTGCCGGTAGCTCGAGAAGACGGAAGCACAACTCACTCGTTGAATTTGAAGAGGCCCATTGAGCTGTGGTCGTCGAATTGGCGCTGTGCCCGGGAGTGCTCGGCGACTCGGGCGCGGGCCATAAGACATTGTCCAATGACCCCGAGGCCGTCATGACATGGACCGTGACGGCATTGTCTGGGCCGGCAGCAACAGCCTGGATTGCGACGGCGCCGCAGACTGCGAGCACTTGAGCGAGGCGCATCGCGATAGCTCTTCGTATTTGCAGGTCTTGGCGAGGCAGGGGGTGCACTGAGCCAAGCTGCGGGAAGAGCTGTGCTTGATAAGGGCCCCGTCTGGACGTTTGCGTCTATTTGCTTATGTATCAAGTAATTGCCGTCTTGGCGAACGTGGAGGACGGGCAGGGCGCTTTCTTAATTGCTCGCAATTTAGAGACAGTGGCAGAAAGCTGGCTGGAGAAGAAGACGGGGCGCGGCGCTCGTCTGCGAAAGGAGGACAGGGCGGGCTAGCAGGAAATAGTCAGGAGAAACTATACAGCCATCGAATCGTGCCAGCGTTTGATGGAGAGAGATCTCCCGGTACAGGTAATTAGCAGTCGGGGGCAGTCAAGGAGGCGAGAGAGGCGGACAACAGGACGATGTACCGGCCATGGACTATAATACATATCTACGTTGCTCAACCGGACCAGAGTGAACTGCAAGAAGGCCCAGGTTTCGGTGATTTGGGAATGGGGGGAGTATCTCTACCCTGGTCGGAACCCACACGCATTATCGCGAATCCCTGCTGACATGGCTGCGAACATGGGCTGGGAGTTGGTGGCTCGACACTGCTCCTGGCCGTTATGGGGCAATGCGCCTGTGCTGCAAGTGGCTCCAGCTGCCCAGATGGACCGTAGTGACCTAATCCCAGCGCAGACAAGCCTGGAAGGGTGGGTGGATGGCCAGTACGCAACGTCCAGGGCCAGAGCCGGTAGATACCAACGCAGGCCAGATTGCGCTGGACGCGATAGGACAGCAGACCTCAAGTGCCTGCGACCAGATACCTATACTACAAGCACTAAAGTCAATTGTGTACAGCGTTGATACGAGCACCTGCACCGGGCTCGCAGTAGCTGCCTTTCATCGTGCATAAGTGAGCCGGTACTCGCCATGTACATTACATACTTTGCCATGGGCAACCGCGTGTGCCAGCGCTGTACCTAGCCGCATTCTGTCTCTTTTCGATATGCATGCACGCGGGAGCATTACGTATGCGCCCACAAACACCGAGACCGTTTGAGCATCAAGATGCATGATGCGCGTACAGCCAGGCACTACTGCTCTGCACAACCAGTAATACTACTACACTAGTCATGTTTTGTATCGCCGATCCCATGGCACAGCGGCCTTGTTCATAAACTCTAGTGCAAATCCCCACCGAAGGCATCAGGATTTTTTTATGGACGCATCCTGCTTTTTTTTTTTTTTTCGACGACGCCGCCTCGGCCGCTATCTTGACGCCGCGATAACGCAAACGGCGGGATGCTCAGAAAACACACACAAACGCAGCCCACCCAGAATATTTGGCCACATCCAGACAGGCCGCTACCGTCGGGCGCCGCTCGCCTGTCGCATCTCCTTCCATGGGCAAGCACCCAGGCAGCCTCGTACGAGGTGATAACGCGGTGACTGACTGTGCAGATTGCATCATGCGCCCATAAAATGGTACACATCTTCGCTTGGGGAGCAGAGGGGAACCTAACACCCTCTGTTGCAATTAGGAAATATTGGCTTTCACCCCCGGCAGCCGATCTTGCAGCATGGCATTATGCCTTCACCGGGCCAAAAAGCTTAGTACCATCGACGGCTCCAGACAAAAATGGGGGTTTCGGAAGTACCACCACCAGTGCAGAGCATGACCCGGCCGCCAGTGTCATCTCTGAATTTTATTTTATTTTTTCCCGCAGCCCTCTGAGATTGTTCTGCTAGCCAGTGGTCCACTGTCCACGCACGCAGCCAGCGCGCTCCTGTGAGTGGCCTGGTCCAGATCTGGGTAATTTCGTAGCCTGGCCTGCTAGGTCTCTCATCTGCAGGCCTTCCAGTGGGCCATCCAATTCCCTTATCCAGGCTCTTCCCGCCCGCAGACGAGGCCGCCGTCCAAGGGGGTGGGCTCGTGTGACATTGGATGCAACTCAACACCGTCCCATATCGTGTCGAGCTCGGTCGGCACAGGTGTGACCAAATGGTCTGTCCTTCTCCGCTTCATCACCTGGTCGGTGTTGTTATTCTTGATCACGGCGTGTCCATGACTTCCCAGCGGATGGATCAAAGGATGGATCCAAGTCAATGGACGGATGGATATTACTGCAGGTTCTGATAATACCTCTGAAACTCGGAGGTAGAGGGGAGTATTTGCCTCCAGTCCGTCTTAAGTCCACCAAGGCTGCTCGACGAGTCGACAGGTCTCCATGGGGGTGAAACACAGCTTCCCAAGTCCCGCATATCGGGCGGAATCCTTTCGCAGCTCTCTTACTGGCGGGCCCCCCTGACGAAGCTTAGAAATTGGGAGGAGCACTGGCTAGCATCCGGTCTATGTGCTAGCTTTGTAAGTCAGACAGACGGACTCCGTAGCAGCGTGTGGGTATTTCGTAGGAAACCTCCACTCCTTGACCTCCTCCCCCTGTCCTCGACTCCGAAAAAACTTGAAAAGTAGTGACGTATATTCCCACCATTGTAAAGGAGTATTGACCGGCATTGGCCCACTTCCAGTACCTCTGCAACCACAGCTGCAGCTCACCCACTGCCAGAGCTCGTGTTGCTGGGCGAAGATGCGCAATTAAAAGTACCCGATTGGCCCTGGAGCTGACTCGAGGTCAATCGTTCTGCCAGGCCCATCGTCGATCAGCGAATCAGACGATCTTCACGTCGACATGACAGCAATTGCTACCTGGCACCATTTGGAGCATGCATTCCCCATGTTGGCCAGCATCAATCGCATCTTGGACGGTGGAGGCTTCGAACGTCTGTTCCTGTCGTGTCACAAGCTAACGACTGGCACGTATCAGATGATGTTTCTTTCCACGTACCACTTCACCCCGTCAACGCCCCTTTTAGAGTCGGAGAAGCCAAATCTAATTATTCAAGCATAATGCCAAATAGCCAAATTAGGGTGCCTTCCCTGGTCTCCCAGCCCCTTGTTGTCATCTCCGGTAGAGCCTGGGAAACCGCCCTGTGTTTCCGTGTGATGTAGCATAGCACGTGGGCAATATCGTTGCTGCTAACCTATACGTGCCCTTGGAAGCTCTGGTGTCGCGTGTATATCGACGAAGCTTCCAAAAATAAGAAGTCGTATGACAACTATCCCAAAGCCATCGGGTGTGGCATTTGTTGATTTGTTGTCCATCCGTGACAAATCGATATATCGTATATCTGCAACACCTGACCTCTGATCTGCTCGATTAGTATACTCAAATGCTGTTACCGTGCATGGGTTCCATCGAAGAGAGACTCTTGGATCAACTCCGAGTGCGATGTCATGTCGATAATAGAGGAATCAGCCAATATTTGCCACGGCGGCCACTCTATTCAAGGAAATTGATGAACACCGAAGATGCAATATGCTAGCCATTTCGCAGTTTGATGTCTAGATTAGCGGTTCTGGCGAGCCGATGCCAAGCCTTGTCAATTCCACGACCGAAAACTTGGCATCTGATGTTAAAATGACCCATAAATATGTCAGATGTGGCGTATGTGGCTGCCATGTGGCGGTGCACAGCGATTCAATTCGCGACACCACCAAACCGGACGACATCTTATCGTCCAACCGGGAATTGTTGGAAGCCAATTCACAGCCCGCTGGACAATTGATACCCCGGCAAGATCCTTGCACTCGCTCGCGGGGAATCATGTTTTCCACGACGCTACGACGCCTCGCGCAGTCGGCGAGGGGGCCTATGGGCAGGCTCACCGTCGAGAACAACCCATACCGGACCAAAAAAGTGTGGCCGCCCGACTTCAAGGACCTCACACCCCAGCAGCAGCTCCGGTTCGAGAAGAAGTACAAGCGCCGCCTCTACCTCGCGCATTACTCCCCGACATGGGACAAGGGAACGCGGATGGTCCGGTTTGTGCTGGTTACAGGTTCGCAAACCTCACGTATCCGCTTGGAGGGGGATGACCTTCGCATATGACTCTGGACTGCCAAGCTAACTCGGCCATGACCATAGGTGCTCTCATATACGCCCTGTTCTTCGCCGAATTCGAGTTTTGGGGCAAGCCGTACAAGCCATCTGAAGAGGTACACCCTACTGCTACACGTCGCCCGTTGACCGAGACCTCACTGACAGCGCTCTGCGATCATAGATTGTGGCCAAAGCCGCCCATCTCTTCGGCATCATGGACCCCGACAAACGCTACGAACGAAGAAAAGACGCACCCCCAGTAAACCCGCGAAAAGAGGAGGCCGAATCAAAGTAATGCTCCATACATCCCAAATAACATATATATGCATTCATAGGCGTTTCCGGTGTCGTATGCCATACCATTGGGGGGACTTCTTGTTGTCTGATATCCTTGCTTTTATACACCCCGAAAAAAGGTTTCAATGAAATAGAAAACTCCTCACTCTTGCTTAAAATAACAATCACCTGCCCGTCCATGCAAAGTTCGTCCCCATGCCGAGCCCCGCGCCGATCCCAGCCCCGCGGCCCTCGTTGACCGGCCGCTTCGCCACGGTGCCCTGCGCCTTGACTCCCGCCACGATCCGGTCGAGGTTCGTCTCCACGACGACCCCGCCGATGATCATCTCGGAGAGCGTGGCGTGCAGCGACTCGAAGTTGAAGATGAGGTCCAGCTCGCACACGTTCTCGAACAGCCGGTCCAGGGCCTCGACGTAGACCTGTATCAGGTCGATGAGGGCCAGCGGCGACTCGGTCGACGTGGAGATTATGATGAAGAAGAGGGTCGCGTAGTGGCGGTACGTGACGAGGGAGGGGACGTCGTGCTGCTCCTCGGAGGAGGTGCGGGAGGTGCCCGAGGCGGCGAGGAGCGGCGGGAGGGGCAGGAAGTTGCAGGACCCGGACGGTCGGTTGGACACGAGCGTGAAGATCTCTGATATCAATCGCTGCTGGATGCTGGTCTCCTGTGGGATATGTCAGCTGCTGGTCTGTAATGCGCGGGCTTGGATTGGGCTTACTAGTTGGGTGTAGAACTTGGTTAGGCGGGGTTGACCCTGGCCGTTGAAGACTAGGAATGCATTGATCATGGCTGCGTGATTGAGTCCCCCTATGAAGGATAATTCGAAGTAGCCAAAGGGCACGTCTAGTAGGTGTTTTAATTGTCCACGACCGACTACGAGTTGCTTGGTGGGGCTTTGGTTCAGCAAGGTGGTGGTGCAAGCACAAGATCGGTGACGCTTGGGCCCACTACTGCTATTCGGAGCCGGCTATAGCGTATGCAGCGGAAGAGCACCCAATTGAAGGAAGCTCTTATTCGCAGATTTGAGACGTGAAGACGCAATACTATGCTCTCGACAACCACCGCCAACTCGACCGATAGCACATGATAATATCGGCTCAACACACTATCGAAAACATTGGCGCTCTCTCATCCTTCTACCGGCTCCTCCCACCCGCCTCGGCTGGATTTCCACGATGCCCCGAACCCAGGCTCTCCAAACTTCCCGGCTGCTCATGCGAGCTGCGCGGCCGTTGAATCGCACTTCTTCCAGAATAGCCTCCCGATCAGCCGTCTCGAATTCACATCCAGCCACAGCGCCTGCACCATTGCACTGCAAAGCGTTCTCAACATGCAGCGTCCGATTCGGGGCACCCACACCAGACACAACCACACCCTCGAAAGCCTCGCCCACAGAACCTACAAATACGGTAGCAGAGCTAGATATCGACGAGTACCACAGAATAGCAGACATCTGGCTGGACAATGCCCTCGCCAAGTTCGAAGACCTCCAAGACCAGGGCGAGGAAATCGACGTCGAGTTCTCGGTATGTTACCCGACAACCCCCCTCCACCACACACGCCATCCAGCCAATTGATGACACCAGTGCTGACCATTTCGCATGTGTATAGTCGGGAGTCATGACCATCGGCGTAGTAGGGAAGGGGACCTACGTCCTCAACAAGCAGCCCCCGAACAAGCAGATATGGCTTTCCTCGCCGATATCGGGTCCCAAGCGGTACGACTGGGTTGTCAGCGGCGACGGGCAGACTGGCAGCTGGGTGTATGCTCGAGACAACTCGACGTTAGACCAACTCATCCTGGAGGAGCTGGAGGTTGACCTCGAGGCGTCGGACGAACTCTAGAGGAAGCAGCTGGGGGTGGTTGAGTCGAAAAGCTGCTTTGTTGTACACTACCTACCCACACACCCATGTTCATGAGGAGTTCAAACGGTTTGGAAAGGCGTTATACTCCAATTTCAGGTGGCAAATATCAAGGTTTGCTATTCGTCATGTAAAAATAAATCAATATGCTCCCCCCTTGCCTGGTCTGAAAAGCCGTGATTGATATACCCCTTGCTTTTTGTGTTGTGACCTTGGCCCTTTATCATCTATTGATACATCCTTTGCTGTTGTACATGGCTTGAACAAACTTCTCGTCCTAACTGGTGCTGAATTCGGGGAGATAGATGCCGTAGAACAAAAATCTCCTTGCAATATTCAGGAAGCATAGGTACACGGCGAATTGTAAGTCATCCATATGGGCTGAGATTTGTGGTAAATCGCAATATCAGAGATAAGTCTTCGCGGCTGATGTGACTCATGCTCCGTATGAATTACCCAATGACTGCCCAGCTTCCCGGAAGCTGACCTTATCGAAGGCAAAGTCCCATAGTCTTGTTGAGCATCGCTATTGTCATGTTGTAGTGATCAAAAGCCTTCGTCCTCTGCTCCTCAAACGGAGTGCTGAAACCCAGGTCAGCATGTAAAGAGACAGAACCTGACTCGAAGAAAAAACAACAACCAGAAATGGCAAAAGAACAAGAAAAACTCCGATATGGCCCCTGTGTTATTTAAATCGGACATGTACTCACCCCTGGATTTCGCGAATGTAGGCACTCCTCCATGTTTCTCTTCCAATGTGATTCCGCACCCTCACCCCAATGAGGTTCTTCACAATCTGGTGCTCGATCCCCCTCTCCCTCGCGGCGGCCTGCAGGAACCACATCGTGCGCTTCACGGCCTCCTTGTCCAGTGCCGCGCCCTTCTCACGGAATGCCTGCCGCATCTGGGTTCTCACCACGTAGCGGGCAGGTTTGGAGAACTGTATGGCTTGCAGCAATCCCCGGTAGAGGTGCCGGTACGCGTGGATGACATCCAGATTCGCCATTGCGGCTGGAGATGTTCATAAGTATGATACTGCTCTCCTGTTCAACTCCCCTTTCCACGCTGAGCGATTGAAACCTGGCGATCGGAGAGTATTCCTTCAAGGCTGAGCTCCGAAAGTGTGGTGGTGGGAAGAATTGAGTTGTACGGTGCGGACCACAAATATCTGCACAGTACTAGTAGAGAGCTTCACAACCGTCCGACCGGCACACCGTCCATCGACAGTCAACCTGATTATTTGTCGGTGACGATTTGAGGAGGAGAATTCCAAGGTCTGTAAAGCGAAAAGCTCACAGCATTTCTTATATAGTAACAGGTGGTTTGAAAAATGTGCTCAGTAGTAGAGGCGCTGGGAGACTATACTATCAATGATATATCTTACACTTTACACCTGGAGCAACTCTAACGTAGAGGCGAGGCCAATTCAACTGCCAACACAATGTGACGGGCTCCGGAAATGATTCGAGTACTCCGAGAGGTAGCCTATAAAAGGTCAGTCATGGACAACTGATCGATATTAAATCGATCCACAGCTGGACGACCGCAAGTCTCCTGCGCATGGAGGTAGGCTTGAACATTAGCATGACCTGGCTGTTACTGATAGGCTGAGTCTATCGCGCATCAGATGGCATCTCTCAACTGAAATTATGAAGGCCCTAGAACCGCGTCAGCCGACCGCAATTTCCAGGGTTCTCATCCACTTCATCACTATCTGGGTAGATCCCAATATATGGCATTGGAAGCTCGTCTACATAGATGTTCCTAGTCGGGTTCGTTACATACAACTTCCCTACGCACCGTCCCAACATGAAATACGATAATCGTCACGACCAAGTCATTATTGCAAATTTTGGGGGCCAGTTATATAATCCAAGTATGTAATTTACCCATGTATTGCACAAACGTTGTCTACTCTGATATTTTTAGTTCATCCAAGAAAGCTTCGCCGGTCCATAACTCATTTCGAATGGGAATGCTTCTCTAGTTCACGGCAGCACTTGCCTAACAACTCGGAGAGGCCCTAATAAATCCCATGTCGCTTTCTATATGCAAAACTCTATCGGTTGCCAAAATGAGGAAGATAAGGATGAAAGGAAATTGATCGTCCGGTTCCATCGCGCATCGCGCAGATGAACTTAGTTGCCTTAATTACGATACCCATCGTCTTGTTGGCCCAGTGGTGCATATCGGCCTTGACCACTTGCTGAGCTGCCGGCTCGACCCCGGTTAACAACGCGCGACAGCCAACCAGTAACAGTTCTATCGTCACCTTCGCCATTGGGGCCCTGGGATTTGGCGTCGATATCCATTTCGGGGTCCAATTGCAATCCAGGTATCGCAGATGAGCCTATCCCACGGGCAGATCCGATCGGGGAGCCCGGTCGCATCAGGGAGCCAGTCTCAGTTCCATGGATAGATGGTGTGCCTACAGTGGTGGCATCTCCAAAAAGGGAGTTCATGTCTTCCAGGCGAACACCACAGGTCTCTGGGTAAATGAAGTAGACTGAAACGTTATGTTAGCACATCCGGAAGATTTGAGCGTCATGGAACTCCGTTGGGGTATCCTACCGATCACAAAACTAAGAACGCAGAAAAATGCGTGAATGAGATAAAGTCTCCATTGGATCAAGTCTTTCAGAATTGGCGTCATCTGACCCACGAGCCAGTTGCATGCCCAGTTGGTGGCAGTGGACAAGCTCGCACCCTTGGAACGAATGCTGAGAGGCAGAATCTCTGGGGGGTACAGCCAGGGAATAGGTCCCCATGAGTAACCAAATGCGGCATTGTAAATCATGACGAACAAAACAACGAGGTTGGGAGTCCATGGAACATCCAGGAAGATGAAGTATGATATCATCGAGAGCGAGAATGCCATAGCGATAGCACCTGTCAGTAGGATGATGCGCCGGCCCCATTTATCAACGATATACCAGGGTGGGATTGTTGACAGGAAGTAGGTGATTGAGTTCAAGCCAGTCATCAAGATAGCATCATGTCCTTTCCACCCAGCCTGTGCAAAGACATACGGTGCGTAGTAGGATATAACATTGATACCGTTGAGCTGAGCGAGAGCCTGGGCAGACATTGCGATGAACACTCTCGTTCTATACTTCTTGAACATTTCGGCATAGCTTCGCTCGCCCTCTTGGCGCTGAAGCAGCACATTCATCTTGATGTCACGGTACTCTTCGCGGGCCTTGGTGTTATGTATATCACCTCCGCCATAGAGGTTTGCGATGACCACCATGCCCTCTTCGTCATGGTCGTTGTCGAGGAGCCACCTACGCGCATTAGTATGATTCATCTCCAGCCAGAACAAGTCGTACATACCTGGGAGATTCCACAATGATCAAACTACCGAGAGCGAGAAGCCCTCCCATGATGCATTGCATCAGAAGAGGAATGCGCCACGAGAGATCGCTTTTGATAAACCCGCACCCATAATCCACCCAAACTGAAGAAGCATAACCTATAATGTTCCCGGAGAATTCAATACATGCCAGCTTGCCTCGGTTGTGCGGAGGGGAAATTTCGGATTGGTACACGGGGACGATTGTCGAAAGGGCACCGACACCGAAACCAGCCACCAGGCGCCCCAGCATCATGATGGGCATATTCGTAGCAAACGTCTGCAGTGCACCACCAACCAGGAAAATGCATGAACCATAAAAGATAGTCCTCCGTCTGCCAATGATGTCTCCAATGCGGCCGACAGCTAGAGAGGAGATGAAAGCACCAATCTCCAGAATAGCGACCATAGTTCCTACAGTTGCCATCGAAGGTTGATGAAAGTAATCAATAAAGTACGGGCCACTACAACAGCCAAATTAGTTTTACATCTCGCAGCACGCTGAATATTGCTGATAAGAGACGTACACAATAACACCAGACATCACGCCTTGGTCATAACCGAACAAGAACACGCCTAATGACACGAAAATACTGGTGAAATACCTGCGGATTGTTAGCCCATGTCATATCCACAAGACTGTTATTCGAGCGGTGTCATACAGAAGGGCCTTGCCCGTCAGGCCATGGGCCGCGCCATAACCTCCCGACATGATGAATCCGATGCAGCGAGAGGTTCTAGATGGAGGCGGAATGTCTACCACAGGGACCTGGATCGAGGCCTTCTCGATAAGACCATACGGCGAAGGAGATCGACGACGTCGGTCTGGTGACGGGTTTTGGATTCGAACTTTCTTCTGCCGACGTTGTCGTCGCTGGACACCAGCTAACAGCTCGTCCTCGACGCCTTGGCCCAGTTGCAGCCGCAGAGGGTCGCTTTCGTCTTTGTGCTCGCCAATATCGCCCGTATCAGTCCACGACGATTCCGACTCTGAGGAGGAGGAGGAACGGTCACGATGATGGGAGTTTGAACCGCCGGGGCGGTAGTCGCGGCGTCCTGGGCGAGACAACAGAGATGCCGAAGCTGAGTCGTTGTCACGGCCGGGTCGTAGGGTCCGGAGGGGAATGTTGGAGGGAAGACGGGATGACGTTGACGAAGGAATGTTGGGTGGTTTTGGGGCTGGAAAGCAGCAGCGCCCACCTGTGACCAATTGAGGAAAGAGAAGGAAAAGAAAGGGAAAGAAGGGAAGAAAGAGGGCAAGACCGATTGTACCTGGGTACGTGCCGATAACGAAAGAGGTGGGAAAGAGCAACGGAACGAAGTCGTTCGGGGCTGTCTGCGGAGACAATTATGGGTCGGGTGACAGGAGACACAGCGTGAATCAGTTAGGTACAGGTAGGTCCCATTTGCGAGACCTCAGCGGCTCAGGATGATGCAGTCGGCTTAACCTGTCTTGATTGGCTTCACTGCCCCCAATGCCTAGGAGTTGGCTCGCATGTGGTGCATGCACGGGCGCAGATAAGATAGAGCGGTATGGTCAATTGGTCGCTCAGCAATGTACCCGGTACTTGCGCCCCTGTACGGTCAGAGGCAAGTCCAGCTGGGCATGAGAGACACCCGTGGGGAATTGTCACGAAGGCAACGAATGTCACGCCGACGACCAGAGCGAGATGATACTTCCCCAGCTGCGAGAGGCAGATGACTAGCGAGCTGCCACGAGTTTTCTGCGCGAAAGGCGCCCCGGACGAGTGGGCCAAGACGCACGATGATGTTCTAGGCGGAGAAGGTGCAGTGCCTGGAGGCTGGAGAAGCCGCGGAAGGGTCAGGAGACCGACTGGGGTTTGGTCTGGTCTGGCTCAGAGCCTGGGGTTGGAATGGGGAAACAGAAGAGAGACAGGCGGTCCGAGGAGGTAGTAGGCGAGCGTGATGAGGTCGAGTGAGATGGGGAAGCACGAGATCACTGTCCTGGGACCTGAAAGATGACGGCTGAGATGAGATAGGCTTTCAGGACACGCAGCCAAATTATTATGATGGTTGATTAGAGGGCCTCTGACAGCAAGCAGGACTCAGGAGACGGGATCTTGGTTTTTCCAGCCCTGCTGCTGCTGCTCAAATTAGCACCCACTCCACCAGAATCTGCCCGTCCATACAACGCCAGTGGCGCTCTGCCAGCTGAACGGGCTACCCTCTATTACCGCCGCGCCAGCCAGCCTTGCTCTGGATGTAGCGGACATCCAAAGCAACCCGAGCGCCTGTCGCGAGAAGGACGATACTCAGGGCCTTATGTTAATATCAGACATAAGCTGGGGCCCTGTTTACCGTACCGCCACCAGAGACACAGGGGAGAACTTTAGTACATCATGTAGCGGATACCAGATACCAAGTACCTGGTACCTCGCTATCTCTGGGACTTGATTCCTCCGCTTCTCTTTGGGTCCGGTGAATCCCCTGCAGGCCCAGTACGAGTAGATGCTATGCCGTGTACATGAAAGATCAGCGAGTCCTTCTCAGCAACGAACCACCTAGCGCCGCACACGTCGGTCCACATAATCCCACGCTCCTTCTTCTGAACCTGACGTGGGAGGAAGTACTGCCTACAACTGAACAATGTGTCTTCATGTGCGACAGACCCTTGCGAGGGTACCTTGGCGAGTATCTAAGTGGAGCAACGACGTCAGCCAGCAGGTGCGCCGACAATCGCTTCTCCATGGTTCGGGAGCAACATATCTCATCAGGGCGTGATGGCCTATCTGTTGTGTTTAGTGAGAGCTGCTGGCTATCAATCCGAGTGTGAAAACTTGATTTGAGTGGCCCAAGTGCTTTAACCATCACCGACCGTTTGACAAAGCACTTAGTCTGTGCGAATGCTGCTGATGACGTCTTAACGGTCAGCGCTGGGGTTCGTGGGGCAGATCTATGCACCATCTTGGGGGAAGGACGGCTAGGGTTCCATTGAAAAATAAAATTTTGTGAGAACGTGACGCCAGATTTGCTCTCTTCTAGGACCTCGGTCTTGTAAATTTCCGAAGCTAAAGGTATTAGAACGGTTTTGCCATCTAGTTCTCCTGGTTCATCGTCCCCCGCGCCGGATTTCGGCGTGGTGGAGTCTCAACCCGGCGCCGTGATATAGGTCTCCGGAGGCCTACCGACCACGACGGATAACATTAAGTGGCCAGCGGGATATGCAGGATTTCTGGCGCTGGACATGGAGATTCAGTACATGCTGTGTTTATTTACCTCTTACTGTCGATGTGTCATGGTTGCGTGTAGTATGGTCTCGAAGATATGCATAGCTCTCTCCGTAACTTATGATACACTCTAAGTGATGTCTATTGAAAACAGAGCTACATCCTTAATGTGCCCACCGACGAAATAGAAGAGAAGAACCAGACCACAACCAACGAAAGATTGACTCAAACAACAGCCGAGAGAGAAACAACCAAGAAGCAGATATGCCGTTGTGGACATGAATGAGGGGGAGAGACTATAGGGTAGGACAGATAGTTCATACTAAGATGGTGCACCAACTTACTGTTACAAGTCTCGCGTAATGGTGAAATAGATGAGAGACCAAACAGGACTGGTACTTAATTGCATGGTAGCCAATGTCATCCCTCCGACGAATCGAATACTCATTAACCCTTAGGGCGATATGTTAACAATATTAGCCAACTTAGAGCTGATGCAGACTATAAGAGTGTCTGGACTGATAAGTGGGGTTATCCTTATCGCCCGATTTTTTTTTATCTGTATCAATATCTCTGCAAACTTTCGAGAAAAGTAGATCAATCGTAACGCCAGCCATTTTCAGATACCTGATTTTCCGCAGTCACAATGAAGCGCAAGCTCGATAAGAACGACAGACCGTCCTCTGCGGCCGACTCGGAGCAGAAGCCAGCGACTGAGAAGGCCGAGGCAGAGTTTTCCTTCACTGACCTGGGCCTCGACCCCAGATTGCTCCAAGCCATCGCGAAGCAGAAATTCGAGAAGCCCACGCTCGTGCAGCGCAAAGCCATTCCACTAGCACTCTCCGGCCAAGATGTCCTGTGCAAGGCCAAGACGGGATCTGGAAAGACCGCGGCCTACGTGCTGCCTCTTCTCGCTTCCATCCTGAAGAAAAAACAGGTACATACAGGTCGCTCGCCAACCAGCCTTGCGCAACAAATGACTGACTTAGCCTCCAGACTGCAACCGCGGCATCAACTTCGGCGCTTGTCCTTGTCCCGACACGTGAACTTGCCGACCAAGTGTTCAAGGCCATCGAACAATTCGCTTCCTTCTGCGCCAAGGATATCCAAGCAGTGAAACTTACCGACAAGCTCACCGACGCTGTCCAGAGAAGCCTCCTGTCCAACTCCCCGGATATCGTTATTTCTACACCTGCGAGAGCCTGGCACAATGTCAACTCATCCGCGCTGTCGCTGGAGAATCTCATTTGTCTGGTGTTGGATGAGGCAGATCTCATGCTCTCTTACGGTTATGATGAGGATATGAAGAACCTTGCAAAACTGGTACCCAAGGGCGTCCAGACGATCATGATGAGCGCTACTCTCTCCGCCGAAGTCGACGCCCTCAAGGAAATCTTTTACCGCGACCCTACTCTCCTGGATCTTGAGGAACCTGAGGCAGACGGTGAGGGTATCAGCCATTTCGTCGTCAAGTAAGGACCTCCAAGACCTTGAATGTATCCTCGCGGAACGTGCTAATAAATTTATATTCAGGTGTGGTGAAGACGAGAAGTTCCTTCTTGCATACGTTATCTTCAAGCTTCAATTGATCAAGGGGAAATGCATTATTTTCGTCGCCGACATCGACCGATCCTACAGGCTAAAGCTATTCTTCGAGCAGTTCGGAATTAGAAGTTGTATTCTAAACTCGGAGCTGCCAGTCAATTCGAGAATACACGTGGTGGAGGAATTCAATCGCAATGTGTATGATATCATCATCGCCTCTGACGAGAAGAGCGAGATGCTCAACGTCGACCCAGAAGATGACGAGGCTGAGGATGGTAAGAAGGGCGACGAGAAGGAGGAGGGGGAGTCTAAGCACCCCAAGAAGAGGCGCAAGCTCGCAAAGAGAGATTCGGAATACGGAGTTTCGCGAGGTAAGTTCTCCGCCTCTTTGGTCTGGACGCATTTATTTACGGAAATCTAATACGGGTAACTAGGCATTGACTTCAAGAACGTCGGAACCGTCATCAATTTCGACCTCCCAACCACAGCCTCCTCCTATACTCACAGAATAGGAAGAACCGCTCGCGCTGGGAAGAACGGCATGGCGCTATCGTTTGTGGTTCCCCAGGCGTTGTACCGAAAACATATGCCCACTACGGTCGACACTGCGGAGAAGGACGAGAAAGTGCTGGCAAGGATCATCCGCCAGCAAAAGAAGATTGGCAAAGAAGTTAAGGACTACAACTTCAACAAGGAGCAGGTGGAGGCTTTCCGGTATCGAATGAACGATGCCCTCAGAGCTGTCACCAAGGTTGCGGTCCGAGAGGCCAGGACGAGAGAGTTGAGGCAAGAACTCTTGAAGAGCGAGAAGCTCAAACGGTATGTGGTTCACCGCATCTTGTTCAATGGGAGGTATTCTGACAGTTGTACAGGTATTTCGAGGAAAACCCAGCAGAGTTGCATCACGTACGACACGACGGAGAGCTGCGAACGGCAAGGTCTCAGCCCCATCTTAAGCACGTGCCGGATTATCTTCTCCCCAAGGAGGGAAAGAAGGGTCTTACCTCAGAAGAAATTGGGTTTGTGCCATTGAGAAAGAAGGATAGGTCGCGACACAACAAGAAAGGGAAGCGAGGAGTGAAGGTTGGGGGCAGAAGGGCCGATCCTCTGAAGACCTTCAAGGCAAGACGAAAGACGAAATAGAGCATGCGAAAATTGGTGAAGGCATTTCCGGGTAAATAGCGTCTCGTTGAATAATACATACAATTGTAACCTCGCAAGCGATTCTCGTTGAGTTGTCGGGTCTAGACTGGTCAGCCACATTCTATCAACTGCTCTACTAGTGTCAATGTTGGGCTGAGAACAGGGGCCATGCATGTCACTATCGCCTTGGGGTGAGAAACTATCAGTTGCTTGGCCTAATGCGAGCTTTCGTTGATATCAGAGACAAGTTTGTACCACTATCCAACGGCTAGTATATGTGACCTGTTGAATGATTGCCAGGCGAGCTTGGGCTCCTGTGCAGGGATGGCTGCGGGCAAGACAGACACGGGCCGAACGGAATGTCAGTGCCTGCCCGCGCATTGAACATGTACAAAGTGACGATAGATTGGATGGACTCACTAACATGGGATGGGATGGGATGGGATGGGATTATGGCCAGCAAACACGAGATTCTCGCCCAAAACCACCACCACACCACGTATTACCAGCGCACCATGCATGAAGGCCCTGCATCCGACCCTCCCCACGCCCACCAGCCACCACACACACATCATCTGTGATCGCCCATCTGCCTTCCCTCGAGTCCCATTGGCAAGGAGAACTCACACTCACAGGGGCAGATCGTGCAAGCGATGAGGGTCTGCCGGTCCCCTGTTTTCCCTTTTCTTTTTCTGCCCTGCCCCAGGAGGGGACTTGTCTCACTCCAAGCAGCGTTCCTGCACGAGCTAGGACCTATTTTCTGCGACACGGGCGACTGATCCTAGCTCGAGGCTCGAGGCAGAACTAGAACACGGCACCTAAGCAGGCACCATGGTCAGTTGATGCTCTTTTCTCTCATGCACGCTATCCCGTGCGGCTGGATCACATCGGTGAGGCTTGGTTGGCTAGCTGCCTGGAGGGCTTGGCCCAAGGCGCATCAGCGTGCGTCAGTCCGTCCCGTCAGCCAGGGCGAGCACATGTGTTGTAGCTTATCGCCGCTTGTTTCTCGCTTGCCTTTTTTTTTTTCTCTCCCTCCTTTGCCTGCCCTCGTGTGTGTGTGTGAGTGGTGATATCTGAGTTCGGGAGATCCTCATTTGCCCGCCCCTATCTGCCCCCAAGGACGATGCGCAGAGGAGAGAGTAGCACCCCGGTGTTGTAGCCATCTTATGCTTGTTCGTCTTCCGCGGAGCTCGTATCCAACCTCATGATCAGCCCACCCATCCATCTGCTGCAAAGTCAAAGGGGCGCCTCCATATTCCGAATTGGCAGAACGATCATTCATAATCTCGTCTGAACGGTTTCCTGTTCTGTTTACCGGTCTTGCTGATCGACAATTGCGTTCCTGGAGAGGGGCTGGACGCCACCACCAAACCCAGCCATCCAGCAAAAGCAGAGAGCCACAGCCCGGCCCAATCGTTTGTCTGCGTTGCGAGAAACGCGTTGGCCGTAATACGGACCTTTTTCCACAATTGATAGTATAAGTATACGGAATTCTGCTCCGGCTCGGCGGGTGAATCGGTCAACCTCTCCCGGTTGGTCTCGGCCGTTGCAATGGGGTCAACAGAGTTCGGCAATTTCAACGTTGGTATTGCCCACATCGGATCAAAGGTTTGGGGCTGGATTGCTGACTTGATTGGCCAACATAGAAATTCTGCGCACACTCGACACTGCCAATCTGCAATGTACGTGGTGTATTTGCTTCCTTACATTCGCGTGGGTAGAACAATGACTGACCTGGGACAATATAGCTCTTATCACCGCCCACGAATGACCAGGATGGAGGGGATTGGGGAGGTTGCCAGCTCGTGGGAATTCGCCTCGAGGGTGGCAGGAACTTGGCTAATGTTGGCTCCATCATATTGGCCGGCATTGCTGTTATTGTCGCCACCTTGATATTGAGCTATTCTGGAAAGAAGAAGTTTATCGGGAGAGGGTAGGCATTTCACGCGGGCACGTCTCCTTTATTGGATCTCATCTGGCTAACACGGAGTCATTCACAAGGGAAATGCAAATCTTTCTTCTCGGCTACATCCTAATAAGCGTTTGCGAAATATTCTCAGTTGGCGGATTGCCCATCAGCAAGAATGTTCGGATGGTATATTCAGCTTGCCCCTGCTTCCCCGTTTGATTCTTATTATCGAGGCTAAAAAAATGTTCTATACAGGCATTCTCGGCGATTCACATCGGAGCGATCACGGCCACAACATGGGTCCTGGTGATGAATGCCCTCGTTGGTTTTCAGTTGACCGACGATAGCGCATCGATCACTCTGGCGGCGACCCTCCTTGTATCGCTCGTCCTCTTCGTCGGCACTGGCTATATTGCGCTCGATACCGGCTTCCAGTTCACACAGCACTGGGCATCCAGCTACGAAACCCCGAACCGCCATATTTTCCTCTACGTCCTGTATCAGCTTGTCCCGCTCGTCTTCCTTGTTGTCTTCTACGTGTTAGAGGGAATTCTGGTGATACGTGTTCTCGGCGAGATCCGCCCGATGCTGTACTTGTCAATTGCCGCCGTTCTCTTTGCCATCGGCCAGGTCTTCAACTACATCGCGAGCGGGTATATCTGCGACGGGACAGGCGGCAAAGTCGACGGGGCCCTGTTCCAGACCTTCTTTACCTTGCTATCGGTCATTATGATCTGGATATTTTGGGGCAGTTTGAAATAAAGTGTGCAATTCCTTGGCCCCTTTGTATCTGACGAGGGCTACCTCGCCAAGAGAGTCACGCAGAAACAGTAATGTATAGATCCGATGGCCTCGGTGAGACGGTTGATTAGGTTGAATGGCGCTCACGCCTGGATATTGGTTAGATCACTGAGATTCGATCTTATAATGTAATGGATAAGAATGATTGGGAATTGGGAGGATCCTAGACAGAGATTGAGCTTTCAGATGGCCGACCTGAAAGATCATGATAATAGCCGTAGCTTTTGCTAAGGTGAATATTAAAATGAATAATGAAGATATGGTTGGTATATATAGTTTGATCGGATGGTAAATCACCCTTGCGAGTCTCATGCCCGGTCACCTACGCTTACCTAGGTAGGTACCTAGGTAGGTAGTGGGGAGAAATACTGGCCCAATTAGGCAACCAAAAGTCGTATCTGCAAAAAGAAGAAAGAAATGTTAAATATTCGGATATCTCTATCTTAAGATAAAACGCCGATCAATGATGCACCCTGGATGTGGCCAAGAAATTTGGGCTATCTAGGTTGCCCTTTAGAGCTGCTCTCATTGGCTTCAGCTACTGAATCCGCTGTGGAGAAGCACAAGGCTGCGTGAATCTTAGAAGTAGCAGCAGCCTTATTCGCCTTTCCTTGCACAACCACCTTCTTTCAAGCTCACCATCTGACCAACTCCCCATGCTGTCCCACCTCCGCGGTGCGTCCACTGGAGCCTAATTCTCTCGTCAAGCTTTCATCTCAATCCACCCTCCGCGAAGCTCCCACCTCGCTCTTTTGCACGGACCTGCCGTACAACCTCCTTCGCCATGGCGGACTCGGACGGTGAGTTCGTCGCGGACGACATGTCGGACGACGATCTCCACGACCACAACGTCTCCGACGACGGAAACGACGCGAATGGATCGGGGGCCCGCAGCGGCAACGGATCGCGCTCCAAGGGCCGGCGGAAGGGCGATAGGAACGGCGCGCAGGCATGGGAGAAGTCGAAGCGCACGTGGGAGACCGACCTCCCCGAGGAGGAGGATGGGATGCTGAACATGGCGACGCTGGAGGCGGAGAGGCGCAGGAAACTGCTGAGGGACACGACGCCGCTGCAGCGAGGCATCATCCGCCACCTGATCGTCGTGCTGGACATGTCCTTCGCCATGGCCGAGAAGGACCTGCTGCCGACGCGGTTCCGGCTCACGATCAACTACACGGCCGCCTTCGTCAAGGAGTTCTTCGAGCAGAACCCCATCTCGCAGCTGGGGATCGTGGGGATGCGGGACGGCGTGGCGGTGAGGATCAGCGACTTGAGCGGGAATCCCGCTGAGCATCTGGAGAAGTTGAAAGACCTCCCGAGTCAGGATCCTCAGGGCAACCCAAGTCTGCAGAATGCGTTGGAAATGTGCCGAGGTGCTTTGTTGTGAGTTGTCTCCTCGTTCAAGTGACGGCGGTTTTCGATTGCCACCTTCACATGAATTCTGCATAACTGATTGCCGTGAAATCGTGGTGCTAACTCGTTGGGGGTCCCAGTCATGCACCGTCACATGGAACTCGGGAGGTCCTCATCATCTACGGAGCATTACTCTCCAGTGATCCTGGTGACATCCACGAGACCATCGGTAATCTAATCGCCGACCGCATTCGAGTATCGATTGTCGGCCTTTCTGCGCATCTCGCCGTTTGTGCAGAGCTTTGCTCCCGAACAAACGCAGGCGATGAGTCTCAGTACAACATCGCCATGGACGAGGTCCACTTCCGTGAGCTCTTCCTCGCCGCCACGACACCTCCCGTCACACGCACCGCCGAGCAGAACGTCGCCAGTCTGCTCATGATGGGCTTCCCCTCGCGGACTCTGGCCCCGAGCGGCAGTATAAGCTACTGCGCGTGCCACAGCAAGCCATACCGCGAAGGGTACGCCTGCACCCGCTGCGGCGCCCGCGTCTGCCGTCTCCCCACCGAGTGCCCTTCTTGTGGCCTCACCCTCATCCTGTCGACCCATCTCGCCCGCAGCTACCACCACCTCTTCCCGCTCCGGAACTGGGTGGAGGTGTCCTGGGCTGACGCTGCCGCGTCTACCGCGTGCTTCTCCTGCATGTGCCCTTTCCAAGAACCCAAGGCTTCTGCACAAGCCGATGGTAAGAACGCTGCCGCTGGTGCTAAAGAAGCCCAGCCGGCCAAGCACAAAGGTGTCAGCGAGAGTGGTCGATACGAGTGCCAGGTCTGCAAGAACCACTTCTGCATCGATTGCGATGTCTACGCCCACGAGGTGGTCCACAACTGCCCCGGGTGCCAGAGCAATGTGCACAGGCAGCCCCAAACGTCAGTGACGAATGGGAATGGCACGACCGTCCATGGAGACACGGTCATGGCAGACGGCTAGGCTCATCCTCCTTTCATGTATCAAAAACGGAAATGAAACAAGGGAAGTGGCTTTCCTAATTGGCTAGACCAGCCTTGTTTTCTGCGTACAGCTACGAATATCTTGGGCCCATTCTGGGGTTGAACTTTGTTCGGTGTCTCTTTGCTTTTTTATCGCTTTACTCTTTTCATTTTTCTTCGTCTCTGGCTCCTCCTTTCCTTGGAATTAGAGCGCCTGAAGAATTAAACCGGGAAGAAGAGCGTTCCTGACGAATTTACGAATATCACATGCCGATGGGTCTGGCGAGGGAGCAAAATTATCTCAGACTTGTTGGATCAACGAAACAGCAAAAAATTGTTTGTATAATATGTACTGGCAAGGTCAGATCGAGGAGCAAAGCATGGACGTGGAGTTGGGATCAATGACTTGAATAAGAAAACTATTATGTTGGAAGTTGAATAAGTCTTGTATTTGTGAAATCCTGCATGCAATCTAACTCTGCTTGCCAAATGTGTCCCATATCTCATAATCTTCCACTGCTTGGTGGGAAATGATACTCTCCAGGTGGCTATCCTCTCCCTCACCACACCTCCTTAACTAACTATGAAAGAAATTGTTATTTTGTTCCGCCATGGGATAACCCTGATGGCGCTTTACAGGTTCCCGCGCTCAGCCTGTTCGCGCTCAATGGCCTCGAACAGGCTCTTGAAGTTGCCGGCGCCGAAGCCCTCGAACTCGTTGCGCTGGATGATCTCGATGAAGACGGTGGGGCGGTCCATGAGGGGCTTGGTGAAGAGCTGGAGCAGGTAGCCGCCCTCGTCGTAGTCGATGAGGATGTTGAGGCTCTGGATGGTGTCAAAGTCCTCCATGAGCTCCCAGTTGCGCTTCTCGGTCTTGAGGCGCTGCCGCATGGTGTCGTAGTAACTGGGCGGGACGTTGATGAACTCGACGCCGCGGGCGCGCAGGGCGGACACGGAGGTGATGATGTCCTTGGTGAGGAGGGCGATGTGCTGGACTCCCGGACCCGAGTTGAAGGTGACGTACTCCTCGATCTGGGACTTCTTCTTGCCCGGGGCGGGCTCGTTGATGGGCATCTTGACGAGGTTGTTGGGCGAGGCCATGACAATGGAGTTGAGGGCGGAGAACTCGGTGCTGATCTGGGAGTCGTCGACGGACCAGAAGCGGTGGAAGGAGAGGCACTGCTCGTAGAAGGCGCAGGCCGACACCATCTCGTGCCATGACTGGTTACCCACGCAGTGATCGATGCGTGCGAGGGGGACCTTTGGCAGTGAGACGGCGGCGGTGGACTTCTTCCCCTCACGGAATCCGGGGAGGAAGGGCCCGGTGTATGAGTTGCGGTTGATAAGAGTGTGTGTGGTGTCACCGTAAGTGCAGATCGATCCGAGGGTGACGGAGCCGTATTCTGGGTCTTTCAAGGTACGGGGAGCATCGACCGCAATGGCGCCCTGCTCAACGGCCTTGTGATAGACGGCCTCGACATTTTCTACTTCAAAGGCCACATCCTTGACAGCATCACCGTGTTTTTCCAAGTGAGCATGCATCTCTTTCAACAGCTTCCTGTCGGCATCTGAGATGGGCTCGTCCTCGGGAAGATGCTCCGCTGAGCGGACGGGAGATGTGAAGACGAAGCGGACCTCATTGTTGGCGATGACATATGAAGCAAAGTAGCGGCTGCCAGTCTCTAGGCCACGGTAGGCAATGTGCTTAAAGTCGAAGAGGGTTGTGTAATATGAAGCAGCTTGCTTAGCGTTTCCTACCCACCAAGTGATGTGGTCATATCCGACAAAGTTGGCTGGGGGTTGGACGGCAAAAGTGCTATCAGTTGTGGCAGTTGAAGGGTTCACAGCCCGAGAAGGGGGCGAGTCAGTGATGGCCGAGGGTGCCATTTTTGATTATTCAGAGATGGATGAGGGTGAAAATGGGATATCTCAAGGCAGATGTGGTATGTTATCACTAACACTAGGTTGTTTGGTGACTGAAGAATGGAGTTATGAGTAATCGAGGTGATCTGATTGAAGAGATTATCTATCTCAGAGTGGAATGGACGAGATCTGAGGCCATGTATATACATTTCAATTTACGGATGTAGGATCTCTCAGACCAGGGCGCTTGCGGGGTGATACGCCTGGATCATGGAAATCCAAGGTACCGGGGCGGCATAACACTCCCCGGAATAGGTCCGCACCTTTTGTCCTGATCCCGTAGCCGTGATAGCACTGAGTCTAGTTTGTAAGGTGTAGTAAGGTGTAGTAAGCCTGTTTGATGTTTGACTAATGCCGCCGCCCGTAAGTGGTCTCGGCCAGCTGCATCACGGCTACTCACGGTGCGGAAACGGCGGAGTGGCGGCATGCCTTGCATCAAGACCCAGGTCAGATCGAGAAGCTGTCCATCCACATACCTCAAGGCCGGAGCTGGGTTATGCCACTGATTGATCCGAGAGAAGCCTCAATAACATCCCAATCGAATTGATCAAATAGAGCAAATCAAGTAAAATTACATCGTATTGTGTCAGCCTTCTCCTTTGTTCGTGCTTCCACTTGGTGGTGGGATTGAGCTCTATGCTGTGTTGCAGTACTTGTTTGTCCACGGACATGGGCCGTCCATTCCTTGGCCGCATCTGACCAACCAGACCAAAGACGATAAAATCAAGCGGTCCTATGACGAGGGACAGGGTCAGATTGCGAAACCCTCAACACCCGAGCGGAAGGCTATTTATCAAGGGGGTGGTATGCGGAAAGCTACCGTGGCGGTGCTAACCGTCGCAAGCCGACGGTGGCCCGGCCTCTGCCTAGTGGCTCATTGGTCAGCGTCACGGCACGCGACCGCATCTGATCGATCGCCCCGGGATTCATATCGAGTTGATGTGGGCTAGTAGTCTCTGTGCCGCTTGCTCTGGGGCTGGGCCGTGTTGGGTCTCTTCGCTGGCGTTTTCCCGCTTTGTTGGTATGCCGAAGCAGTGCTAGGCGAGTAGTATGGTGGACGGTATACTAAAAGCCACACTCCCCGAGATCCCCGTGCTCAACCACCTCTAGATATGCCAAACGTTTGTAGACAACTCTTGAGAAGCTCTTTTTAAACGTAACCTTCTCTTGTTCTGGATCCTACCAGGCAATCAATATTGTCCGAGCCACAATGACTGCTATCGAACTGAGCCGGCACGATATCAACGTGCTTGAGAAGATCAAAGACCCAGAGTCAAACCCAACTGCGGGCATCATCATCGATGACACTCTACCAAGGGATCCTCATATCATTGATTCCACAGTATATGACCGAGTGGTAGAGAAGGAACGCCAAATCATCCAATCTCTGCAGAAGCTTGAAATCCAGCTAAGCCAGTCGATGGCTGAGAATGGAACCGAAACCGCGATCCAAGGCTATAAGGATTGTGCTTCTGAACTGGGCAATTTAATATCTGAATATCCCGACTACGCTAGTGCCAGGAACAACCGAGCGCAGGTCGTCCGGCGGCTCTATGGAGATGCAATGCTGATGTCCGAGATTACCGGTATGCCGATGCCGCTGGTTGAGCAACCGGATAGAGGCGAGAAACGCACAGCTTCCGCAAGCGCGCTGGCAGACCTCGAACAATCCATTCTCCTCCTCTCACCACCATCGTTGTCAACTCCACTATCACCACAAGCGGCACGAACGTTATCCATGGCGCACACCCAGAGAGCAGCCATCTACTTGAAGACTGCTAAATTATTGGCATTCCGATCTCTGGATATTGATGAGAATCGGCGAGAGGTCCACTGGAGGAAGATAGATTTTGAAGAGGCTGCATCGCGAGACCTTGCGCTTGGCGGGAGATACGGTAACCAGATTGCGAAAGGATTGGCCGTGAGTGTCAACCCCACGGCAAAGCTCTGTGGGCAGATTGTGCGCGAAGCGATGAAGAAGGAATACGGTCCATCATTTGGCGAATAAACAGCAATGAGCCTTGTAATAGAGAGAAAATAGAATCTTTGACGACCCAGCGCATTTCACATCATGTTGATGAGGTGCTTAGTGATTGGTTGTAATACTATGGTCCTTATGATGTAGATTTCTCTGTAGCGAGCCCAACCCGTCTAGATAACGGCGTATTAGCCAAACACATTGAATGGTGCATGCATTCGTCCTTTGCTGGAACCTACCGTAGGGCGGCTTGAATAGTCTCATTCGTCGTTTTCCCCTTGGCCTTTTCCTCGCGATTGATTCGGGTCACAGCAGCCGATACCCCAATGAAGACAGCAAAGATGGGATCCGCTACCCTTGAGATGATATAGGCTGGAGCCGGCATGACTGCGAATATGAGTAGAATGATGAGCTTTGACCTAGCTTCGTTCCTGAATCACGAGAAGTGAGGCCACGACCTTCGTCACCTCTAGGCGTGGTTTCCACATTTTCGACCTAGGCCATTATCGATAGTCCAGGCCAGCGCGCACGGACCATCCATCAGCAACGCACACCGCACAATACAAACGAGGGCGGAAAATTCATCACGTGACATTCCACCTGCAATTCGCTTGCCCCAATTTGCAAAGCCCACAACCCCGAAATTTACACCAAAATCCGGATCACGGTTCAAGACGACGATTTTCTTCCCAGATCAATCGCGACCACACACAGCCAGGGCAAGATGAAGTTTCTCAAGGTCGGCCGAGTCGCCATCATCACCCGCGGCAGATACGCCGGAAAGAAGGTACGAATGCCTCCAAACCACCCTAATCGTCACCGCATCCCACCCTCCTCGTGCCTCCCGAAAGTTTTGTGTGTGAGATTTTGGGAGGGTGGTGGTGGTGGGATCAAGGGGATGACGGGTTGAATTGAACTATTTGGCGAAGCATTTTTACTGACAGGTCTCCCTTTCTCTCTCTAGGTTGTCATTATCCAGCCTGTTGACAACGGCAACAAGCCTCACCCCTTCGGCCACGCTGTCGTCGCCGGCATCGAGCGCTCCCCCTCAAAGATCACCCGCCGCATGTCCAAGAGCCGACAGGAGAAGCGCTCCAAGATCAAGCCCTTCATCAAGGTGATCAACTACAACCACCTCATGCCCACCCGCTACACCCTTGAGCTCGAGGGTCTCAAGGGCACCATCACCGGCGACACCTTCAAGGAGGTCACCCAGCGTGAGGACGCCAAGAAGACAGTCAAGAAGGTTCTGGAGGACCGATACACTAGCGGCAAGAACCGCTGGTTCTTCACCCCTCTGCGTGAGTACTTTCCTATCGGCCACCGTCATGGAAGACGGCCGAGGTATAAAATGTGACCTTGGACTAACATTTCTGGGCGACAGGTTTCTAAAAAGTTGGGTTTCGTCCATCACGGTTAGGGAGTTTGTGGGATGTATAGAGCATTGAATGTCACATATGGATCCCTGGTTTTACGGACTCAACATGATGTTCAGTTGAATTACAATTGGTTTCTCGGTGACTCGTGTTGAATGACATGGCGCGGTAAAAGGGTTCCTCGAGTTGATTCAGGACCTGAGAAGGACAAAATTCCCCCAGCCCAGTAGCGCCCGGGCTTTTCTCGCACTACGGCTGAATGCCAAAGTGCAAAGTCTACCCATTGGTAATAAAAAAAATTGCCTTGACGACATTCTCCCACGCTTGAGTCCAGAACACGTAGAAATCCATGTAGAAATTGATGAAGTTTTGACTGGGGCTTAAAATGATAATGAGATGCAACGTTCAATGAACGATCCAGACACGAAAGACACATAAAGAGATTGTCGATACAAATATTTTGTTTAATCAGTTTTCTTTTCATGTCTACATTTCTATAACAGATGGAGTTTAACGCCGTCTAAGTAAAACGGATTAGACCCTTCATAATGCAGGTCAGACGACCTCGACTTTGCGCTCTGCGCCCAGCTCTATAGCTATACACTCGTTAAAAATCCTTCGAAAAAATAAATGAAATCCCACCATCTGCCAAGATAAAGCAAAGTCTCCAAATTAAGAAAGGTTTCCCATGCAAATGGAAATATTTACTTGAACACATTTCCAGTCCATCGCGCAAAATGATCAGATGGAATAAATCACCTGCCACAAACTGAATTTGACATCATACCGGCCCAACGCCATGACAGGAAATGATTGCCGTCCTCGCCTTCCGCGGGTAAGTCGGCGTGAGCAATTCATTTCACCACTATGCCAAGCAGGCATGAAGGTATCTAGTTCTTCACTCCGGGCTTGGCCCAGGGGTTGCTGCTAAGGCTGAGCTTGCGTGGGTCGTACTCAGGAGCGTAGGTAGGGGCCAATCCACCGAAGAGGGTGAACAGAACAAAGGCAGATGCGATGATGATCGTAAGCTTGCGGAGAACAGGCTTGCGGGCACCGAACTCGGCCCACTGGCGGTTACCCTCACCAACGTAACCCTTGATTTGCTCAAAGCCAAGCTTGTAATAAACCATACCGCCCAGAGCAATGGAGTAACCGAAGAACTGGAGTCCGGTAACTTGGGTTCCCCAGATCATCATCGAGGCAATGACCAGGAGAATATCCTTGAGGACACCGCAGATGGTGAGAACAACAGCGGAGGTCTTGCCAATCTACATTGGACTGTTAGCGACCGTGTGAAACATGTCTGTTACTCAAGGGGGGCAAGTGCTTACCAGAAGAACGACGGAGACGTTAAGCATGAAGGCGCAGCAGCCGTTGAGGAAGAAAGTGAAAAGACCAACGTGGTAAACCTCGTCCATGGTGACCTTGGGGACTTCCCAGATGAGGGCAACAAGTCCGTTCATCAGGGCACAGACAGGGGCAAAGTAGTACACAGACACGAGAGGGTCCATCTTGAAGTCGGCAGAGCTGAGAAGTCTCTGAACCATGGTAAGACGGAGGGCCTCGAAAATGACACCAGCAATCTGGTACAGAACACCGACGAGAACGAAGTGAATCTCGCCGAAGGAGGCGACAATGACACCGACGACAATGGCAGAGACATTGAGGAACTGCTTGAGGTTTGGCTTGGAAACACCGAGGCACCAGCCAGAAATCAACACGGCAACAGGGGTGGTGGCCTTGAGCATCTGAATGAAAGCAACGGACAGGTACAGGTACGTCAAGTTGCCGCAAATCAAGCTCAGACTGAAGAAGAGACCGATAGGAACGACAGCTCGGAGGTATACGCGGCCGGTCATCTTGACATTCTTACGACCATCTAGGAGTGTGGTAAAGCGAGCCATGCCCTGGGTCATGACAGTGGCGAAGACCTGATGGTACGTGGTGAGGATGACAGGGTAGCCTGGCATCCGGTTAGTCGAGGAACGAGAGATCGTGGATGTTGGAGGTGTTTGCACGTACGGAAGTTGAGGGTGTCGAGCAGCCATTTGTTGAACAGGATAACGGAGGAGCTGCAAGCAATCCAGACACTAACGGAATCAAACTGTCAATCCTAGAAGGTCCAAGCAGACGGGTGCAGTCTTGCGAGAGTGATTGGCGAACTTACACGACATAGAAAGCTGGGTGGATGGAGAAGCCAGCCTGTCGCTGGCCCTTCTCAGCTTGAGGGTTGACGGTAGGAAGGACGGGCGAGTTCGCAGAGCGGGAAGTCTCGCCAGAGACGCGGCTCTTCTCTTCGCCAGACATGATGAATTAGTTGTGATTTACAAATTCGGGTGTACAAATTCGATGCCGATGGAAAGAACAAAGAGCGAGGTTGAGCGTGGTGAGATCAACGGTTCGCTGGAGACAGATTTTAGGGTGACGCGCAAACGAGCGGACGGACAGCCAAGAGTCCTGGAACGAGAGTCAAGGGGGTAAAAGAAGGAGGGGCGCGAATATGCAATTGGCGGGGAGCCGTTTAGCTTTGGCCAGGTAAGGGGCTAGAAGAAAAAGAAGGCTGCTTGCGACCAAGACAGGCTTGAGACACACAAGAGCTGGAGAAGTGATGAAAACACGAAGACAGAGAGGCCTTGGGGAGAACTCTTGAAGAAGAGAGAAAAGAAGAGAGAAAAAGAGCAAATCGGTCTGGTTGACGGACGGGAGAGGCAAGGAGGCAATTAAAGCTGGCCCCTTGGAAGAATGGAAATTGTCAGTTAGTGGGCAGCGTAGGGGGAAAAAGCCAGATTAGGGGATATCCTATGGGGGGTACATGCGGGATACCTACAGTGGGCCGTGCATTTGCAGACAGTACCAAAGCAAGGCAGGTAGCGGTGGAGTACACCGTAAAGGCGGCATTCTCTGCACGGGTCCCCTGTCCGGCCGGACGCCACTCACGGATCTCAGGGGTTGAATCATTGAAAGCAACCTGCGGTGGTGCCCTTGACCCCCTGGAGACAGTGGGGAGCAGCACCAGCCTGCCCATCCATCAATAGATCCAGAGCAGCCTGGCCAGTGGTTCCTCTTCACAAGGAGCGGGCTCGACTGCGATACCAGACCTGCTGGCGAATCACATCGCCCACGTTGAATATGTGGCACACACCCTGCTTTCCCGTTCCCTTTTTTCCCAGGTCGGTTGCTTGTTGCCATCTGGCCTGGCCTGGTATGAGGCTGGGGCCGTGTGACGGAAGCAAAACGGTGAGCTTGGGATTAATGGATATCTACGCATCTATAGTGTGTCTATTTGGGGATGGCACCTATAGCGCCAGCTATGCCCGAGGCTCACCTCACCTTGCTCGTATAATAATGATGAGAATGCAATTGTCTAAACACGAACACATTCGAGGGCGGAGGAAAGGGGGGTGAGGCGAGTTCGTGATTGGGTCTGGCCCCCAGCCGCACCAGACCCTCCCGCCCACAGAAATATAGCTTGATAGCCCACCACACCTCCTAATGCAAGTTAAGATAGACACTGATGGCAGAGAGAGGGAGGTCTTTACGCTGAGAGCCCCGTACCCTGGTCGAGACAGACATGCCAAGCAATCTACCACGCCGCGTGCCATCATGTCGCGGGCAGATGCGCTACGTTCCGCCGAGCTTGTCAAGAAGCTTGGCACGCAACCAGCACTTGGGGTCAGATCTGGCGTTGAGATGGTGAACTGCCGGGCCGAGCAGGTTCTCATACCTGCAATGTTCATGTATGCAATTGCAGACGTATCTATATCCAAATCTCATTATGATTGAAAATGTGGCCGGTTCGACTATAGCGCCTGGCGTAGACAGCGCAGGCTTTCCCCATTGCAGTCAGTTCTTTCCCACTTCATGAAGGCCTTTCGTCTCCCTCAGAGACAGTCGCTCATAATTGTGGACTTTGCTACTACTATTATCTGGCAAGGTTGGTATTCATTTAATACGTAGCTGTGGCATTGGCTGGATGCACCGCGAGAGCGTACAGTTTATCCTAATCACCGTCTCTTCCCTCCCTCTTGACTAGGGCATATCCTGGAGTGATCATCACGGCTAGCAGGCTTTGCATACGGGCTCCAGTGGTATTGTTGGCAGGGCGAATTGCGCTGCTCCTACACAAGCCTTGACAAGCTTTTTGTCTTGTGGATAATCACGACGGCAAATTTCGTCAAGCCAGGGATTTATCTTTCTAAAAAGCAGGCACTGTGCAGTGTGCGTCCCTTTTAGTACTCTAAGCGTGCGAGCTGCCAGCCGATCTGCGATCTGCCGTTGTTTCAGACTCATGCCAGCCAGCTGCGCCGACTAGGCTGCATCAAGGGAGTGGATGAGTCGATCACACACTCTAGTTCTGTCCTTCCGAGGCTGGTATTCAGGCGCTGGATATCGTTTACGTACCTGGTTCAGTGTCCATCCAGCAACAAGGCATTTGATAATAGAATGCGGGTTTTAGAAGGGTAGGGGGTTTGACGGATCTGTATCACACCCATCACAAGAATCGTTGATGCTAGTATGTATCCCTCACTCTCAACACAAGGGATACGCCAGTATCTCCCTCTTTCTTCAGGCCGCGATACGCTCACTGGACCTTCCTTGGCTAAATCAATTGATCAACACGCGTCGTTGAAAGAACTGTGACGCAAGCAACTCAAAGCCTCGATGACGAGTTTCAGCGTTGAAACAGGCCACCATGTAAATATCGCATTAGACGGCATGAAACTCTGTAGGCACTTTTGGTGCGGTACGGCAGCGTATAACACCCATGTACCATGCTATGTAACGATAATGCTTAATTGCATGTGGGCAAGGAGCAGCCGCATGCCCATTGGTAAGAGCACCCTAATTCCAAGCCCCGAGTGGCCTACCATGTACACTTCCGAACGCTGCCACCGCTGGCGGTGGAGGGAGTCCGCGGAGGGTTTTGTGATAGTTTTGTTGCAGAGACTGTTGCAGATGTTGCTCGGGATGTTCCAGGAGATGCCACGGAGCATGTTCCACAACGTATCCAGATCCGCTTCACAGGTCTCTGGCTCCAGGTCGCAATCTACGATGGACATGACATGCAGATAGCCCTTGCAACGCCGAGCTGGTCGTCATCTCAGGAAATTGCGAACCCCAAACTACGTGATGCGCTACTTAACACCATTGCTGGACAATGCAGGATCGAGCTCATACGGCGGTCAGCGGGACCCAGGAAATAAGCCATCATTTCATTATTGCACGCCTTGTTTATTGGATAAGACCTCACACACAGCACCAGGGCTGCTGAAAAAAAACAATAAACATTTCTGACAATGCAGGCTTTATTAGCCGCCAAGATTTTGAGCTCGGGAGCTAAGGGCCGTGGAAGCAGACCAAAGTTAATAGTCGTCGTTTTTAGCCCGACGTTGATTTGCAGATACGGATCCGGCTGAAGATTGCGAAAAGGTACTAACAACGTCTCTAGATGTGATGAAAGTGGACGGCAATTAATCTTAGCACACTATCGAATTGGCCGCAATAAGGAGCCATTTGGAGGCCCCCCCAGCCTCACGCCCGCGGATTTTGGCAAGGGGCACATCGAAAAAGCAATGATGTGCGTGGGAAGAAGGACATTTCCTCCAGACCTACCGCAAATGTTGTAGGCCCTCCTCCGATGGCTGCAATAAGCAGGTACCACGTCTGGCCGCATACGGTGCATGCCAGTTCAAGTATCCGCCTATCTGTCTGGCCCAACATCGACATGAACCCACGTCCTACGTAGCAGAGACTAGCAGCCAACAAACATACCAGACGAAAGAAGTTCCTCACCCTGTTCATTTTACGAACTACTCATGCAGCAATTAATACGTGCTCCAGGTGATTTGTCGCCCTCGACCAGATAAGGCGCTAACAACGGGCTGGGTGTGCTAAGCTCTGCCTGCCCCAGTGTTTGTGCCGGTTGGGAACACGTTTCACGGACGGGCGAGGCTCGACAGTCTTCAAAATGTTTCACACGACTCGCGTTGCAAAGCAGCACGGCGTATAGGGAGACAGGCACCAGCAGATAGTACGTTACAGGCCACGGTGATATGCTGTGCTGTCGCCCGGGACGGAAAAGGCAGACTACTGAGCAGCCACTCTGCAGCCACCGTCACAAGCGAAGAGAAGAGCAGATGAAAATCCAGCCATGAAAATCGGTAGTCGCAAAGGGTCCGCAACCCCCCTTTCTGGCGGGCTGCTCGACCCCTGTGGCGAGAGCATCTGGACCAGTCGCACGCTATAGAGTTACCGCTTGCTGTCGCCCCGTTTCTAGTGGGATGGATGGACTTGGTGCTGGGGCAGGCAGGTGGGAGCTGGTAGGAAATAGCTGCTAGGTAGAGGCTAATCCATCACCACCAGGGGGGTGGGGCAATTTGCGTGTTCCCCCCCCTGGACCCAGAATAATTTCAGCCCCTCCATCACCGACTTGGCTGTTCTCCTTTTCTTAGTTGCCCGCCACGACCAGGACAATTGTTATCTCCTCCATGCAATCAAGCTCTCGCCGCTGATTACATCTATCCCCAACCGCCTCCTCCTCTTGAGTTCCGTCTCTTTCTCTTTCTGGCTTCAATTGGACCTCTCAGCCTCAGGGACACAACGTCTTGAGCTCTCTATTCTTCTATCACCACCAACCCCCACCTTCCTCCAGTTCCAACACAATCCCCCACCATGGGTGCCGATATGTGAGTTGTCCTCAATTCTTCGCCAACAACCATCTTTCTGCTTGCCATTGAGCTTCTGAAGCTGACCGATTTGATGGTAGTAACGTAGACGTCCTCGTCATTGGCATGGGACCTACTGGTCTCGGTGCTGCCAAGCGTCTCAACCACATCGTATGTTCTTCACCGCCAGAACTTGACTGATATTCAAAATCTAACAAAGCTTCAGAACGGCCCTTCATGGCTGATTCTCGACTCCTCCGACAAGGCTGGTGGTCTTGCCGGCACTGACACCACCCCCGAGGGTTTCGTAAGTTGTTGTCTGAGCTTATCGACGCCTTGCTTAGTAGCTAACCTGTGACCTTGACAGCTCTACGACGTCGGTGGCCACGTTATCTTCTCCCACTACAAGTACTTCGACGACTGTCTCGACGAGGCTCTCCCCAAGGAGGATGACTGGTACACCCACCAGCGTATCTCCTACGTCCGCTACAAGGAGCTCTGGGTTCCCTACCCCTTCCAGAACAACATCTCCATCCTCCCCAAGGAGGACCAGGTCAAGTGTGTTGATGGTCTCATCGATGCTGCCATCAGCGCTCGTGTCGCTGGCGACAAGCCCAAGGACTTCGACGAGTGGATCATCCGCATGATGGGTACTGGTATCGCTGATATCTTTATGCGCCCTTACAACTACAAGGTCTGGGCTGTTCCCACCACCAAGGTATGGTTGCCCATTGTCACCGGTTTTCTGGGAATGTGCGCTAATAATCGACCTCCAGATGCAATGCCAGTGGCTCGGTGAGCGTGTTGCTGCCCCCGATGTCAAGAATGCTCTCAAGAACCTCATCCTGAACAAGGTTGCTGGTAACTGGGGCCCCAACGCCACCTTCAGATTCCCTGCCCGTGACGGTACTGGTGGTATCTGGACTGCTGTTGCCAACACCATCCCCAAGGAGAAGAAGCGCTTCGGCAAGGCTGGTGAGGTCACCAAGGTTGACGCCGAGAAGAAGGTCGTCCACCTTGCTGATGGTACCACCATCGGATACGGCAAGCTCATCAGCACCATGGCTGTTGATCACCTCGCCGAGAAGATTGGCAACCAGGAGCTCGTCAGCCTCACCAAGGGTCTCTTCTACTCCACCACTCATGTTATCGGTGTTGGTGTTCGTGGTGAGCGCCCTGAGCGCATTGGTGACAAGTGCTGGTTGTACTTCCCCGAGGACAACTGCAACTTCTACCGTGCCACCATCTTCTCCAACTACTCCCCTTACAACCAGCCTCAGAAGGACGTCAAGCTGCCTACTCTGTACAAGGCTGACGGCAGTGCTCCTGACTCTACCGAGCCCCAGGAGGGTCCCTACTGGTCCGTCATGTTGGAGATTTCCCAGTCTGAGCTGAAGCCCGTTGATGTCGAGAACATCTTGAAGGACAGCATTCAGGGACTTGTCAACACCAACCTTCTCAAGCCCGAGGATGAGATCATTTCCACCTACCACCGTGCCTTTGACCACGGTTACCCCACCCCTACCCTTGAGCGTGAGGGTGTCCTCAAGCAGCTCCTCCCCAAGCTCCAGGACCTGGGCATCTACTCCCGTGGCCGATTCGGCAGCTGGAGGTACGAGGTTGGTAACCAGGACCATTCCTTCATGCTCGGTGTTGAGGCCGTCGATGCCATCACCCAGGGCGCTGTTGAGCTGACCCTCAACTACCCCGACTTTGTCAACACTCGCCAGAACACCGAGAGACGGTTGGAGCAGTCCTTTGCTTTCAACACTCAGGAGCTCCCTACTCGTGAGAAGTAAGCGCATTTGGTTTTGCCATTTAACCGGCCCCCCATTACGTGATTTGTTTTTGGTGAGGTGGTGGGCCGTAATAGACTTTTTATTGTCACGAATTGGAATGTTTACCCGAGACATGGATATGAGGGAGCATACGAGCGTTGGGAGGACTACTCGTCGCCGTCTGTAAGGCGTGTGGACTTGGACCAGCAATAACCGGATATACCTTCAAGGCTTCTACCATGTATCACGCATTAGGCTTAATTTTGGTATAGACTCAACCATCCCAATAGATTAGAAATGGGCAAAAGAGGCTAGAAAAAAAGATACCCAAGCGTTGGTGCATGAAGATGTAATTATCGTGACGTCTTGGTGGGCAGCTGTGATGCTCGCGTCATAGGTGTTTGCCATTTTATTTTGCAAAACACCTGTCTCATCTCAGAAGCCATACTGATTGTCGCTTTGTGCATTGCAAAGACTAGAGGCCGCTCCGACCTGAGACTGCCCAATCAACTGAGAAGGTCATCCACTGCGTATAAGTGTCTTCCCTTGCACCCATCCAGAGATAGTGAGAGATCGTAGACCCTGTACTCAGCCGAGCTTGTGCTACTGAGGGCAATATCCATGCCATCATCACCAGGGGTGAGTTCCCAGTGTGTGGGGGAGCGGGAGCCTGCTCTTGAGCTCTCATCATCTGCTGTGGGACTTGAAGAGCTATGCAATTGAGTTCAGGATTGGTACTGACTGACTTGCAATGATCAAATTATCTACTGTCTGCATGTACAGTCTGCGATGCAACCCAAGGATAGGATCAAGCCTACATAGATGCAGCAATCCGTCCTACCGCCAGTATATTGATGATAAAAGTGGCATGCATGCGGCCAGGTGAAGGCTGAGGTGCTGACTGATTCATACAACACAACCTTGGAAGTCAATGATGTGATGGCACCTCCGATTTAGTGACATTGACAGGTCAACTTTAGCGACCCGGCTCAGCGGTGGGTTCCACAACATACAGGGCACTGACCACCACTGGCTGCACGCTAGCACCAGGACACCGGGATGCTGACAAAAAAAAAAGCCGCCAGTCTATCCTAGAGTGAGCTCGCAATATTCATTCATGCTATGCTTGATCGTTGCTGAAGCCAGCTTGTATCATAGTTGTGGGTATTCAAATGATTTTCATGTATATCTCAAAGCCGTAGCGGCTTTACCACCTAGGTTTATTCCTTGTAGACGGTCAATTTCCAGCATTTGAGCAGGGCATTGCGAGGAGGCTGTGTCCATCTTTTTTGTCACCGGCTACCCCCAAGCCACCCAATTGCTAGGAACAGACACCATACATGGAGTGGCTGGCCTAGCTTGGGCGAGAGCCACATCTAAGATCTTCAATCCATACCACATCCCCCGACGCTCGCCTGCGCGATCCCGACGAAACAGCGCACTACGGCCAGCAGCGATACTGTGAACCACCTCCGAGCTTGCTCACACCTTCAGTCACTCGATAACACCCGCGCTCGAGAATGGGCGCGTCGGACAGGCCGCAGACTCGATGACTCCCAACTGAATGCTAGATCACGACCGCCCTCACATCTATCAGCCAGTTATCGGTGGCCTCGCTGCGCAGTGCAGCGAAAATGGAAGGCGCTGCCCTCATGACCGAAGACGTCCTTGATCCGCCGCCTCGGCTCTATGAGCGCCTCCACCAAATTGCAGGTTACACATGGGATGAATCAAAACTGCCCTTCCGCTCGACATATGACTTTTGGTGAGTGGGTTCCTATGTACGGGGCCATGGCTCTATCAGCCTTGCCATACTCAACTGACCTCTTTTCACCAGGCACGTCTTCGGCACCCGGTGCGTCTCACCCATATCTCCATCCACCTCCCAGTCGCACAACATCTCCAGTCCTGGTTCCGTCTCGAGGTTATCATCTGGGAACCCCTCACCTGCCGAGCACCCAGGTCATCACTTCGACGAAAGCCACTTTGCTGCGCAGTATACTCCCCCGGCCCAGCAGGTGTCCCCCTCCCAGCCAAACTTCCCACATATTACGTCGTTCTTCTCGCCGACCTTGCCTTCGGAAAGCAGCTATGTCGAGGAGCCAGTGGTAGCACGGATATCATATCATGGTCTACGAGAGGAGAGAGCATTCCATATCGCCAAGAGCCTGACAGCTACCGTCGATCCGACCGGAGAACATATTGCGAAGCCCATCGATCTATTCCGGCTAAACACCGCCCCCGGAGACCGTGCCGCCGTCATTGTTGCGATTTATCATAACCTGGGTGACAATTATCTCCCCGCTGTATTGGATCTCGGCCCGGCGTATTACAAGGCAAAAAAAGAGGGCGAATCCTACAAAGCTTTCCATGATCCATTCTTCAAGCTTCACCAACCCATCAGCCTTCAGCTTTTTCTCGATTTTGCCATTGGCGCGTCAAAGTGTCTGGAAATTCTTCACCACGGGCAAGGAATCATTCATGGCGAGATTCGTGGCGACGCATTCCACTTCAACAAAGAGGAAAACAAGGTCAGGATAGCTTCGTTTGGATCTGGCACCCGGTCCTTTGAGAATGGACTGACTAGCACAGGCTGGTCGAGCCTTTCCAAAGAACTCGGCGCCAAAACCAAGTTGTTGTATATCAGCCCTGAACAAACAGGCCGGATGCCTGCTGAACCTGACAGCCGCACGGATATATACTCGCTCGGAGTCTTGTTCTGGATGCTCTTGACTCAACAGCAGGTCTTTGATGGGGACACAGCACTGGACATTGTGCAAGGCGTTCTCGGCCGTAGGATTCCAAACGTTTCTGATATTCGGATTGACATCCCTGATGTGGTTGGAAGGATAATTCAGAAGTGTACTGCCAAGAATGTCACGGATCGGTACCACTCGGCAAGTGGGCTTCGCCATGATCTGGAAATGGTCCAGAACTACTTGGCAGATGGGAACTGGGCTGCGCTGAAAGAGCTGAAGATTGCGAGCAAAGATGTCTCTTCTTTCTTCATGCTTCCTACAATCATGATTGGCCGGCAGCGAGAGCGAAACCAGCTGATCAAAGCAATCGACCGCGTCTCCAAATCCCACCCCCTCGACCGTAAAGGACCATCGTCTCGCTTTTCTGATGGATCGATGCTCTCGAATGATGTTGGTAATATGGACGATCTTTCCAGTGAGGGGGCCAGTTCAGCTGATGGAACCACTCGCCGAAGCGGTTCATTCACACACACAGCATCTTCGGACCCAGCAAAACAACGCATCAGTTTCCAGCAATCCTTTTTGTCGGACTCCCAGACTCTTTCAACAGATAATGGTTCGTCCTCTCAGTCTAGCGCACAGCCTAGGACAGCTCGCCTTTGGGAACGACAGCAGTCCATCTCAGTTGAAACCCGGAGTCTTGTCGATAGTGTTGGAACCGAGGGCACTCGCACCGGGATAGTTGACTCTCCTGTTTCGAGTCTGTCCAGACAGCTTGGTAGTGCCAAATTTAGGCGGCGTGGCCATTGCGAAGTTGTCACCGTGGAAGGTGTGGGCGGCCTGGGAAAGAGTTGTCTGGTTCAAAGCGTGCTGGTGGATGCTCGGCGACTTGGGTATTGCGCGACAGCGAAGTTTGACACTACAAGAAGAAAGGCATTTGGGCCGCTGCTCAAATTGCTCTCGGCCTTGTTCAAACAGGTATGGGGTGAGAGGAACACCGAAACCCCTTTCCACCAAGGTCTCAAACAATACCTTCGGCCAGTTTGGCCAATGCTCCATAGGGTCCTGGGGCTCCCAGAGTTCCTGTTTGGGCCCCCTGACTCCTCGCCATCGCGACCTCTTTCATCCACGGGCTCACTCTCTCGAGGGCCTAGTTGGGCCAGACGCCGCGGTTCGTCTCCTGGCTGTTCTCCTGCCCCGCTGGCCGTAAATCCAAGTATAGCATCTCAGTCATCTCAGGATTTTCTCCGTGCGGGGGCATCAACTAAGACCATTCGTTTAATGCAGACGTTCCTTGACGTGCTGAGAGTGTTCACGGCTCATAAGCTTGTGTGTTTTTGCCTGGAGGATCTTCATTATGCAGATGATGAGTCTCTTGAGCTCATTAGCCAGATTATAGGCGCCGGAATGAAAATGGTGGTGATTGTGACGTATCGTCCTGATGAGCTGTCGCCAGAGAGGGTGCAAAGAATCCTCCACCCTCCTGAATCCGAAGGTATGCCGTTCCTAACCACTTGTACGTGATTTCTCACGAGCTAACACACAGGCAGAATTTCCTCGTTCTGGAGGCCCGGTCGTTACAAGAATTCCCCTCTCACCTTTAAATGAAGAGGACATCGTCGAGTACGTTTCCAAGACCCTCCGCCGCCCCCCAGACCAAGTCCTCCCTCTTGCGCTGGTCATTCAGTCCAAGACGGCTGGAAATCCGTTCTACATCCGAGAGATGCTCAGTGCTTGCTTTCGTAAGAAGTGCATTTGGTATGATTATCGAGACAGTGTTTGGCACTTTGATCTGGATAGACTATTTGAGCAATTCCGTGCTGAAAAAGACTACGATGTTCTTGATACGGCTTTTGTTACACAACGACTTGCCGAACTTCCATCGACCGCAAGAGCCTTACTGGCATGGGCAGCGCTGCTTGGCAACTCATTTTCCTTCGAACTCATATGCCGCCTTATGGGTGGCGAGTTTGAGCACCACGCCCAAAACTTGGCAAGATGTTGTGGAAACTCTCACTGCAGAGGTTATTCTCAGCATGATGCCATCGCCGGCCTACAGGCAGCTATCCAGGCTTATATCATTGTACCAAGCGAAGAAGATGACCGCTTTCGATTCGCCCACGATCGTTACATAACCGCTGCTGGACAGCTAGAGGAATGCAGCGCTCGCCGCATGCATTTTATCATTGCCCAAACCCTGCTAAAATATTACTCAACGGAACGCAGATGGAGGGACAACACGGCCTTCCATGTCTGTGAAGCCGTCGATATCATCCAACAGGAAGTCTCTGACCGCGCCAAGTTCCGTGAGCTTCTCATTACCTGCGCCCAATCGTCCATTGAGAATGGGGCGAGGCCGACCGCCGCCAAGTATTATTCTGCTGCAGTAAAGCTGCTGCAGACTGATGCTTGGGCATTAGGAGCCAGTGATGTTTCTTACCAGGAGACACTCCAACTCCATCTTCGTTTGGCAGAATGCTACGTGTTCATGGGCCAACACTCACTAGCCCAGGAGCTTCTGGGCCATATCTTCGTTAATGCGGAGACGGCAATCGACAAGGCTCCAGCATTTGTACTCCAGTCTAGAATTTTCGCACAGACCGGAAACACACAGGCCTCTGTCGTGGCACTCAAGGAATGCTTGGGGGCTTTAGGTGTGACGCTGGATGATAGTCCTACCTATGAAAAATGCGATGAAAGGTTCGAGAGGTTCCGGAATCAATTCGAAACGATGGACCGTACAACCCTCACGCATGCTAGCCGAGTCACAGATCCAAGCCTCGAGTCTGTCGGTGCGGTTCTTTCAGAGACCGTTGCGGCTGCCTGGTGGACGGACTGCCTCCGCTTCTACCATTTGTCTTTGGTCATGCTGGAAGCCCACCTCAGCCGAGGAGCATTCCCGCAGTCAGGCATGGCGTTTCTGTATGTAGGGGTGGTTGCAATAGCAAGATTCAACTTGACGGGCTTTGCAGCTGAGCTGGGATCTATTGCAGCTGAGCTCCTTTCCCGTGCTAATGACGCATTCTCAATGTCGCGCGGTCTGATGCTCTCCCCGATCCTCATCGGCCACACTTGCACGCCCATGCCCTTGCTAGTCGCGCAGGTTGAGGATGCAGTCGAGCTTGCATCAAGTGCAGGCGACCGGATGTCTACCATTTTGAGCTACGGCCTGCTCGCACTGATTCGGTTATTCTCCGTAAGAAACTTAGCTGATCTGGAGGCTTTCTGCAAATACGGGTGCGAGGAAATACCCGATTGGTATTTCGACGCCAGGGGCGGTGTCCTGCTTTTGGCAGTCAGTCAAGTATCTCGCTCTTTGCAGGGAAAGACGAGAATCAAAGACCCCATAGATGTTATCAGCGATGAGCACCATAACACTGTTGCTTACAAGAATTGGTTGGCTGGCCGTAACCAACACAGCAACAGATCGATATTGTTGTACGAAAGCCTGGAGTTGGTACCCTTGTTCATTTATGGCCACTACGATCGTGCCGTGGAAATTGGCCGACGATGTTTCGAGAATCTGGAGCTCTTCTGGTCATTGCGAAACAGCAGGCTTGTTGTACTCGTTTACGGTCTGGCGCTCACTGGCCGCCTGCTCCGCCGGATGCATGATCCTCGCTCATCTCCCAATGATCATCGGGCGGAAGTAGAGCAAGTGGTTCAAGATTTACAGAAGTTTTCGAAAATGATCAAGGATTGGGCGGGCAACTACAATGTGAACTATTATGCTTGGTGGAAGATACTGGACGCTCAAATAGCGGAGCTAAAACATGAACATGGCGTCTCTATCCAACATTATGAGGAGACCCTTGATCATGCCGCTGAGCACGACTTTGTCTTCGAAGAAGCGCTTGCGAACTTTCTCATGGCCGGTTTCTTCCTCCGACGCAAGGCTCGGAGAAGTGCTCGCTCGGCACTACTTGAGGCAGTTGGACTATACCGACAGCTGGGGGCCAGCGGTGTTGCCACGGCCATTGAAGAGGAGCACAGCCTGCTTTTACACGGACCCACACGCAACTATCGAACTATGGACGTGGGTGTCCAGACAGACTTTGTCGCTGACTCGGGACCGGATTCGTACCGCCAAGGCGATGCTCAAATGGACGAAGCGCTGTCGCAGGTTACTCCCCATCAAATGACACAACTCAAGGGCGAAAGAATAGGGGCATGGAGAGGATCCATGAATGTGGAACCGGAAGCTGGCGCCGGCCTGCCTGCCCTCGATATGATCGATCTCCATGCGATTTTGAAATCGTCCCAAGTCATTTCTTCCATGTTGCAGATAGAAGAGCTGCTCAAGACAATGTGCGATGTCATCCTACAGACTTGCGGAAGCTCTGCCACCCTAGTCTCAATCGTTGTCCAAGAAAACGATAGTGAGGATTGGTGTGTCGCTGCTAGTGGAAACCCGGAGGGGGGTGCATCGGCACATAGGCCCGGTCTACCCCTTTCAGAAACATCGCTCGTTGCTGAAGACGTTGTGCTCTACTGTACGCGATTCTTCGAGTCGGTGTTCATCCGAGACCCCAACAGCGATGAGAGATTCGGCAACGTATCCAACTCTTGGACACATAGGAACCCACAGGGGAAAGCCATCATTGCAATCCCCATTACTCATGGCAACAAACCCCTGCTCGGTGTCCTGTACCTGGAGGGTGAGCCCGGGTCTTTCACGGACCGCAACGTCACCGTTCTAGAGCTTCTGGTCAACCAGATCGGAATTAGCTACGCAAATGCCATCGCTATGAAGAATGTCGAGAAGATCTCAGCAGAGAACCGGTCTATGATTTCTATCCAGAAACGGGCACTGGATAAAGCCATCGAGGCTGAGACCAAGGCCAAGAATGCCGAGGCAGAGGCTAAGCGTAATGTCAAGCTTGCCGAAGAAGCCGCCAAGGCCAAGTCGATCTTCTTAGCCAATGTTTCCCACGAGCTCCGCACACCACTGAACGGTGTCATTGGCAATTCGGAGCTTCTTCGTGACAGTGACCTAAACAAGGATCAGCTCGAGATGGCAGATTCGATCCGGGTATCAGCCGATCTTTTATTGACGGTCATCAACGATATTCTTGACTTCTCCAAGATGGAAGCTGATAAAATGAAGCTCTACGTCATCGCCTTCAACCCTGAGGAGATGGTTCGAGAAGTTGTTCGTGCTGTGTCATATAGCAACAGAGAGAAGACTTCTAAGAAGAATGTCAGAATTATCCAAGACATTAATCTACCGCCTATGCTGATCTACGGAGATCCTATACGGCTTCACCAAGTTCTAGGAAATCTTATTGGGAACAGCTTGAAATTCACAGAGGATGGCTCCATCACAATCGGTGCCAGACTCGACTCGGAAACCAAGGAGAAAGCAACGTTGACGTTCTGGGTGCGCGACACCGGCATAGGCATTCCCCCTCGACAGCTCGCAAAACTCTTCCAGCCGTTCAGCCAGGCCGATGCCAGCACCGCAAGAAAGTATGGCGGGAGTGGCCTCGGCCTAAGTATCTGCAAGTCGCTCATCGAGACTATGATGAAGGGCAAGATCCAGCTGGAAAGTGAGGAAACAGTGGGCACTACAGCTTGGTTCACAGTCTCGTTCGACAAGGCCAAATCGGATGTGGCTGCAGGGGACGTTCAGTCAAAGTCTACGCCGCACATCGAACGCACTGTCTCATTCCCGTCCTCTGAGCAGCTCTCACCCCCTGAACCATACTTCAGCCTCTCTAATATCTCCAAAGAGGAACTCCGAATATGCGTTGCCGAGGACAATCCTATCAATCAGAAGATTGCAATACAGTACGTCCAACGTCTGGGGTACCATAACGTCAGCGCATATGAGAACGGAATGAAGGCAGTTGAGGGGCTGCGGAAGAAAGCTAAGGAGGGCGACCCTTACCACATTGTACTGATGGATGTCCATATGCCCGTACTCGATGGCTACGAAGCAACCAAGCTTATCCGGAAGGACTCGAACGAGGCGGTGAGAAACGTGCTCATCATCGCCATGACCGCATCCGCCATTCAAGGAGACCGGGAGAAATGCATAGCCGCGGGCATGAATGATTACCTAGCCAAGCCCGTCCGGTCCGAGGTGCTGAAAAAGAAGCTAAACGCGTATCTGAGCTCCAAACAGAGTCCAACAAGCGACCTGGTCGTCGATCCCCCTCGTGCGCCCACTAGGAAGGTTTCCACCCCCTCCTCAAACGCCCAAACATCATCATCTTCTTCTTCTTCGGCCACTCCTGCCTTGACAGTATCGGACCCAATGAGGGACGGCGCCGTCTTCAACCAGCCTGTCGATTCCACCGCCTTGGAATCGAGAGAAAGTCCGGTGCTCACCAGCACTGTGCCCCTCGACACTGGTCCCAACGCAGCTCATCCACAGAACAATGGCGTCTCAGCCACTGACCTCGCCGATCGAACGCGGACATCGTCGGAAAGCCTGCCGTCTCCCCCTCACATGAATCTTAGTCCGAACTCACAGCCCCCTCTGCCTCAGCCTTCTAAGCTGATTAAACCCCACGACAGCAACGGCCTACCTGATGGGGTTGAGATCGGACCCAAGTCGAATTCCAGCGTGGCCGAACCTAATCAACCCCACACTCGTGCTCCGGACTCAGCGTCAGAGCAACCGAAACATCTCATAGCTAGAAAGCCGTTAAATAACCCGTTGCCCCCACCGAACTAAGCTGGCGAGTCTCGGGTCCCAAATCTGGCAGTACCAAATATACCCTACCTATCATAAAGTCCGCGCAGCATTACCATTCTCGAATGCGCTTGGTTGAAGTCCCCATCAAGAATGGTGGCTGGAAAGCGACTGACGGGGTGGTTCTATTAGAGCAAAAGAAATGCAGTTATAATGCAAGAGGGGAGCATATACGACGTATAACACCTGATCTATCACCCTTAAACTTTTTTCCCATACACTTTCCCCCTCCGGGCTGCCTCTCCAATTTAACCCCCTCCCTAACCCCCTTTCCCGATGTGTGCTTGCCTGCTTCCCCATTCCGCCTCCTTGCATTTTTTTTCTAAATCTTTTCTTTCCCTTTGCGTCTATTGGTTCATCTGAGCGGCAAACATTCCGGGTGTCGAGGCGCTTTGTTGATTCGTGGGCGAGCACCGTGCGCCGGGCTGATGGGTGGTTGGGCGGGGGCTCTATCTCCTTCCCAGCTCTTTCTTTTCAAAACTGGTTCCCTTTTTTTTCTTTCTTCTATCGATCTGGTAAATAGTTTCCTAGGTATATGGGCAGGCATATTAGCATAGGCGGCAGCTCCAGACCGGGGTGCTCTCATGCATCGTGTACGGGGTGCGCCTCAGTTTTTCTTCTTCTTCACGTGTTGGAACAAAGGACGGTTAAACTGGTGTCTCAGTGAGCAAACGGAAATGGGCGTTTGCTGACGGCACCAGATGTTATGCAGAGAGAGAGCCTACATAGAGAACGGTGGTCTGGACCAACCAGTTCAGACCATCAATTGAATACATGATCACATGAAAGACGCATACCATCCACACCGCCTGTCTCGTCACAGGACCAGCATGTTATTATGTGCCGGGCCATTCACATATGCTCCCGGTGAGGGGCCAATGGTGGCGAAGAGGCTTGCTCAGTCGAGAAAGGGCGTATGTTGTTTGTGCCAATTAGAGGATGGCTCAGACTAAACGCGTGCCGCTGTGGATGTTGTTGTTATTGTTACCATATGCAGGCTGGTAAGCCGTGCAGCAACTGTGCGTGTAGGGTTCTTGCATTGCGCCTCTCTATGGGCAGTGTTGTCGCTGGCAAGCGGAATACTTCGCCACTGTTTGGCCATCCAACGAACCCGAGGCGATTCTCGAGGTTCACCGTGTCAGTGGCTGTTTGTACGTACCTTGTATGTGGAGAAGACGCGGGAAGAGAACGAATCAAGCCTGGAATAGAAAGAGAAATATCAAACAACGAAGGGATAAAAAAACTTCGTTCCAGATATGGGAGGTGAGGCCATTCTGGCACAATGCTGGATCCTGGTCTCGAGCCAAGTCCGTGTGCCATGAGTGCGGCTCTGGGGTCTGAGCCGTCTGATTCTCTCCGCAGTGGCATTGCAATGAATAACGCCAGCAGTTACATAATGTGTTATTATGCTCACTGGATGCTGATTTGTACATCAACGACATCAGCAGATGTATTCCTTTGCTGTGCACCACAGGCCTATGCTTGTTCCAACCAGCTGAGGTCAGGGTTCTGTCCAAAAGCTATATAAACCAGCTGCGTCGCGTGCATTACAGCGCTCCACGCAGCTGCGAGTGTGTCGGGGGTGTACCCTTGTTGACTTACCAATTGGCCTAAAAGTCGGGTCTTCTCTGACTCGCATATCGCTGCATGCGTGTGCGTGCTGCAATACCACCATAATCCTCAGTGGGAGAAGTAACAGGGGGTGCACTCGGGTGTGAGGGGTCTTGACTTGTCTGGGCCCGGAATGTCGTCCCAAAATTGCTACAGCGAGGAGGGCGTCGACCCAAAAGGACCTGTGACATTTCCGCCGACGAGTTGGCTCGATGATGAATGACGCATGTATCTCAGCATCCAAAGGTCAAAAGGGAAAGGCAAACGCATGGATCCCCTTGGCTCGTTAATCCCTGTGCTGTATGGGCAGGGAATGGCACTTGGGTCCGGATGATGGTGTGGAAGATTCCGCAAGGCCTGGAATTGTTGAGTCTTACGCTGGCAGCAAACAAGAAAGATTCGGAGATAAAACTGCTCGATCTGTTGCCCCGTGATCGTCGATGTCTAAGGGCTTACGACTTGCACTGATCCTCTTGCGTAATCAACAAGATGCCCTTACTTTCGGCATTTGCCCAAAGAGTTGGATGGGCTGATTGATCTCGAGCTGCACAAGCGGGCCTGGGTAGCTCGAGGTAATAGAAGGGCGGCATCAAATTTGCGGCTGACAGGCGTGCAGAGAATCGAATCGAGCCTCATGATATGATTATGATGCTCTAGTCATTTGCCATGCATGTGCCCTGAAAGTGTCATTTTGGGTGCATACGAACGGCGTGGTCCTTCTCAATCTCGGCTGGGCGCCAGCCCCAATCCTGGGTCATCCGATATTGGCTTTTCTGATTGTGATAGACTTTTCGTCCTTCCGTCTCTCAATGAGGTCCCTCGCTGTAACAAGGTACATATGTCGGTTGGACTTGCCATGGTCAATGCAAAGAGTGAGTGTGGTCCGTGTCACAATTGCTTGTTCGGTAATTCCAAAACGATCTCAAGCTGGAAAATCTGGAGGATCAGTCACTTCGCTTGTTAGCTGCTCTTCGACCGCGCCAACTGCCAAAATTGGAAACCGGTGGGCTTTTATCCCGCCCAAAGAGTATGTGTTGACATCCAAATATAACCGCCCTACGCTTGACGGTGCACCAGATGCGCGCGGGTGACTCCCTCGGAAGTGGACGTATCGAAATCATCTTGCTCTTCCGTAGCCCTTCACCCCAACAGCCGTGCGTCTCGAATAACACAGAGACAACCCTTCACCCGATGTACTACCTTGCATACAGGCTGTACGCCGTTCATTGCTTCGACTTACATTTCCACTCGATGCCTTCTGCTGGTGCTGGAAGAACTTCGATTTTTGGTCATCCGATAACCCACGATTGGATATACTAAAAGCCAAGACATGTTCAAAACGGGAGTGATCATCATCGATCGTTGCCAATTGGGGCCGGCCGAGCCCCTCAAATGCTGGGGAACCGATGATTCGAGACCGCCACAATGCGACTTATTGTGGCCATGCTTGCAGAACTTGCAGAAATGTTTGCCAAGCCTCGTGTAACTTTTCATAGTTCCAAGCGGGACGTTAGAGTATTATTGAGCGTATAGGGTTATCCGAGCTTGCCAGATTTGGTAAATCATGTAATTATCATGATACCTTCCCCTCCCAAGTGAATTAGCTAGGCCATGGTACCCACAGTAGAGAGATCATTTGCGATGAGATGAGGGGCAGCGATATCCGTAAGACATGGTAGGGGCAGAGCGATACTACCCGTACCAGCGAGGGGGTCCGGTTCGTCGACAAGCTAACCATTCGAGGAGGATGCAACGGGAACCAGCCGTCCATTTTGGATGAACTGCTCCCAGCAGGTGGAGAAATCCGGCCGTGAAACCAAGTATTATTATGAAGGTCATTGTCTGTACCGATATGAGGGGGAGGGGTAGCAGGAGCTTTCACACCTACTCCAGGGATTCCCATTTTTGTCATTGGCTGATGGGGGGCCTGGTCATTTGCATGTGCTCCTAGCTTGGGTTTTCTTTTTCCTGGTTGTTTCTAATGAAGCGGAACTGGCTCCATCTGTAGGGTTGGTTATTAGAAGTCTCAGCCTCTAAACCTGCACAATGTCAGACCTAGCATAGAGGCAGCGCTTGGTGCATAACAAAGATACCAGCTAGCTGGATGCCACAGCTCATATGACGGCAGTATCCGCTAAAATGCAAATGTTGCTCAGCCAAGAAACCAGGCGTCAACAAGAGCGCTTCCGGATTGAGGAGAGCGAACGACACATGCAGCGTGTGCCAGGTGTCACTATTGCACGAGAAAGTCCCAGGTAGTGCAAGCGCATGTTTGGGGGTGATATGCGCAGTGCCTGGTCATAAGATGGGATGCAGTGAATAGCCAAGGAACCACCCATATTGTGGGTGGTAATAACATGTAAGATAATACCAGGACTAATCGGTTCGATGCGACGGGGGTTGTTAACTCAAGAGGCCGTGTTTCAGATGGCCCCGGTTTCAAGCTAGGAGGTGTCCCAGACAGGCATTAGCGCGAGGGTTCTTGGGTCGGTCTTTCGATGCCACGCCACGCCGTGCCATGCAGGACAGCTCCAATTGCAGATGCGTCTCCTCGGGTGCCTCGACACACCCGCGGGTTTGTTGGGATGCCGACTGAGCTGATGGGGCATGCGGATAAAGTTAAAGGGTTTTCGCACTGCAGATGCTAGAGAGCTATCGGGTCACACGCGGAATGAGGACCCATGTCGCGATCGCAAACAGACTGGGAATCCGTTGGTCAGACAGAGCAAGAGTGTGGCCGTGATGACTCATCGAAACAATAGTGGCTCGAGGCCCTTCCTGCCATCCCAGCTGGCACCTGCCTGTCCAATCCTCGTGATTCGTGATTCGCGGGCGCATCCATTCTCAAGGCAGGAGCAACCCCTTGGTGTTTAGGAAATGCAGGACAGCAGTCAGCTAGGTACCAGCCAGGCTAAGCTACACAGGTGCCTACCCGGGGTAAGCTGGGCTAGGTACCTAGGTACCTTGGCTACAGAAGAAATGAGACTTCCAATGGAAGTGCGGTTATAACCAAAATGCTTTCAAGGATGAATAGAGATATTCGGTAGTGCAGCCCGAAATAATGTAACAACGTATGCCGTATTATCTCTTGGGTATATTTATTAGCACCCAATAATCTAACAATACCGGCCACAGACTCGAAAACAAGCAGCTTAACGTTCAAGTGTCTCAATTTCAATGTCACCCACTTGCCTGGCTACGCCGATCCTCGAGCCGCCCTCTACCCTACATAGGGCGCTGGATGTCGCGTGCGCCTCTGGCCTTCAGTGTCGACGTTGACACTGCCGCAGGTCGCCCGAAATAGGTACCACGAGAAACATCTGCATGTCAGGGTAGGTATCTATGTAAGGTTCCCGCCATGCCTGGCATGAGTATGAGGCAGTTCCGAGCTTGCTGGTCTAGATTCTTTTGTGTGGCTGCTTCCCCTCTTCGTGGGAGTTGTCTAGAAAGGATGTTGCTCCCTTAGTGCGTCTAGCTGCACAACAGCTTCTAGAGCTAGGATGCGCTGAGCGGCGTGTACGACTAGACGGACCTTGCCGACATAGGGGAATACTAGTCACATTGATGAACGTGTATAGACGTACATGGCAATCTGCCATGCGACCTGAATGCCGAAAACAAACCAGCTATACCTGGACGGGCGCCTAAAACATGTGATGATAATGTGCACCGAAGCCTGAGGTTAAGATTTAGCGATTTGAGAGGGTCGATTAGCCACACCCAATTCACTTGACCAACCTCTTCCGGGAGCCGGTGAAGGTTGCACAGTGGCCAAGTTTCGGAAGAAGAATCCTACCCCATCACCTAGCTAAGATACATAATAGGCGCTGTTTCCTGTGAGGACCTTCATTGGGAATCCTGGTGGGGCTAGGAGCTGCCTTACCCTGTCTGTCATGAGCCAGGGTTAGCTTGCCCTTGTAGGATAAAGCTTGGAGTCGTCGGAAAGTAAAATCCCCATCGGTTGACAATGGCTAGGTTCAAACACAGCAAAGATCTGCCGACGATGGAACAATAATAGCAGCATTGGTTGACTGCCGGTATCTGGACTTACCGTGGCTACTTTGGGCCATGCAATTGACGGTCAATGGTACAACAAGCAACCTCCATACTCCAAGAGCTCCAACAGCGAGCAAGCAGCTGTCCACAATGGGTGCTTCACGATGAATGAACCCTGTAGTTGCGACCCGCCCAGTGCCTCCCGCCATACAGCCTACCTCGGTATGGCGACAAGTGATTAAAACATCCTTATGCAGCGAAGGCCTCCGCACTCATCTCGTGGTGGCTTGACTCGTGGCTGGCAGTGACCCCCTCCCTTGCCACCATGGCATGGACAGGTTTTGACAGGCTCTTTGTCGAGTGGCAGCGCAGCGCTAAAAGCGTGACTGCGCCGAGGCATTGCAGGCGCCACAATGGCCCCGCCGAAGGTTATTTTGGCTGGGGTTGGTTCCGTCTGCGCTGTGCCCCCTTGGACTCTGGAGCTTGAACAATGAAGACAGAGTTGGAAGGCCAACTAAAAAAAGAAGAGCTTGCCGTTCTCCTCAACCAAGCCAATTGGCAAACCGTGCGCTGCCCTTCCTGCTGGGAGGAAGTTACCGGGCCCGAGGTGATGTGCAGACGCCGTTGACTAGTTGAGCAACCGAGACGGAGCCGGTAAGCTCAACCTCTGAAATGGGATGAAATGGGTGGGGGGCTAGTTTCAAAGAAGATTACCTGGATCGATCTGAGGGTGGGCTTGACGAGTAGCGGATCGGGTAATTGCTGATATAATACAGCTCGCAACTAGCCCCTCACTCTGGAACAGGGAGGATCTCGCCGGCCAACTAACTAACACCAACCCTGGCGTGTGGGAGGCAGAACTGCGTTTGCGGAGGCAGACTAAAATGATTGTACTTTGCCATGTAATTATGGTGTCTGCGAAAGGGGAAGAGAGGAGAGGGGAGGGAGGCAAGGAGAAAAACAAAGAACGGACCGAATGACAGCCCGAGTGGAATCAGCAATGGATCTTTTCGCTCGCAGGCCACGTCAGTCAGATACATCTCAGCTCTCTTACTTTGCCGAACCTCCAGCGCGCCTAGGTACTATGAGAACGTGTATTGGAGACTTGAAATGGATCAGCAAGGTGGAGCAGGTTGTCAGGTTTGGGAAAATGTGCTTGTATTTGCACCGCTGATGCATTTTTCTCTCTCTATCTGCAGCTTTTTCCTTTTGCGACAAAGCGGCATCTATTGATCATGATAGTTTGGAAGGTAGTACGTGTGCACCTACCTCTATGCGAACATGCAATTGGCCCTGCAGGCTGTGTGCAACTACCTAGTCGATGTAGGTCGAGATTGTGAATGGTTTCCAAGTTGCTGAATGCATTTCCTTATTAGACTTCGGCACCTTGCCCTCAGCCTGTCACTATGTGATATTGAACCTGCACGGCGGGCGAGTGCCGATGTACCTGCGTGCTAGGCTCTCAAGGTTCGCCCTGAACCTAGAAATTAAAGGTTGCATGGTAGCAATTGCAACAGCATCGAACATCGCTACCACCACCCTCTGGGCGAGTAGGGAGGGGAGCTCATTTTGCAAAAGCGAAGGCCAAACCGCTTGCCTTGTGGTGAGGGCTGGCCAATCCTACATGGGTAATTGTGCGGATCGAGGTGCTGCATATACCCATACCCTTGTCTTGGGAAACGGGCCCGTCCTCAGATCCCAGGCTAGAGCGTGGAATAACCCGCTCCTTTCCATTTTGAAGCGATACCTGGCGGCATTATTTCGTCTAAAGTAGTACGTGGAGCATTTGGATTTGGATAGGAAAATAGCCATCTTGGAGTAGAGGCACAGCCCCGTGAGAATTGGAACCCATGGCTGGGCACGACTCAGCAGAGCACAGCCAGACGGACCTGTAGGTAGGGCGATGGAGGGCACCGCCAGCACAGCACAGGGCACTCGAGCAGAGCACGGTGCTGGCCGGGACCTAGACCACGGCAGGCCCTACGCAGGCCAACCCAAACAGCTGGGCTGCAGGTGCTGGGCTGGGCCTAGGCCACACCCGAAACGGGTGGTACCTACCTCAGGTGGGTACGACATGTACTGACCTGGAACCATCCCAAGCCACACGCTCCTGCCTCATGGTTCATGGATACTGCTACGACTAGGCCCAGTAGGGAGGGACCTGACTCTGGAGGCACGCTCACAGCGAGCAGTTGGTAGCTGAAGTTGGGGGCACCTGCCTGGGGGTCGGTCGCCATTAGCGGGCGGGTTTACCTAGTCCTGCCTTGGTCTGTGTCGAGGAGCCTCCGATCCAACTTGACCCCAGAGCTGGACCCAGTTGGTCCTGGTTTTGGTCCTGGGTCCGTCCTCAGCAGCCTGCTTGTCTCGTGAGGGAGACAGAAAGAGAGAGAAGCAGAGCGAGAGAGCAAACGAGACTCAGATGCCGTGGTCGTCATCTTGACCAATTGCCCACTTAACACCCGCTCACTCGCTCTCCCGTATGTCATTGTGCCCTCCTGACCAATTTCTTTCTTCCACTCCCAGTCCAGCATCACATCTGCTTGGGCTTCGACTTCGGCTGGCGCAACTCGCTCTGTTGCAATTTTATCTACCCCCTGCCGTGCTGTGTTGTTGCTTTGACAGCAAGCATTTGGATCAACATCAGCCCAGGACGGGACGGGTCTCGCCTTTCTCTCTCGCAGCTTCTCCATCTCGTCAACCTGCTTTTCTCCACACTCTTTTGTGGCTTCGCCTGGGTCAACGTTCTCGATCTGTCGAGCTTGGGACCTCAGCTACTCACCTTGTTTTGTCCTCTCATCTCCTTTTTACTCATCTTCTCCTCCTTCATTACTATCAGTCTTTTCTTCCCACTTGTGGTCGGATACCTACTGTCTCAACTAGTGCCCCCGACCAGCTACCAACGCGACTCTAACAGCAACGGACACACCGGCTGGCTGGTCCCTCTCCTCCTAGCTCAGACGACTAGTCCATAGCACTGCCGTCGAGTCCACTGTTAGTGCCGTCACCTTTTCTCGGCTGGTACTATATCTGCGGAGGTAGGTTTTGGCCGCTTGTCATCCCTCATCCATCCATCCTTTCTGTGCTGATTTGCCTTTGGGGTTGCATAATCCTGGTACATGGGCAACTCAAGACCGCGGTAGACAGGATACCTGGTACCTGCCTTACACCTTGCTCTGCATAGAGCATTGACCTGCAGATCCTGCACCAACCAGACTGACGACTTCTTTTGAGTTAGCACCTTGACACTCCCGCCCGTGTGTCTCTTCTGCCCCGGGGGCGCCTATATCCACACGCCGTTGCGCATCTCTGCATGCCTTACGGCCCCTGCCCTCCCTCCGTGCCGTGCGTGCGTGCTTTCTTAGTTTGGGTCTGGCCTCTTCTTCCCGCCCTTGACCTTGCTTGGGCGTGTCTCATGGTTCAAACAAGATAGCAGCTCCTCCTCTGCTCGCTCTATCGTAAACTACCCACATTTGTTATTCATTCGCCTTCCTCCGGTTCCCCCCCTCCCCCCTCCACTTTCTCTCAAACGAGCCAGTCCTCCCTTACCACCCCCCCATTCCGTTGAGCAGCCCGGTGCCGTCCCATTCTGGGAAATGCGGTAATAGGCCCTCTAACGAACATCTCCAGAGGCCTTAGCTTATTACCTTCCCGACCTGCAGGGAGACGTTTAGTTGGAGGTACCTCTCACCTCCCTCATACTTGCTACTAACTCTTAAGTCATCCTCCTCCGCTTTCACTACTGCCACTTATGGCAACGGCATCCATGATTGGCAAATGAGCTTGGTCTTGCTTGCCTCCGAGTCCTCTTGGCCCTGGTCCTCTCAACTACTACCCAATCTGAGCTGGCCGTCACCTCCAGCTCTTACTTCTACTCTTATACAAAGGTTGGCTCCACCTCGTCGCGATCGCTTGCTTCCTCTTCGTTTCTACTTCACCCATAACTGCGCACACAGGCACGCAGGAGATTCGTCACATGCCTTTCTTTCTCCAGTCTGTGACTGTCTTTTCTCAGCCCTAACATGTCTAAATTGTCTTCTTGATAGAAGCGTCGACACATTCGGGTTCTTCTGCTTCGTCCTTTTCATCGCTTGCTCGTCGATCCGTTCTTTTACCCTGTTTCATTCATTCATTTATTGCATTCAACTACCCAAGCACCAATCTTGCTTTGAGCCGCTTTCATTGCTTTGCCTGCTATCTCATCAAGAAAATTTATTTTGGCAGTGTATATATTAAGATGCTTACCGCCAAGCAGCCTTCAACCTACGGCTACAAGTCCGTCCATGACCTACCGACGCCGCCTTCTACCTCCCGACCTTCCCCTCCTCTCGCACACCAAGATCAAATCAACAGGCACCTCCCAGCCCTCCGGCGGAGTTCAAGCCCGGTAAACCACCCAATGCCGACTTCACATCGTGGGCTGCCGCCACCGGCAGCAATGGCACTTCCCCCACAGCAATCTACTTCATCTAGCCTTCCTCATCCTACCCAGCTCTCCGTGAATCCACCACAGCAAACGGGGACCCCGCATTTGTCTGGACAATCTTGGACGACACTGCCTACACCAACCAGTACGTGGCAGGAGGAATCGTTAAGAAACTGGCTTCAGGCGAGATCCGAGGAAGAAAAGACTAGGCAGGAGGAAGAGAAGACCAGGCAGGAAACACTGCGTTTGGAGCAGAGAAAAATTGAGGCCGAAATGCTACGCCAATCCATTGGCGGAGGGATTCCTCCAGCAATGATCCCAATCGTGTTCGCTGGTATGGGTGGTGGTGGTACTCTGCCTCAAACAGCATTGGAATGGGCGCAGCAGTTCATGTCTTCTACACAAGGTGGTCATCACCCTCAATTACTGCCAGCTCAGGTACCGGTGTCACCGCGCCATCAACGAGACCAGCAACCCCCACCGCCTGGACAATATGCCTCTGGAACTCCTACAGCAGCATCATACGGGCCTTACCCAGCGTCTCCCAGCAGAGCAAGGGCTCAGGGAACCGGGCCTCCTGTCGGCCACCCCATGGCAACGACCTCGTCCCTACCTGCGTCTGGAGGAGTAGTGCCGCCATCCGCCCAGCTACAACCCCAGCCTGGTCAGGAGGCGAGCCCTGGTATCTCCTTTCACCATTGGCAACCGCCTCAATCATATGGAGGGGGTGGCACAACTCGACCAGGAAGTCCATCTGGTTCGTCTAAAACAAAGAGGAAGCGCGAGAAAGAAGAGTCTCCATAAGCTAACCTGGGTCTCTTTGAACATAGGGGACCCTCCCAGAAAGCGTAAGGCTACGGGGCCTCAACCAGTCGGCTCGAGCTTCTCAAACGAACAGCGGTTACGATCTCCCCCTCCGTTTTCCCAAGCGACCTCTGCAAATCCTCCGCCTAGCCGGAAACATCACAAGCGTCAGAAGAGCGACATGTCTTGGTACAGTTCTTCATTGCCTATGCAAGAGCGAGCCGAGGAAGCAGATCGTTCCAGGGGAGATTCACTAGGACCTACATCTGGACCTGCCTCGAGGCCAACCAGTTCAAGGGGAAGATCTCGAAGTGAAGCTGGAAAGCCTTCAGTATCGTCTCTTTTATCGACCGAGCCCGTTGAGCGGAGGTCCCCGGGAGCTCATCAGTAGCTCAGAGAAACGTCATTTTCTTTTCTCCTTCAATGGTACTGAGTACCATCACCAATTAGGCAGCTGAGGTTGATTCTCGGATGGCCAGCTATTTACAAACTCAAATTCATGGCGTTGTTGGATGTTGTATGTTTTATCCTATTTGTTGGGTTGAAATTTTATGGTTAAGACGAGCGAGCTCATAAAAGTTACGGATGGTAACACGGGTACGGTTTATATATTAGAAAGGACAAACTTGTGAGCTTCTAGGTTCGGATAAGGTTGGTTTAGCATTTTCAATTTTCTTTCTACAACTGTATTAGTGATGGGAGAGGAAGCCGTTTTTTTTCTTCTTAGATATTTTCTCCCTGCATTGCATGAGCCCGCATACGCCCTGAGGGTCTATGGGCGACATAGTTTGCTTGCTGGAACTGGGTTGGATGGGAAATGATAAGAATATGTGCACAAAACCTGATTGGTTGCTTGGTGGTGGTGAAGATTGCTTGGTGGTTGCTTGGTGAGGACTTGGTGAAGGACTATGGTGCCTAGACAACACAAAGAGACACTGCAACAGGGCCTGTCGCTGGTTTCTCACTGCATAGGATGACGGCTGGGCCTCCAGGGATTTGAGCCTGGGCCAGCTGGAAGTCATTATATTGCTGCGTACTATAGTTTGTCGGGACGGGGGCATGATGGGGCCTCGGTCTAACCGCATCTCTACGAGCAATGCTACGTTTGGAGTTTTGGATTCAGCTGTATTTTTCTTGCTTACTGCCCCTTCCAGGCCGTACGAACGAGCGATTTGTGTTCTTCAACAGGATTGTTTGTTAGTTGGCATAGACATCCGGTGACCTGTCTTCTACCTGGTTCGATCCAAAGCTTATTCGAGAGTGCCTCTAGCAAGGTTTCTAGGATGACTACCAGGCCAGGCAGGTGCGTCAGCCGCGATGTCAAATCGTGTAGCAGATGCGATGTTTTCATCTAGCTAATCCCCAGAGAATTAGAAGGGCTAGACTAAATCTGAGCACCATTCCCCTCCCTGCCATTCCCCTCCCCTACCTATCTTTCTCCCTATTACTATTCTTCGAAGAGAGTATTAGTAATTATTAGCAGTGCCACGGTTTCAGTGTGTGGAAGAATCCTCAGCTTGTGTATTTTCACCAAAACCTTATTTACTTTTGGGATGAAACCGTGTGTCCATCGGCGTTATGGAAGGTTGCAGAGGAGCCGGCCCCTTACTCGAGGAGAAGCCGGTGCTACGTCGGCAGCTGAGCAGGTTTTTAGGGGACTACAGTTATGTAGGCCCTGGCTGGTTGTTGGGCGTCGGGTTGGCCCGTCTGTTGGGAGTAAGAAATGCCCAGCCTGCACTCCCCCGTCCACTCCCTCCATGGTCGGTCTCCCATTTCGATACCGGCCGCGTGGTTGGGCGAGACTAGGCCAGGGAAGGGTTCGCTCAAACCGGTTGGCTAGATGGATGGTAGGTTTAGCTTTCCTCTACCTTTCTGCCAACCCTCTCCCCTCCCAGTGACTGGATTGAAGCTATGGTAATAATCAGAGTCCTCCAGGGATCGCGAGGGAGTTCCTGTTTACTCTTATGCCCCCGCCTCACGTGTATGACGTTGTTTATCTGCTTGCTGTCAAAAGAGCCGTTTGCTCTACTCGCTCTGACCACCGCGTCTCAGCTTCGCACACCTCGCCCACGAGGCCACACACGCATGCTCACCCTCCCGTAATCCCTGGCTGTCGCCATTTACTTCCTAACCAAGCCTGGATGTGGACAGGAAACTTGGAACAAAAGCGGGGGAGGGCTGAGGAATAGGTGGGGGAACGGCAGACGACTCTTCCCCTTTGGACGAATGACTGCATACGTGTGTCAATTGGGATACAAGCCGTTCCCCGATCTCAGCTGGCAACCTCTTTCCCTCGTAGGGGCAAAATGTCGGAGTCGCATGATTTTCCTCTTTGTGTTTCGCCCTCCGCCCCTCCCACACGGACCCCCTGGTCCCCCAGTTACGGTAACCGCGCTGTCCCCCTCCAAAAAGTGTGTGTGTGTGTCTGCGTCTTTGATAGTTCCCCCATTATACCCCCTTCTTTCTTCTACCAGGGGCCACCCGGGGGGGGGGACTTACGGCCATCTCACAGATTATCCCCGCAGAAACTCACCCCCTTCTAAATGTAGAGCCCGAGAAAGAGAAAGAAAAAAAAACCACTTCTATTTAATCTACATGTGCCTTCTGGAGAGAGGAGTGAAGGGCTCGCCATTTCTGAGCGCCCGCCTCGTTAGCAGCCCGCACCGTGTGGCCAATCAGACGGGGCCAGCCCCCAAGCTCAGACAAAGCGTTTTGCTCTTCTTTGGAAAGTCTCCGGAGCCGGAGCCGGCCCAGGCCCCACCTGGATCCCGGGCACCGCACAGACCAGCAACGGCCACCAGACTCGGGGACTCGAGTCGAGACTCTTTTTGGTGGGAGAGCGTATGTTTTGCTCGAGGTGGGAAGCAGCCGAACGAGAAGTGCCTTGCTGCAGTTTCAAGGTGTCTACGCAATCCAGGTATGGCAGCCCTTCTCTACATGTAGAGTCTGGTTTCAGCTGACGGGTTCACTTGCCTATTAGGGGCTTCTACTGGGAACGAAATCGCTCATTTGGGAACGAGGAGAACTTGGGTGTTATCAAAGGTTCATTGCTAGTAAGCATTGATCTGCCATCTGTGTCTATCGAGCTTTCAAGGCACACGCCGAACCAAGCCCACAAAGTACCTTGGGGTAGTTTATACCAACTTTGCTCCTTCCCCCCTTCTCCAACCTCGTATTATTTCATTACCAGGATCTCCGGAACCCCACTGCAGCCCCATCTCTCTTCATTCTCCCCACGGCAAATAAATCAAAGGCCAGCATTAATTTCGCTGGAAGGGTATATCGCTGAAAGCCCAAAACAAAATCCCAGTAGCATATTGCCTCCGACAAAGAAAATAAAAAAAGCCCCATATCTACATCATCCAACCATAAACAAGGCTGATCCACTGAATGCTTGGTATGATTCAGTGGACCGACAAAGGAAAAAAAAATAATGCCTGTATAGGTAGGTTTCTGTCGTGGGCAAGCCCGCAACTAAAGTAATTAATTGGGGGAGAGTGGGCGCTGTTGGAAGCTCCCGCTCATCCAGTAATAAGACAAAGAGAATTTGGGTCGGGCGTGCCGGTATTTTAGACAAAGGGAAAGAAAGGAGTGGACGATCACAACCAACGTATACTGTATCAGAGCAGTATGGCGTCAGGTGGTCAGGGTGGCAGAAGGCCTTGCTATGCCTTCCGTTTGCCTTTATGGGACTTCCACTCTGCTTTTGAGACTTTCATGAGAAGATCCTCGTCTTGTATAGATACGAATGACGTGAGGGACTTCATGGCGTTCTCAAAATCAGAGTCGAGAAGGACCTCTCTCAATGCTTGCACGATGGCTGCGCTTGTGGCATGTAGGATGCCGAGCCCCGTCGGCGGACCGATTGGCGTCGCCGCAGACTTCTTGTTCTGTGGCTTGGCCTCGACTGGGTTGGATCCGCTGTCACCAAGGAGTAAGAAGACATCCCAGACACGAAGCTGTGCTGGGAAAGGAAGAGAGAGGTTGAAAAGAGTTAGGTACCACCGCGTCCCATATGCGGTAGCCTCAATTCCGAGTTCAGACTATAATCAGATTGCCCGTTAGCATTGTTTAGTGGACAGGGCATAAGGCATCCAAAACGCAATGGATGAAAAGATGGAACACTTACGAGCTTTTTGGCGACATCCTTATGGAGCCAAATAGTCTCAAACTCATTCAACGCTGTCATTAGGCCTTCGAAGCCATGACGATAGAGTCGTTCTAGTCCGCGTAGCTGCCACATTCGCACCAGCATGACGAAAGACTTCTCCTCGTCGAAATAACAGAGTAGTGTCGCGCCTAGCGATGCCATTCCTTGCACGTACCCGGTTTCGGGGAAGTATATCGATAGGGCGTGCAGTACGCGGAATAGTAAACGCTGGCCACCTTCGTATCTTCGTCGAAACATGATGTGCAGACTAACCGTTCTGGGCACATCTAGATCGATCTGGACGTCGTCCGGTGAGCTTCTGTCCTGAAGCTCGTGAAATGCTTTGATGATATCCTCTTCCGACGGCGATTCGGTGTCATTTTGGGCACTCGAAGCCAAGAACGACCACCAAGCAGCTGCGCGCCACCGATCGGGGATTCCCTTCCACGTTCTTTCAATTAGTTTTGGGTTTTTGACATCGAATTCGAATTCCGTGCCCTCGCCCCGGGCACCCTTCCTGACGTTCTTCGCCATTTTCCGCCACTTCTCCGACCTCTCCCATTCCTTTCGCTTGAGTGCTTCGGATATCTTCTCGGCCCGCACTTCATCAGCGATATCATGTAAACCTGGTGTCAACATTTCACTGGCCCCATCCACCACGCGCCGGTCGCGATTTTGGGGTAGCATGTTGCTCGCCTGTCGTATTACCGACCGTGATGATCGGAGAGACGTAGCCGACAGGCCTGAATGGTAAGTGTTGAGGGATCGCGCAGACATCTTCCGGCTGGGGAAGGGTCTCCCGCCGGACGACGATAGACTGCCGCCATCCTTCCTATGGAGTAGGGTTCGCCGCCGGGGCGATAGTTGCGCCGCTTTTAGTTCTGTGGATGAATGCCTCGATGAGTCGGGCCGGGGGATGCTGATGAAACCGTATCTGTCGATGTGGGCGCCTTCGAGGTCATCCCAATCCTCGAGTGCGCCTGCTCGCCTTCCATCACTCTTAGATCCATCGGGCTTAAGCAAAGAATCGGCGCGTCTTGGTGTGCTCGGTAGCTGAGCGAGACTTTGGCGTGAAGATGCGGGTTAGTAAATTACGCGACTTTCCAATCATGCCTAGGAAACCATACGAATCACGATCGCTCTCCTCGGCCGAATGCTCCTCGATGAGAGGGGATCGGCGGTCGTCCAGAGACTCTTGGCCGGGAGCACCACCGTTGGCGTAGAGCGACCTCACCTTGCGCGATTCCAACTCGACTTCGGCATCGAGCACTTGAATGTTGGGAGTGGAACTCGGCACATCCAAGGACTCGTGCGTCGGTTGCGACTTGGAAGCAGCGTCAGGCGTCTTGTAGCCGGTTTCGGGCGTCGCGTCGGTCGCAGCGCTCGAGGGGCGGTCAATTGAGATGGTGATTGGTTTCGGTGCGGCGGTGAGGGAGGGAGGAGGAGTTGCGCATTTGCCATTGTCCACACCAGTGCCAGACTCGATGCTGGCACGTGGGTAGCTGTCGTGATGGTCCATGATTAAACCGTCAAAGCCAAGCGCGCGATGGCCGCCAAACATGACACTGCCGCGGTTTGAGAAGGTCAGGCCGGTCATGAATCCATCATCGAGCAAGCTAGACGACGGAATGGCAACGGTGAGAGGAGTGAAGGGATCCAAGTCAGGGTCGGGCCCGCGTTTGGAGTGCGCTTTTGGCTTCGTGGAAAATGCGGCCCGTTTGAAGAGGGAGGTGACAGCACTAGCAGCAGGGCGGCGGGAGGGTGGTGCTAGTGGCGCCGACGGTGGCTGACTGTTCATGCTGCCAGGTGCTTCAGGGGACGCAGGGCACCGGCGCAGGGGTGGGTGGGCTGGTTTGCCTGAGCCGGGGCCTGAGCCTGTGCCAGTGCCAGTTGCAGTGGTCCCCCAGGCATGGGCCGGCCTCATTTCCCGTACGGGATGGGGCTTCTGGGCCTGCTCGGGCTCGCTGACTAAGCCTTCCTGGTCCTGGTGCAGCCACGAGGAGGCCGTTGAGAGGAAGCTGAAGCTGCGGCCCATCTGCTTCTTCTTGGGCGCCTTCTTTGTCTTTGGCAGCGACAATGACTTGTCGGCAGCGGTCGATGTCTTGGGGCGGACCACAAACGCTTCCGGCTTGGGCATCACAGGAACCTCGGCGCAGCGGGTGTGAGGGCGACGAGGGCTGGCCGGAGCAATCATCCTCTCGGTGCGTTCAGATCCACTGAAGCTCGAGCGTGCCACCGGAGCCCTGGGACGCATGTCGACCTCCTCCGAGAGTCGCATCTCGAATGATGCAGTCGGTGTGCAGAGCCCATCTTCATCGTCCTCCTCGACGCTTTCCTGGATGGAGAGCATGGCTGGAGACATTGTCCTAAGAGGCGGCGTCGTTGACAGGTACTCGGCCCCACAGTCATTCTCGATGTCCTCCTCGTTGATCGTAGGCGTCGAAGACGATGCGCTGGATGTAGCATGACCCGAGTCTCGCTTGCGTTCCACCGGGGTTATCCTCTGGGTCAGAACAGGGCCGGACGCACGCAGGGCCGGGTGCTCCTCTGTAGGCGGTGCGATAGGGGGAATCGGAGGGATCACCACGATAGGGCCGCCGTAGGAGACGGAGGAGGATGCAGAAGTAGGGCGAGAGGCAGTGGCTGGTCGTGACGATGAGCTTGGGCGTGAATTGCGGCTCGTAATGGGGATGGGTAGGTCGCCCTGGCTCGTCTTCTCGTAGCGAACAGCTACCAGCTGCAATTCATCTCGAAATGAAGGTTTCTTCGCCACAGAGCGAGGCTTGCTCCTACTCCTGCTCCTGCTCCGACTCCTCTCGCTTGTACTGGCAGAAGCCATGATGTGTTGTGTGAAGGTGTGTTGTGCAAGATCTGAAATCTCGATGACGCGAATGGGTATCTCGGGACCGACTGAGAGACACTCAATGGCTGAGAGCTCGCGCTGGGTTCCGACTGAAACAGAGTGTTCAATACCGTCGCCGTCGTCTTGATGTAAGTGGGATGGATAAATGGGCGGCGTCGTTTGGTCGCTGTTTCCACAATCCAAGCCTAACAAATCGTTATTGCCTGGTCCCAAATTGTATTTCAGGTCAAGATGGACGAGTTTTCGCTCGCGGCTCGTCCAGATCGCAAGGGCACGTACCAGCAGCCAAAAAGAGCTGAGCCTGTTTCCTTTTTCGACGCTGTGTGGTCGTTTCTTCTTCTATCCTGCAGCTTACAGCAGCTGAGATGAGACAGAGGGCAGAAAGAGACGCCGGGGTATCTATCAAAAGAAAAAGAAGACGAGAAAAAGCAACAATGAAATCAATCAACAAAGCTGTGATGCTGGGATCGTTAGTTACGGAACAAGGCCAGTCGCAGCCAGGAGCCGACGGGACCACAATGCTTTAATATACTAATGACAGCATCTATCGGCACAGACACAGGGCACGGTGCTTTTCGCTGTTCTTTTTTTCTTCCTGGCTGCACGTCCACGTCCCTCCCCGTCCGACGGTCAAGCCATCCGGCCAATCCAGCCCAGCCCAGCAGCCCAGCCCAACCCATCACCCTTGCAACACAATGCCTGGCATGGCGCCAAACACATGGGAAAGGGAAAATAAAAGAGGGACTCCCTTCTCGCTGGCTCACCCGCCCGATTGGGAAATGGACAGAGGTACTTGCATGTAAAGTGAATGCATAATATTGGGTGTCCCACCAGCCGGGCTGCCACCCACCATCTGCCACATCACTCCTCGCTTGCCTGCTTCGCTTGCTTGTCCCTTTGCCTCTGGCAGCGTGGCCCCCCACCGCCCTGCCAGGCCATCTCGACAGGCAATCAATACCACCCAGACGAGACGAGCATCACATCTCTGAGTTTGCCTCTGCAGCGAGCCGACCACCAGTCTCCTCACCGCACAACCACAACACAACAGGCCTGCCCTCGTGGGGACTGCTAACTCCGACCTCCAGCTCACACTAGGGCCAGGCCGCTGGTCTCTGCACACCGACCCAGAGACCGACCCCTCAGGTCCCCTCCAAAACGGCCGCTAGTGCTACGTAGGGCAGCCTCTTCCCGCGTGCACAAATCGCTTCCCAGGCGGTGGCCCAAGTCGGTGGCCCCATCACCACTCTTGGACCGTGCTTACATTTTGGACCAAATGACCGCCTCGACACACCTGCAAGGTACCCGCTTCACTCACACACACACACCAAACAAACTCCGATGGCTGGCACTTGTCAAGTTGGCAATCTGACGATATGTACCTCCCGAACCTTAGTAATTAACGTCAATTATCATCCGCCCTTCCCCTTCTCTTCTGCCCGTTCTTCCACCCGGCCCGCCACGTTGCCCATCCGCATTCCCCTTGCTCGAGCGAACCAGGGATCCCCTTCACCCCCATTTGCATTCCCAATTCCACATCGCCCTGTCATCTCGTCCCTTTCCTTCGCTTCAAATCGCATCACCTCGCTTCGCTTCGCTTCCCGTCTGACCACAAGATCCCATCAGCAACGTCAAACTCGGGTATCCTCTTTTTGCCTGGTTCACTATTCATGGCATTGATGTATCTATGTTGGACGAAACTCCCCTTTTCTTCCCTTTCCCTCACACCCCTGTGGCCTTGCTTCACAAACCTGGTGCCTTCTGGTCCTGACCCCAGTGTCAATCTCCCCAAAAGAAAATTTCACTGACTCGCCTGTGTTTGGGAACCTGCCTCAGCACGGGGGAGGGCGGACGATAATAGAATCGGACCATTGCAATGGGACAATCAACCCGCTCGCCCTGCCCGATCAATGCCTGTCATTCCTGTTCCCCGTGTCTCCAATGGCCAGGTCCTGCCTGCCAACTCCATGCTGATTGCGAGATACAATCTGCGTGAACCCCTGTGCTTCTGTGCTGATGCACGGCTGAGGAGCTCACCCTCATGCTAACATGCACGACTGGCAAGGTCGCCCCCTGATCCACGCCGTCCGTTATAGTTCCATTCGAACTGGTAAATAACAAACACCAGCACAGGTTGCTGGAGCGGCCAGCGATCTGCTCGTCCGCCTGCCCCAGATGTGTTCCAGCTTGATAGGCCATCCTTGTGCTGCCCATCTATGCAGCCTCATGCAACGGGTCCGTGTCCTGTTTCTGGTTTGGGGGCGCACATGCCCGCCGCACATCTCATCGACCGTCCCCTAAAATAAAATAAAATAAAATAAAAGGTCAATGGGGAAGACGAGATGATGACAGATGCGACTGCTACGGTAAGTGTTTGATCCGCATGTACATCATCTCGATGCATGAAAAAGCTGCACACAGCCGACACATTTCGTCCGTTTCCCTCGCATTTCTCTTGTTCTTTTGTGCATCATTCCGTGTGATCTATTGTGCCCTTCCAACACTCCATTGCATTGCGGCCTGATGAGGTCGGGCCTGGCTTGGCCTGCTCTCGCTGCTACCTTTCCAGACGAGGAAAAGTGAGGATGCGTCGGCCAACCAACACACACCGACCTGTAGGGAGGGCTTCCGCCTCTTTCTCTGTTTTTTTTTTCCCTCCCTCCTCCCCCATGGTCTCTCGTTGGGCCCTGCTCATTGACGTGGCACTAGCCAGCTCACGCTTTCCCACACACTCGCGGTCAAGTAGTACATGCGGTGCCCAGTCTCTCTCTCGCCCCATCACACAACGAACCACCGGCTGGATCAGATACCTGGAGAACTGAACTGGCCCTCATGCATGCATGTGCACGCACACCAAAGCTTTTTGCCTGGCCATGACAACTCAAGTCTAGCTCCGGTGCATGGGGCTGCTCCGTCGGGCTGGGAGCACAGATGCCTCTTTTCGTGAGCGGCGCCGCACCGATTTGGGCCACACTAAATCATGGGGACAAACCGGCGGCCAGCCTGCTGCCACGTCGAAGAAAAAAATGTCTGCAGTTGGTAATGGCAAGCTATAATTCGCACGCGGACAACAGGTTGAATGATTGAGTGGTGAGGGAAAATCTCTCAATTTGTCTGCCCATCCGATGCTCCCTCCGAGTGACTCAAATTTCGCAGTCGACTCACTTTCAGCTGCCACGCTCCCAGTTTCCTCATACAGCTCGGCGCTGGGCTGCCATCATTGACGAAATGACACCACGGGCCTGATATATCACGGGCCCGTTAAGATGATTGTTCGTCAATAATAGCGATTGGCACATGCAAGTGAAGAAAGAATGCTACTGCCAATGTCGTCTCATCGTCTCCCAATCTCTTGCCTCCGCGTGGCGAAACGCTCCCGTTGGCTAGCAATTAATTAATACCGCTTGTGTCATTGTCCAATCACGATGCAAAATTCATCCATCCAATATGCTACCTTCATATTGTGACTGTCTACCCTGTACGTACAGCAGCCCCCAAATCCAACGTTGGAAGCAGCGTAGGAGAGCCAATTGACACGGCATGTGCCTCAGCTTGGTTGCTTTCGCGCTGACCCCCTATTTAACTTCTTTTGCTTTGATCCTGCCGTCGTCGCTACATTCTATCAACAGTAGTTTTTAATCTAGCACGGAGTATTTCTGGAGGCTTATGGGTTGGGGGAATCAAATTACCGCTAGAACAAGCCATCCCAAAGCCAAGGCTAGTCATTGGGGTTATGCTTAACCTAGACGCCGGTATAATGCTAAAAGGATCGCTGATACGACGAAGCTCCCTCCAATATGCAGAATCTCATTCCCGCCCAGAGCAAGATTCCCTGACACATGAACGCGCAATTGTGCCCTCTATCGTAATCGAACAAGCTATTCAGATAATTGGGAAATTAGACTCTCGCTACTGCAACACTACCATCCAAAATGCCGTTCACACCCTATCCCAGAAAAAACATCGCCGCGCTTAAGGTTCACGGACAGCAACACGAGGTGCCACATGCAACACGGACGTTACAGCCGAGAGAGAATTCCCTAGCATTGCTACTACGGCAATTATGAAAGGGGCATCCCCTTGCAGCTTGCATGACTGATGTCCACCAGCCACCCGCTCACCCGCATGGACTCTCATTCATTCATGGAGAGGACCGGCCAGCTAGTGCGCGTGGGCGAGATGGGTAGGGCATCACGGCATTACACGGGCCTCCCTCTGCGAAATGCGGGTTCGTTCGGTTTGCATGGATCGTGCTCAGCGCGGATTGATTACGGTGATGACATGCGCTCAATGCTGTGATTTCCCTCGACACCAAAGGTCCAACCTGCCCCGTTGCTGCGTGGGAATGCACATTGACAGTGTGGGGACCGCGGGAGGGAAGGAGGGTGTGTGAGAGTCATTTCATCAATGCCTTTCATTCATGTCTATCATACTTCCTCGTTCTCCCAATCCTTTTCTCCAAACATGGGCCGCCCTTTCCGACCGCCGTTCAATTCTAGCTTCTCGAGAAACTCAGGTGGCACCGTGGGGATGTACTTGCGCTCCCTTTCTCGGTTCACTCCTCCAAAACCCGCGCCATAGGAAATCAGCATGTCCGTTACCGAGGGGAGCGAGAACGGGAGCATGAGCGCGGGGTCCAGCAATAGATTTTCTGGCGCATCATCGTAATCCTCGTCCGCCCCATCTGTGCCCTTGGCATTGGGTGTGCCTTGCACGCTTGGCGTATCTGCCCCGTTTCCTTGTGCCTGATTCCTCTTCACAGGAGTTGCCGGACTGCTGTCCGGTGCTGATACTAGCGATGTAGCTCTGCTACGTCTTCGGTCCCGCTTAAGAGCCGCCTCCTTCTGAATGGCCTGTAAATACTTTAGTGCGCTCTTCGTCAGACCCTTTTCGCCAACTTCGAGTCTGTAATGTGAAGCTGCATGTATGAGTTGTTGTGGGGTGAGCCGCTTGAGTTGTTGGAGAGTGCCCACGAGAGCCTCCAAATCGTTTGACGCCAGTGAAGAGAAACATTGAATCCACTGGAGCATCTGAATAACAGGAGCAAGGTGGTGCCTGGCGGCATCCGCAGTCGTCTCCCCTGAAGATTTCATCTCACCGGCTTCGTAATGCTCAGCTTGTCGGTTGTTCGTTCGGGCCCAGTCTTCCAAAATAGAGATGTTCATCCGAATTTGCATCGCCTTTGTCCTCGCCAGATACTTTCTGTTTGACATGATCCTGTTGAAAAGTTCGGCCCCAATCCAATAGATGAGCTGAGAAATGATCTGCGACGTGATCACTGAGTGGACGTCGTAAAGATCTAGGACAAACAACGTGGATGAGAGGAGTGATGTGACATTTCGAGGAGCGGGCTTTGCTCTTTGCTTCGGGGACGGCGGTCGAAACCGTTTCTCCAGCGGTTCCTCTTTCACTGTAGGTTTTCGTTTGAAAATCTTCCACTCGTTCTGAAACTGAATATCCTCGAAACCAGGGATGATTTCGTGGTCGAGCATTGCCACATCCAGGACCTTGTCCAGTCGTCTCTCTGCATCTCGAACAATGAGAATAAATATTTCGTTAATCAGTTCAGCCAAGTGGGCTTGGAACTCGGACGTAGCCTCAACAAGCCCGGCATCCTTCTTTAAGTAATGTAAAAGCAGCGTGGCGTTAGATAGCCAGAATGCGAGTATCGTCATATCCCATTGGTATCTTTCCACAACATCATTAATACGGTCCATGGCTGTTATAAGGAGCCGCTCCAGGAGCTCTGCACTTGAGTGGTAATGTGCATATCGAGCGCTGAGGAAAATCATATTGGCGGGTACGGGCTTCTGAGTTGGCGATCGTTGTGGCGTCATATGTGTGATAACAATATCCAATATCCGGTCCAGCTCGTGTTCCTGGAAGACGAACATCTGATCGTGTAAACATCGGCTCCAATCGAACTCTTGTTGTTCCTCCTCGAACTCATCGGCAGACTAAAACCTGTTAGCCAACGCACATCTAGCTGCTGTGATATCTCTGCTCGTCCAGCTGTCGCATACCTCTGGTTGATCATCCATTCCGACGTTACCAAGATCGACCTCTAGATCTCTGGCGCTCTCCATCATCAGCCTTCTTCGCATTTCATTTTCCATTATTTCTTCCTCAAATCGGTCCTGAGAGAGACCTGGGCTGTAGAAGTCATCCACCACGCCGGCGCTACCAATCGTGTAGCCGGCTGTGTGTAGATAGGTGGACATCTCGCTATCGGGAGGGACGAAGTCGGCAGCTGTCCTCCCAGATGATGTCTTTTGGTCAGAGGATGCGCCGTTATCCAAAAGCAGCTTTGCAATTCCTTTATGGCGATTCGTCATTGCCCACATGAGAGGGCTCCACTGGTTGCGATCCTGCTTATTGACGTCTGCGCCGCCTAGAACGAGAGTTTGAACAACTGGCTCATGGCCCTAGGAATGTGTCAGTACCTCGAGTTCTTTAATCACCGAGATGATGGAGACTGACAAAACAGCTAGCATAGATCAGCGGCGGGGTGCCATCCTCGTCCGATGCGTTGACGTCAATGTACGGCTTCGCGCTGCCATCGAGGAGTTTCTGCACCTTGTCGACGTCGCCATTGCTAGCGGCCATATTTAACAGTTTTTGCAGCGTGGCCCGTTTCTGCTCGTCCGACATCTTGTCATCGTTGGCGATGGCTTGCTCATCCTGAAGATCCGGCCCCGACGAGTGGGCGGCTTGGGCAGCCAGCATCTCCATGAGCCGGGTGTCGCTATCTTTGGGGCCATCGTTGTCGAATGCCGGCTCATCGAGGGATAGACTCGCGAAGTTGAGCGGCTTCGCTACGGCCGGCGTTGTGAGGAATTGAGACTCGCCTGGATGCGCTTGTTAGCCGGGCTCTTTGTACCTTGGGCAAGCTCGGAGGCGGGGAGACCAACCTTGCCAGCCATCGTACATCTCGGTCTCGGGGATAAGAGTATCGATTGGAGCATGCCGCCTGTCGTCTAGGGATTTGGGAAGGTCCGGAGGCAGAATGACAGACTTCCGCTGAGGTCTGCCAAACTCGATATTGGAGTCTTCGGCGTCCATGATGGGAGGAGGGGCAGGTGCCGGGCTCCCCAGCTCATGCGAGATGAGTTGCGCAGAGCAGTCGGAAGAGTTGCGGCCGGAGCCCAAGTGTTAGAGGGCTCTACTCGTCAGTATCGGGAAGATACACAGTCGCAGATAGATGTCTCGTTCGTCGTTGTCGCGTGATGCGGAGCCTGGAAGATGGAGTTGGAGACGGGATGGTCGTCATTCTTTAGCACGTAGTGCCTGGGCTAGCACCTCGAAGTTAGCGGTAGATGACAGCTGCTCCGGCGAAACAGGCAGGGACACTCTGCGCCAGATAACAGATACGCCGCTCCCGCTATAGATGGATGCTTACGTCAGTCATCCCAATTCAGACAGAAACGAGGCCTTGGTCTCTCCCGCAATGCCACATGTGCAACCGGCTCTATAAAAGCGGTTACTAATTTCCTTAAAACAGTCGTGAAACAGCTGCTTATATTTTTGGCTAATGCGATCGCTGGCTGACATCATTTTGCGCATGGCCAATACCCTTCTTGGCTCTGGATTCACACCGTTTGGAAGTGTAACTAGATATTTTGAATTCCTTCGCCTGGCTAGGTAGGTACAGCTCTACATAACTACCTTACCAAGGGAGGTATTTGCTTACATTGTTGAAAATATAGCTGACAAAAAAGGAAAAAAGGTTACTTGTTCTCATAGGCCTGGGAGTAAAGCAAACAAGGTAACGCGAATTTTTGGCAAGTGTAAAAGCCATTTATCTAATATAGAGAACCAGCGCAATGCGATCTATTGGGAAAGTAATAAAATCCGAATCAATTTGTTCAAAAACTATCTGCGTTGTAATGTCACGTGTATAGCCTGATCTCGGGATTTCCTTGCTTATGGTGGTGGACATGAATATAACACTGTGTCTGTGGCTTCACTGCACGGCTTTGAAAACGATAAAGGTATGTTGGCAATGAGAACCACTATTGTATAGGTAGAGAGAAAAATGTTGCATGAGATAAAGCCACCACCAACGACTTGCCAGAGGAGTCCTTAAACAAGCTCGGTGAAACTACATGCATTGTTATCACACTTTTATACATTCTGCGAGTTGTCGTGAATACAATCTATATGTCTAAGAAAGAGGCATAACCGCACAACAACATATTACGAGAAAAAAGAAAGATAGAAAGATAGAAAGACAGAAAGATAGAAAGACAGAAAGACAGAAAGACAGAAAGACAGAAAGACAGAAAGACAGAAAGACAGAAAGCCCCTGTTCCTACGAATAAATTCGCGCTACACTCGATCTTTTTCTTCGGCTATTCCCCTCGCCGCCTTGCTCAAGGTTGCTAGCTGCAGTGAATCTGGCTTGGTTTTGTGTTAGATAAGTCTTCTTCAGCACTTTGACTCAGGCTATAATTACATTTCCATAGCCAGTAAGCTACCATGCTCTAGACACTCTTATTGGATGGTATTAATACTTTCGACCTGTTCGCGTCTTTTTACCAGACGGCTGAGAGGGTGCATCCTGGGAAGGACCTGGACGTTTACGCCGTGTGGCAGTTTGGCCCGGTACAGCTCTCTGGGGCGTGCTCGTTGCTGGAGGAAGAGCTAGTAGCATGGGTGTCGGCCCTTTGTCCAAGTGCTGTCCGCTTTCCGGTCCAGGGTGAAGAGGGTCGCCGCTAATTGCAGCAGTTGGTTGAGGCATGGTGTGAAAAGCCTGGGTTGCCGGGTGAAAAAGGGCAGCACTGGCGATAACAGGTGGTTGAAGCATGGTGTGAAAAGCCTGGGTTGCCGGGTGAAAAAGGGCAGCACTGGCGATAGCAGGTGGTTGAAGCATGCCCTGGAAAGGCTGTGCCACCTGAAGTAAAGGAGCCGCGTTGGCGGCAGCAGGTTGTGGGTAGGCCTGTTGAACGAACTCCGCCATCTGACGAACGGGATCACTACTGGGATTGTGATGTTGGAGTGCGTTGAGAAACTGGTTTCCCTGGATATCTGCCTGTTCCTGCTGGCCGGATCCTTTACTGTTCGCAGCCGCAATGAAACGATCTCGATGTTTTTTAGCCTCATCCCTAGCATTCCTAAAGGCTGTTATGCCTTCGATGAGTGATTCGCGACTGTCCAAGATGTGAATATGCCGGATTAGATTCATATGAAACTGGGGCAATTCACCCTCGCTAGAAGGTCCCGTGACGTGGTGAGCATAGAGCGTAAGAATGCCCTCGTCATATGTTGCCGAGAAGGTGTAGGGCTGATCGTCATATTGTAGCTCTTCGTTTCCATAATTTTGTATACTGTGGATGGCACGAGATCCAATAGCCCCATCATACTGAGCTCGGGACTTCACACCTCTCTCAGCAATAACCGGATCTTCGTATTCAAAGAAGAAGTTTGGGATTATCGGCATCGCCTGCGACAGTGATGGGGCTATGCGCTTGGCGAGAGCTTCACGAATTGGCCTGTGAAGGCTCTCACGTGGGTGCTCTCCGCAGTATAAATCCGGCTGGGCTGCTGGTATGTTGTATCCAAAAGGATGAAGGTTCACGAATGGTGCATGAAGGGCGAAGAGGTTTCTCGGGTACTCACTACCCATCAGGGTAGGAATAAGGCAATGCCCAAATTCCTCGCCATTTTTCGCTGCTTTTAAATTCTTCTGGAATTCCTTATATGCGTTGTCAGAGATCGTTGAAAGAGAAACGGAGGGCCTTCGAATAGCCAGTGTGTCTCGAAGAGGCTGTAGATCTAGCTGTTGCGAATTCCAAGTCCGTTTAATGTTGAGCTCCTCTAATGATGGACCTAGAGGAGGAGCCAGAACTGTATAGGTGGGAGGAAGAAAACTCCGCATATCAGTTGCCATGGCGTGGAAGTTCCGAGGTAATTGATACTAAAGAGGGGTTAGTTAAAAAGAACAGTCGATACGGGGCTGGTCGGATGAACATACTCCTCGCAGATCAGATAAATCAGGGCCCCCAAGTTCTGCCAGGTGAGCCACACGGCTGGTGTCAGAAGGGGAAAGAAGCGGTAGAGAGGGTCGAAAAAATTGTCGGTTGAGCTCTTTTAGAAATTCGCTTGTAAGTGGCTTGGTCGAACTGTCATCCACCTCTGGAGGATGTTGTTGGATTTCAGGGGCAGGTTCGGTGTTCGGTCGTGATGGTTGGGTTGCACCTTGTCTCTTCTTGGCCCGTCTTTTCGCCATCGGGAAACTTATATATAAGCGACCAAGTGAGATGGAAACAAGGGGTGTAGCACAGCAAGAGGAAGTTGTGGTTTCGGGCGATTCGCCTGTACTAAGAGACGATGCGGTTACCTGCTTGGTTAGTAGATGCTTGCTTCAATCGATTCGAGAGAGCAATTACGTGTATGTGTGTGTGTGTATGTTTTATTGAAAAGTAATAAACCCCCCCCCCAAAAAGAAGGCTCAGCCAGACCAGCCCTTATAGATTGATTGCAACGATGTTGGCGCAAGCGTCCATAATCGAAGTTCCAAAAGAGCGCACAAAAATAATTCTTTGTTGTTAACTACTGCTTCTTATGGTTGTGTTTTTCCTGTAGAGACAGGCAAATTTGTTCGGAAAGAATCAACAAGTTTGCTGCAGTGACACCAAAACAAAAGGATGTGACAAAGATAGTTTATCTGAGACAACGACAAACAGTCAGCAGGTGTTACAAAGTGTTGCTCATCCACTTAGTTCCTCAACAAGCTGGCACAATCGAGGCTCATTGCATGTACCACAGTTTGGCGTGTACATAGTCTGCCGTGTTATCTGCCACCCTTCCTGCAACAAACTAGACACTTAAGGTCCATGCTGAATCACGCTCTGATGCGGTTTCAACCGAGCGACACCAGACATTCCACATCTAGCCAAGCTTGGTTACAACAAGTTAAGAAAAACAAGATAGAATAGGAGATTAAAGCACTGTTTTAGTGTGCAATGTCTTCTTTTACCCGCTTAGGCGTTCGCCAGTAAGCAAGGAAAACTGCTGGCCCATCATTCCACATTTGACCAGTACCTCACATAAACGCAAAAATCCACCATTGCACAGATTCAAAGCTTGAGTTTCACTAGCCGTATGCTCGTATCGCAGGAGGTCGGGAGGGTGTCAAGGCAGCGGCCCGCCTGAACTTTCCCGTCTCCCCCACTGCCATGGTGTTGCTTGCTTCTCCTTCTGATGCTGCGGAAGTTCAAAGGAGTGCAGAATGCTTGTTTCACAAGGTCTAAATCTTTGATGCTCTACTGGCCCAGCTGATCTCGCGAATGGCCGACACGGCGGCCGTGGAGGGAGGCGGCCTTTGAATCTTGATCGCGGCACGATGTGTTGGACCAATCAGAGCGCGGGGCTGCTGTTGCCTGTGGTTTCTACTCAGTGTCCAATGGCAGGGCTAGGTTGATGGATGATGGATGCCTAATGTGGCCTTTGTACGAATAAAAGTATATGATGTACAAAACAACATACTCTTTCCGAGCGCAAAGCTCATATGGTCTAATTAAAAAGATACAGAGAAGATTAGCATTGCCCCTGCACAAGGATGACAATACCCTCAAGGAGAGCTACCTCTTTTTTTTTCTTTTTTTCCTGCGGGAGATGAGATTTCGTGCTCGCCCATATTATATAGCCTGGGCCAGGAAACAGCGCTTTCTCCCATACCACATTCAAGGCACTTGGCGTACAAGCTACCTTGTGCTTTCTCACATTTTAGGAAAAGCCTATTGAAAGTAACCACAACTGGTTCGATCCCAGATCTGTTGCTTATTTTTTCTCTGTTCTGTCTTTGACCTGTTGTCCAATTATAAGCCAGGAAGGCCATGTAGTACTAAGATATAAACAAGATAATTGAGCTGCTATACAAGAGTTGATATCGTTAATATCTAGGCTAGAACTAGTTATTGATCGTGTAAGTTGAGTAAATACTTGAAGTTAAACAGCTGGATTTATGCACTATCGAGTACAGCCTAGCTGTCTATGCCACTCTCTTTCCAAAGGCTCTAATTCGCTTGACACCGCCATCGGGAATCATGATGAGCTTGATATGTGTGAAGGGGGCTTCCTTGGCGCTGCTCGCAAACTTGTGTTCCTGATCGGGACCCGTCTTGCTTGGAGCCACCAACTCTACCCATCCTGATGACTTATCGTCCGGCTCTCCTTCTCCCTTCCATTCAATACCCTGGACGGCCACCTTTTGAGGAAAGTTGCCCCTGAAATGCGCAGTGTCGACGACAAGTTCTTGGATATACCCAGGTGCGCCGAGCTTGATAATAGTCCAGTCAACATGGCCAGGGCCGCGTGACCGAGCCGTCTCCCACCCGTCGCCCATATCCTTGCCACGTCCAGGCAGGAGCAGGTTATCCTTGGTACCGAAATGCTGGTCGCTGCAGGAGATGGCAACCCCGCCGTTCTGAGCGGCCGCCAGGTCGAAGATGGCCTCCTTGTCTTCAGGGAAGACGGGGACTGCGTGGCCAAAGAGCCGGAACCTGGCGATGCCGCCGTCCGGGTACATGTTGAGCCTCACGTGCGTGTACTGCTTCTTGGTAGGTTCAGCGAGCTTCCACCCGAAACGCTGCGACGGGCCGCACTCCTGGATCCCGAGGACCGTCTCCCACTTACCCCGCCCGTCCTTCCACGAGACAACCTCTTCGTCGTTGTCGCTGAAGCAGCCCTCGACGGAGATGGCCGGGGCGTGGTTGCCGGAGAAGAAGGCAGTGTCGACCTCAACACCCTCGACGGTACCGGAGGCGACGCCGAGGCGGACAATGACCCAGTCGAAGGGCTCCTGGTTGTGGCGTCTGGTCTCCCAACCGTCGTACCAGGCACCCGTGAAGACCATCTTGCCCGGCTGCCGGATGGGGGCAGTGGGGGTCAGCAGGTTGGCGGCTTCGGCGAACCATTGATCAGAGAAGGCAAGGATCTTACCGCCCAATGTCCCAGAAATCAGATCTAGCAGCACGTGTTAGTGAGAATTTTGAGCCGGGAAGGTTCGTGGGGATGGGTCGCACCAATGCTGCTAGAGCGGAATGTCTTGTCAATCTCATCCGAAGCAACAGCTGTCGCTGGGATGTTCTCGAGCTTGTACTCGATGCTGTCTACGAAGGAAGCCATCATGAGGGGTAGGCTGTGGCGAATGTGTGATTAGATATCTGTTGTGGCGGTTTAAAGGACGATGCTCATTTGAAAAGGCCTCAGTGTTGGTTTTGTGGGCGTGGGAACGAAAGATGAAGTTAAATGCGTTAATGGTTACCTACCAGTGACAGTTGCATCGGCCGGCTCCGATGTAGCCCTCGCGGTCCCCGCAGAGGGGTGAAATGGCGCCGGCCCCGGAGATTGTTACATGTTGATAACAGTCAGACATATTACCACTGCGCAAACGAGGCTGCTCCAAGCGGAAGTGCCATCATTCTGCTGGTTGTATGCTCCCATTTGACTGGACATGGCGAAAGCCTTGTTGGGTGTTATAGGTAGGTAAAACTAACATGGAAGTTAACAGCGCTGTCTGTCTGAGGTACCCAGGTGATCACGGCCCATCAGCGGGGTACCGTCCTGTGTAATTAAGTGCCAATACTCGAGCGATTGCTCGTGAGCCTTGGACAAATCAGCGTGCCACGAGCTTCGAGCACCTCTCCCTTGTGCGATGCATGGCGACTTGTGCACGGCGTAGCGCGAGAACAGCTTCAATTGAGTTTTCGAGACGTCCCCATAGAGGCAGGTCCCTGCCCAACGGCATGTTTAGGTTAGCTCAACCCGCAGTCGGCTATCTCCCTACCCCGCTATCGGCCTTCAGTTCGCTTGGTAGCACGGCAGGCAATTCTCAGATCGCACTAGGTTCCTGTCAGCTATCGGGAGCTTCGTGCATTTGAAAATACGTAGACGTCATTGGCTCATATCAATAACGCAATTGGTCCACGGATGTCTCGTCATGGCTCCCCGAGGCTCCCAGCATCACACCTCTTGCGTGCAGCTGTCGTCCGACTGGACTTATCCCCGCCTTCCTGCTGATTTTCCTCCTCGGCGGTCGCAGATTGACCAATTTTCTTTCTTTATTGAATCTCAGTTCGCATTGATCATCAAGCATCCACCTGCGACGCCTGCCTCCGGCTGCATCCTTTTAATTCAATCGCCGTCTTTTGATATTCACTACATCGCTGATATTTAGCTTCTACACTCATCATGGCGAGCGCTACAGGCGTACCGGAACGTGTCGCGAGCAATGGCGGCGTAGCTCACCATCACGCCGAGACAGAGCCACTGCTTGGACGCCCAGGAGATGTTGCCCAGGCGGACGGTGGTTCGTTCATCAAGAACCTTTACATTGGTGAGTCTTATCCAGCTGTGGCTTTGCGACAATCATCACTGACATCTAACCTGCCTAGGCACTGCTGCCATCGCACAGATTTCAACCCTCCTGCTCGTAGTCCTCATCTGGGCCAGCGTGCTCACCAAGCCTCTGATCCTCTTCTCGGGCCACCCCCTGGCGCAATCCCTCGCCATCCTGACCCTCGTCCAGTCCATCTTGCTGCTTCAGCCTACCCACACCGCCGAGCAGAAGAGGCTTGGGCAGCGGTTCCACGCGTCGCTCAACCTGGCAGCCTTCCTCTTCCTCGTCACCGGCGTGACCATCATCGAGTACAACAAGCTCATCAGCAACGGAGCCCACTTCCACTCCGTCCACGGTTATCTGGGCGTCATCTCGTCCTTCGTCCTCCTCGCACAGTACTTTGTCGGGTTTACGATATGGGCTACGCCGCGCCTCTACGGCTCAGTGGACAACGCCAAGTCGATTTACAAGTATCACCGCTGGAGCGGGTATCTGATCCTCACCTTGCTGCTCGCGACTGTCGTGACCGCTACAGACACGCCATACAACTACAACGTGCTTAAGATCCCTCTTTGGGCTGTCTTACTTCTCGCTATTCTAATCCTTATTGGTGTTTATCCGCGTATCCAAAAACAAAAGCTTGGTTTGAAGACTGCAGTGGTTGCTTGAATGTAGAGCAGGTAAACAAAAGCTCTCCTTGTATCTCTTTCCTTTCGCAATCTTTTCACGAAGGACCATGGGTGGAGAATCTATTTCTAATTGGGCTATTAAAAGTCGAGGAACACGTTCTGTTTTGGGAAGAGAGGAGCTTGGCAAAATGCTTCGGGAGTCGTGATGGTGTTGGCTCATGCTTTGCCTGTCAAGTTGTCTTGGCAGGCTGATCCAGAATGACATAGGATACGGCCTTGTCAGATAGTATAACGTTCTGCGCATTTCGAATGACTACTTTGATCTGAAGCTCCCTTCATGTTGTTCATTGCTTGTTCGAATCATACCTGCTGTCGAGCGGAAACGGAGAAGATCGAGTTTCTTTGCTCACATCAGTGGAAAATCATAGGTAATCCCTTCGGGCTATAATAGACATGTCATGGACATGATGTATGTCAGATCCCCATGAAGAAGCACCCGGGCTGATCCCATGGTAGTACTCTGCTTGACTCTGTGTAGCCAGAGCGCAATTTAACGAAAGCTTCTTCACTAGGACAGGTTTGGCAAAGAGTCCAAAATAACTTAGCTCACGTCTCCATGCGACTTTGGGCGAGAATAACAACCCCTCAAGGCTCTCTGGAAATGCTTGATATATGCTCGAAACATGGAAGGTTGAACGGCCATCATCATCAAATATGTTATTTACCATTACGTCACTTAGATGGTTGAGGCAGGCATCGATCGATGCATGGCATGTGGACGTTTGGCGACAAGGATATCTGGCCGGCATGTACTTTGGGCTCTGGGTGATCGCCAGCGCGAATCGAGCAGGCGGAGACGCTCCCAAGGGTCGGGTCGCTAACCGCTCACACCGTTTTTAATGCCGTAAACAATGCCGTCGCCTGTCAAACTGTCATGATGATGGGCACGGATGAACCATAGGGCGAATAGGCGAGGGCGGAACGGACCCAGAATGTTGTGGCATTGAGCATCAGTCAGCTTGCGAAATGGCGGACTTGAAGCTCCCCCCATAAACAGAGGAGCGTCTGGCCCGACCGGGGAGGCTTGCCAAGCCAGAAAGCAGCTGTGCATAGAATTGAAAGTTCATTACATATGTGGTTGCCTGGAGGAGAACAGATGAGAGCAGAACAGAGAGCATGCGAACTCCATGTTGATCTGCTGCATGTGAAGTTAGTGAGTAGGATGGAGGCTTGCTACTGACCGCCTAGACTAAAATAAATAAATATGGACAGTTAATAAAACTAATAACAGCTGATGGGGGTGCCTTACACCGGTGTGCATGGAGATGTGCCAAGCGCTCACCGACACAAACCAGGGAGCAACGGCTAAGAGAGTGGGAAATTCTGAATGGATACATCAAATGATTAGGTACTTCGGAAGAGATTTCACAACAAGGCACCTTTTGTGCTGCGTAGTGCAGAAGCTCATCAGGCCTGTTCCACTCCCTCCTTTTTGCCATGGCGGAGTTTGCCGGTTTTTGGAGGTGCTGCTGGATTGAGGCACACAGAAGCCACAAAAACGCACGGTCCTGCTTCTGATGTAATTGTTCCGCTCGCATACGACGTCATGATTTGGGGCCACGCATTAGCTGATGCCAATATTTTATTGTCAGAAAGTGGCCACAGGAAGTACGGCGGAGAAGGAGAGAGAGGAAAGAAATAAACACAGACTGCCCACGCAAGTGCCTGGCACCTGGTTAATCGAGGCGGCTTGGGGCGAGCTGCATTCATGGCTGTTTATTCCTCTTGCTGGGGTTCCTTGCCTGCCCCGGTGCAGGTTGAGGCTGGCATGAGTGTGGATGCGTGGACGAATGGATAAGTGCCTTGGCAGCGAGCGTTGATGTCACCTAACTGATTGCATGTAGGAAGCAGAGTCTCACGCTTTGCTGACCGTCTTGACAGACATCGCAAGGGCGGGAGCGCGGCACGAGGGCATGTCTCATTGTTCCCAAGTCCCAAGTCAAGGTGTGGCGCTCATGCGTGCTTCCACCGTTGGAAGAGGAGACGAGGTAGCGTCTGCAGAGCGGGCGTTGAGGTAGATGAGTAGGTAGTTATTAGTGTCATCCATGGCCGAGAGGGCATCCCCGAGTCTAGGAGATCTGGTTAGGCTACCCTACCTGTCGAATTGACCCGATTCTTGGGCTCTGCCTCTTCGACATCGCGTGGGCATCGAGGCAATCGGGGCTACACCTAAACTGGACACAATCCACTTCCCATGCAGATGGGAGGACGCTCCGTCGTCGCCAAGGTGTGGCACTAGACCAGCCGGGCGGTTCCTCGCAACTGGGCCTACCTCTCGCATCCGCGAAGTGGGTGCGTGACTCTCCAATTCCCGTCATTCCCCCCATTTTGCCTGGGCTGGCGCGGCGAGGGACCGTAGTCATGGCCAACGACGTGGATGTGGATGCGCGTCGAGTCCGTGTCTTCTTTGCACGATGCTGGGTTCGATCCTATGGATGGTGATCGAGGCACGATGGTGGGCAAGGGCGGCACGGACCCAATCTTGGCTACTAATGCAGCATGTACCTACCAAGCGCGGAAAGTACAGGTGGCACACACCAAAACACCGCTCTCAACTTGTCATAGAAGATGAGGTGAGGCTGATTGACAGACAACACCACAAGAATGAATAAGCATTAGACTATGTCATGGGAGCTGTTTTGAGGCTTCTTTTATTAGCAGGTCAATTCTTGTTGACAATATGTGGGAACTCAGTGTGCCGTATGCTTGCAATAATACCAGTATTAACAAGCAAGAAGAGGCATGGAGGTGCCTGACTGAGTACCTCGCCTCCACTACACGCCCTACCCAAAATCTGAGCAGGTCAGGCTGGAGGGCAGACGGTAGGTGAGGCGGGTATAGGCAGGTACTGGGCGGTACCCAGGTTGCCTACTCTGGTAGGTAGGTGGTAGCATGGCGATTGAAGCGCATGCCAGTTTGTCACGTCGCACCCGATTCTCAGCAGCGTACAGCCTCTGCGTCTGCATGGTGGCAGGCTAGTGCCCCTCTGGGTTGCAGTGCCTGGCGAGGGTGTTGATCAGCCTCCGGCCCAGGGGATTTCGCATCCAAAATGGCCCATCCTGCTCGTCTGGCAGTTGTTGCATGCCGGCAGGTCGAGATGGGGGCAAATGCTGGATGTGTGGGCAGCGACTCGACCTAGCCCCGGGCAGGAGCCAGGCGGGAGCTGTCTGCCTGTCAGATTTTTGTTTTAGCATGGAGTGCGCTTTCTCTGAACGGAACGCTGTCGATCGTGGCTACGTCATAGGCAAGGTACTGTGTGCGGTAGGACGACGCTAATCCACCACCTCCCTTCGGCGCGCATTTTGGGGGGCAAACCCAGCACCACCGACGACCTGCTTGCTAACCTACCACCCTACCTGAGACCTAAACCAACTTCGCCCACCATCCCCCATCTTGCGACTCCGCTCCGTTTCCCATGCAAGCACTGGCCCCAAACCGGTTTGTTCTGACCTCGCCTGACCTTTCTGCAATTCCAGATCTTGCTCGACCAGAGTACATGCCGCCGCTTCTGTCCGAGGATACCACTTAGACTTGATCACCCACCGGCTTTCTTCCGCTCTTGACCCTCTGCTTGGGGATGTGGCCCCCTCCTACAACTGCCCACGCAGCAGCCACATAGTTGGTCCTGAGATATCGATCCTGTCACATCGACCTCGCTTCCCGTCACGAACTCCCGCTCGTTTTCGATTGAGGTATGCCTGGTCCCGACGTCTCATCGGTCGACCAGAGAGCCTCGCCCGTGGCCACGCGACAACTGAACCCGCCGAGTAGTAGCCTCTCGCCAATCGACCCAGCCACCCACCGCCCCGACGATTTGACGTCTGGAGAAGCCCAGAGAGATGGAATTCTAGAGGCATTAAGTGAATCATTGACTGGACAGGGGCACCGCGCAATGGATGCAGGTGACAACGCAACGCAGAACCCCCCCCTGTCGAGTGAAGCGCCCACGAAAGATATGGCTACGTTGAGCGACAGTGGACTTGGTAGGGGAAGTGTTTTGCCTGAGAGAATCCATTATGCTGGTGCGCGGGTTGAGTCCCCAACCCAAACAGCATCACAGAAACAGTTGAATGAATACCGAGAGAAGCTTGCACGGGACCTGGAACGGAGGGAGCTGTCTGCTCGGGGGCTTCTAGTGAGTTCGGTGGAAAAGGCTCGGGTATCGCCGATACAAGAGGAACTGGCAATGGGCTTGCCACAGCTTACGTCCAGCTCGATTGCCACGGCATCGACCGAATCCAACAATACTATTCGAGGCGGTATGACACCGGCCATGACTGCGAGCACGCCTTCGTATCCCTTCCCTAGGATGGCAGGAGGGGCGTTTAACCTCTACAAATCTTTCAATACTCCTTCACCGGGAGCACCATTCCGACCCTCGTATACACCCAACTTTGATCCATCGATGGGAGCACACGATCGCGTCTTGTCTAATACATCTACACCGGCATCGACTTATACGTTCCAACCTTCAGGCTCCCAGCAGAAGACCGAAGATATGGATTTTTCCAGTCCAAATCTCTACGACCTTTCCCTGATGCTCTCAGCTGAACCCGGTCTTGACGCTTGGTGGAACACTGTCGTCCAAATCATGAGAGATGTTTATAAGGCTGAAAGGGTAACACTGGCAGTTCCTGCTGACTCAACTGACATCGAAAATGTTCCATGGGGCCAGAAAGCTACATACAACGAACATCAAGAAGATGACCTGAGTCTTGGGTACATGGCAAGGGGTAGTAGTGCTGTGCAAAGCACTGGGTTTGATCTCCAAGATCCTAGTACTGGGCGCGAGGAACAACCCAACACAGCTACTCCCCGCCGCCCCGACTTTCGATCCCGCCACTCTTTCACCAGCTTTGAAGAGAGTAAGGAAAATTCTCCAGAGAGACCAACAGTGTCCTCACAGCGCCCCTCAGTACATCGCAGCAAAAGTTACCTGAGCCGTAGCGATATTCCCCCCCAGGAGCCAGGCAAGGATAC